GTATGGGGGAACGCTCTGTATAATTGTGATGGGGGTTTGACCATAACCACTCACCATGACCATTGGAACAGGTCTAGGTTTAAGTGCATTATGAGTAAGGGTCACTCTACAATGGTTCACCTTATCTTGTGCCCACGACCGTTGGACCATGCATAATTGATGCCTAAGGCGGCGAGCATGAGCTCACGTGGCCCGCCACCGACCATGCCGAAGAAGGAATGGCGCCAACCACCTCGATTATCATTTTGATCCGATATGATTATCATCCACTACTGCCAAAAGGTTTCCCCCAGGAACTGAAGACTATGAGTGCCCCGAATGATAATTATACGGTACACAAAGTCTCCTTGAAACGTACGCGGCAGGCCTGTGGACCTTGTCGGTATGTACAATGTCAATATGTCCGAAAAGGCGCACAATCATCTCCATCTCATCGTAGATCAATTGGAAACAAGCTTTGAGGATGGCGTGAAATAGAAAGCTGACAGCTTGGTACCTTGCAGTCGGAAGAAGGCGCGCTGTCCAGGTGAGAAGCCGACATGCTCGCTGTGCCAAAGGCTCGGGCAGCGCTGCTCCTACGGGCCGCAGGTCACCCCGAGTCGTGCTGCTACTACTAGAGCTTCTCCTGCCAATGGACAGGAACGTGGTTCGGGAGAGCCCGGAGATGTAGGTACCGCCATGACCTGGTAACTTCTTTGCATTCCCTGTACGTTCCATTCGGTTGACAGTTTCTTGCGCGATCGTCCAGGCAAACCTGTCGAGCTCGGAACGATTCCAGCGCATAGAGGACAGATTAGACAAGATGGCAAGCATTCTCCAGTACGTGCGTTATGTGGTTTTTCACTTTGGGCTCCCTAAGTCAATCCTTTCTAATTTCCCCCTGCGCTTTTTCCAGGGAATTCTTATTGAAGAATAATCCATTGACTGGAGTGGCGAGCGGAAACTCACTTCCCTCTCATGACTATGGCCATCGCAGCATGGGTAATTCTCCGGTAGCATTCGGTTTCCAAAATGAGGAACGTCATTATTCTCTGGGGTACGTATCATATGTTATCTCCGTTCCCACGCCAAGCCGATGGACTGAAACTGATCAGATCCTCGCTCCCATCCGATTTTGTCAAATCCGAAGTAGGCTTTTATCTCGCCCATTTTCACGACCAGCCTTATTGTGTTTTCTCCAAGGATTGGCTTTTGAGCCGAGATCTGTCATTACCCCCAGAAATCGCATTCCCATTAGTGGCTCTTACTTCTCGGATCTCGCGTCGCTCGCCGGGACCCACTGGAGGCGATGTGCCTCCCACAAAGTACTATGCCAATAAGGCCTGGGATATCTTGTCAAATCAGTACAAGAGCGGTAAACTAGGTCTGTCCTTTTTACAGGGAACATTTCTCATGGCTCAGGTGGACTTCGCCGACGGCCAATCACATCGAGGGTATTCATCTGTTGCACTGGGTCTCCGGACGATTCAATCGGCCGGCCTAAACAAAGATAAGTATACGTCGTCCCTCACAGACTCGGAAGCGGAAGAAAGAAGACGCATTACCTGGGCCTTTTTCATGCTGGATCGCAGTTACAACGCATCTCGAGATTATTCACTGTGTCTTGCGGACAAGCATTTCACCATTCTTTTCCCCGCACCGAATACGCCAGCCTCACTCTCTGGCGAGGAGTCTCTGGCTCGTGGAACATTGCACGATGGACCCGGGAAGCAAGGAGAAAAACTTGACCATGGCATTTTGGGCTGTCTTCTTCGACTGTATTCAATTTGGGGCAAAACCACCGATTATGTCTTTGAGCCCTTCGATAAGGATGCGCTACCCCCCTGGCGATCAGGATCGGCGCTGGCCGGTCTGGAATCCGACTGGATGCAGTTCGAGACTCATTTCGCAGATACACATCGGTATCGCAGTGTCGATTTCCGACGACGCGCTCGTGAAGAACCACATTGTCGCTCGTACCTGTGCACCTGGCTGTGTGTCCAATTTTTATTCCACTCCGTTCAATGTCTGCTGCACCATCCATTCGTAAACATGGTTAAACTACGCCACATCGACGGAAACATACCCGCAACCTTTCTGCAGAAGTCCTATGAAAGCTCCCTTATTCACTCAAGGTGGATTGCTCGGTTCATTCGAGAAATGGACGAGGTTGACATCCGACTATACGACCCGTTTATCGGTTACCTCTGTGCAATTGCCGCCACCATCCAGCTCGAGAATACGGCCAGTAAAAACCCACACATCGCACAACTCGGCAACAGCGATTTCCGAACGTTGGTTGATTTTATGACCGACCTGTCGACACATTGGGAAAACATGGGTGTCTTGGTATGTTGAGCCCTAGCCGATATGTGATGTTCTGCTAATGGTGGTTCTGCAGGTCAACCGGGTAAATAAACTAGCTGCAAGACAGAAGAACTACAAGTCGCTATATTATAGCCAGGACACTTTCTCCGGGGAGTTAACCCGCATGCCCACTCCGTCCACTATCCCAAGAATGTCGGAGGCGGACGAAGCTCTGATGTGGAATATTCTCGACTTCAGTTCGTCGTTTACCCCTGCTGAGATCGTACAACTCGGGGACTTGGTCCCGTCACCGTATCAACGGATGGAAACTATCAGTCCGAATTTCCCCGATCAGTCCCTGCTTGCAACTGGGCCAGGCGCCGAGCAAGGGATAGACTCTCTCAGCGGGCGGGTTCTGGGCACCGTAGGCGCCGATCCTATATCTGAGTGGCCCTTTCCAGAAAGACCTGGTAACGATGGATTCGATGCGGCAATCCCCGACTTGCCCGACTGGATGATGTTTGGGGATTACGTCGCGGAGCAGTTGTGAGGAAATAAAAGTATTGGATGGACACCTACCATACTCGCATAAGATACCACGATCTCTAAATGACTTATGATGAATCCAGCACGATGGGAAAAGTAAGGAAAAGGAAATGATTTAAGAGTGTATGTACATATTCATTTGGAAACAATAAAAGCGCACAGATCTAGCAGTCTATTGTCGTTGTAGCCTGCGATAGAACGCATTCTTAATCCAAAACAACTCTCTTCAAGTCAAACGTAACAAAGTTTCATCTCACATTACAAACAACTGTTTGCAGTTCAGCGGGTATATATTTTTCCAGGAAAAAAAAGTATCAGCGTCTCTCTTCAAAGCTTGCTCTGCCTTGTCGAAGCGGCGGTCAAAGCGCCAGCAAATCTCTCATGTTCCTGAGGAGTCAATTCTCTTCTCTCAGGGCCTCCACGGCTTCCGTCTCCCTTGAATACATCGCCCTGGAAGCGCTCTTTGTACTCGGTGGGGAACTTCCATTTCTGCAACAGGTCTTGCGAGAGCTTCTTTTCGAAGCATCCGACGACGTACTTGCCGATTACGGGCAGGAATTTGAAGGCACTGTGACCGGATTTAGTCAGTATGTTCTGATACCAGACTTGTTTGTAGATTCTGGGTACTTACTGTCCGCTACCACCGGTGGCGATGAACATGTTCTTGTGTTGCGGGTGATAATCCAGGATGAAATCACCGGTCGGGGTATCGTTGTACCAGCATAGCGCGACCCGCTCCCAGCCCTTGGGCTCCAGGTCCGGGAAGAGATCCTTCATACCGAGGTTCAGACGCTCGACAGCCTCATCTGGGATGAAGTTGGCGCGGGCAGATGGCGGGGCAGCTGGGGGAGCAGAAATGCCGTTTTGCGAGTGGGTGTAGCCGTAGCTGTGGACGGCGACCTTCAAGATATTGGTTCCGTCATGGGGAGGGAAGCAGAAGAATCCGGTGGAGAGGTTGAAGTAGACAGGCATTTTCCTCAGCCGGATCATCTCCTCGGGGGTGAGGCGCATGTATCCCACGATCTGAGCGGCGGCGACCATGGAGTTCCAGGATGGAACAAGACTGGCGGTCCAGGCACCGGTGGCGACGATGAACTTGTCACCGGTGATGCGGTTGCCACTGCTGGTGCGGACAGCTTCGATGGTGCCGTCGGACCTCTTCTCGAAGTCGGTCACTTGGCCATCGGGGCCAGTGATGAATGACACGCCCGCTGCGATACACCGAGCTGCCACACGAGCACATGCTAGACCTGCATCTGCCCATCCGCCCGAGTTGTTGAAGAAGGAGTAGAAGCCCGGGTTGGCCAATGGGCCAGTCAATTCAGGAAATTCCCGCTTGCAATCTTCCACGGTGGGAACTGAGTGCCAGGGCTCGCCCATCTTGGTCAGAATCTCTCTGGTTTTGCGACTGTATTCCTTGGCGGCGGGCTGCACAGGCTGTCCGGGGGTCTCCTCCTGAGTCACCCAGAGACATCCAGATTGATGGAAGGCTTCTTTGTAGGCGGGGGTCTTCCATAGGTCGAAAGCCTCTTTACCCATGCGAGCGTATACCTCATCTCCGTAATCGAATCGAATGACACGGGAAATGTCGTTACTGGAACCATCGGGAACAGGGGGCATGGCTCGGTCGAGGACGGTCACAGAGCGATAACCCTCCTCCTTCAATGTCAGGGCGGTTCCCAGGCCAAAGATGCCCGCCCCGATAATGATAATGCGTTCGTTCTTAGCTGCCATTGCGTGTGTTGGTGTTAGGAAATTGCTGTCTGATCAGAAGTCCGGATCAGAGTCTCTGGTTTGGATATCATGAGAAGTCTGACTGTGGTTCAATCCCTTTTATAAGATGTGGCTTCCTCAGATTCAGCATCATGTTTTCCGTCCATCACGGACCGTGGACGGAAGACGGTGAGGGGCCAGTGCCGGATTCGTCCATGGATCCAAGATCGGATCTTAAGGTTAGCGACTGAGGAGCCACAGAAAGCCAAGAAATTGGCCACTACTGAGCTTTGACGCTCTTTCTACCGAGACCCCGCGGTGGATAAACACGGTCCGTATACGGACCGTGCCACTTGGACGGGGTCTTATCGCGCATTGTCTGGAGAAGAGACCAGTCGAGAATTGATCTCCGCATAGGTTGGCACTGTTCACGTCCAGATCAGGCAAAACATCCTGTGGATTCCCTTTGAAAGGTCCAGGCTTTAGTGTGGATGATTAAAGATGGGTCCCTCATTCAAGAATTCCTGGACTGGACAGGAACAATGATCTTCCGGAGATAAGGCAATCTTACATCAGTGTTTACAGTTCAATCTTATAAAATCAATTAATTCAACATAAAGGTATTGTTGTTACACCTATTACTATACACAGAAAAGCAAGGGTATTATAGGATTAAATTATACAAGAACACAGCGAAGAAAAGGAGCAGCGTTGCCGCCAGCTGAGATATTGCGACGAAAAAACTTGCTCGCCAATTGAAGTCTCCGTCCATGAAAGTAAAGGAAGAAAGGATATGGCACAAAACAGGACACACATATACGCCGGTAACGTGCATGACCAGCTGATTCCCAGGTTGTGAAACATGGCGATGGCTAATAAAGGTAACCCGGCTTCGAACGATCAACGCATGAAGTTGTTGCTCGCCAGCACCGAAGCGAACCAGATGTATAGGATACCGTATATGAGGGAAATGTTAAGATTCATCAGGAAGACAATTTACTCAATATTTTGATTATACTAGCAATGAATTCTACAAGGGTAGTTTTCATCTAGTTTGAGTTTTAAGGCAGTCAGAGCTCCTTACTCCGAGATAGTTTATACTCGCTCGAACTGCCTCAGAGTATATCTTGCCCGGCCCTGAGCTAGTTACAACTAGGATTCACGCCAAGCGTTGCAGAGGGAGTTTCCATGATTCTAGAGTCACTAGACTGGGTTGAAGGGGATAATGTTTGTGTTGGGGCTTCGGAGATTGTGGATGAGCTGTATAATAGTGGTATTTACGCACGGAATGGCAGCGGACGCATCCGTTATAGCTTTCATGGGTATAATCCAGTGAAGGATGTGGAGTAGATCATGCAGGTGTTTCCTGGTCTATGGAAGAAGTGAAAATAGTGATATTCTATATGCCTATTTCACATAGGTCAAATTCGCTAGTCGTATAACTGGTGACTTCATAATCTACCATCATCGATCCCCAGGGCTCTCGGGGATAGGACAAGTTGGGTGGTATTAAGAAACGGAGTACCTGTCGCAACGGATAATGCACTTGGCGTGCACTAAGCTTTACTACCGAACTTGCCTATTTCGGCGCCATCTTGCCCTATCGTGTGGTATGATATCAAGTGAGTTCTATCGCCCAACGCCTTACAAGACCCCTTGCTGTAACTGAGCCCGGAAAATCGGCAATTGGTGTGAATAGCCGATTTCTCTGAGAGCGGGGAAGTTAGCTTCTCTGTTTTCCGCTTTTCCGTAGCAAATGACTTTGTATAGATAGCTGTCTGCATATATACTCGCACTGTTCACTACCCTATGGTGAGACGAATTCATTGATCCAGCTAGAATAACCTCAGATTTACCAAGATGACGGTCGTGAATGGTTTCAAGTCTGTGACCCAGAGCGACCTGGACAGCGTAAAAAATGCGCCTTTTCTCTACCGCAACAACACAGTGAAAAAGCCCATCGCCGATGACTTCATGTATGCGTTGAAGTACAACTCCCCTCTTCCGACCCATGGGACCGAATACGTTCTTGATTTCACCACTGAAGACGATGAAAACAAGCAAGGGATTGCAGACCAGTTTCTGAAGGAGTTAAAACAGATCATCCAGGGCGGCGATTTCAAGGCATTTGCAGGGTTGTTCTTAGACAGTGGTATGTGGCCCAATAGCCTCCCTTTCGTTGCCCTAGTCTCATTTCGATAGGGGTCTGGAGAGACAAACTTGTGTTCAGCTGGGACTATCGTTCTTTCAATACGCCCAAACACATCGCAAAAGCAGCATCGGACCTGTTTCCTCGGACTCCAACCCGCAATTATCAATTCATTGACCCTGCTCCGTCAGTCGAGAGGCCATATCCGGATCTGGCCTGGCTTCAAATTTTGTTTTCTTTCGACACAGACCAGGTTAGTGCCAGTGCTGCTTTGAATCTTATCAAAACAAAATCAGGCTATAAGATTTGGACTCTCCACACTGTTATCGAGGGCCTTCATGGTCACCCCGAGCTTCCCCCGCAGGACGGCCATATGACCGGAGACAAATCGTGGTATGAGCAAAGAATGGAGGACAACAACTTGGATGGCATCGAACCTGATGTCGTCGTAATCGGTGGAGGTCACAGGTGAGCTACTGTTTACTGTTCGGGATCCCAACGCAAAGGTGTTAATTGTTCATACCTTATCAGCGGGCTTCATATTACTGCACGCCTTAAGGCTCTAGGAGTAAATGCCCTCATCATTGAGCGCAACAAGCGTATCGGTGATAACTGGCGCAATCGATACGAATATCTTTCCCTGCACCTCCCGCACTGGGCAGACCATTTCCCCTACTTCCCTTTCCCGGAGCGCTGGCCAACGTATACACCGGCCGCCAAGATGGGTGACTGGCTCGAATGGTACGCGAGTGCTCTTGAGCTGACGGCTTGGACCGATTCAAGCGTCATTTCTACCTCAAAGAAACCTCAGGGTGGATGGGAGATCACTGTTGAACGGAGTACCAAAGAAGGCAAATACACCCGCACGCTTCACCCCAAACAGGTGGTCCTTGCTACATCGCTTGCGGGTGTTCCATTTGTCCCTGATATCCCCGGTATTGAGGAGTTTAGGGGTACGGTGAGACACTCCACTCATCATAGCTCATCTCGAGATTGGGTTGGCAAGAAGGTCCTAGTTGTAGGAACGTCCTCATCTGGCTTCGATACTGCATACGATTTCGCTCGCCGTGGTATCGATGTAACTCTACTCCAGCGGTCACCAACATACATTATGTCACTAGAGGAGTCCGTTCCAAGGGTATGATCTCCTTGCCCGTTAGGATCTAGCAAGACTGATTGGCGTAGATGATTGCGCCCCTTTACGAGCCGAAAGGCGGTAAACACCCCGATATGGACACAACCGACCGAGTAGCCAACAGCCTTCCTACTGGTCCCAGCGAAGAGCTATTCCGTCGGACGGCCAAAGACATCTGGAATGCCGACGCCGAATTGCTTGCCAAGATGGAAAAGGCTGGCTTCCGAGTCTGGAGAGGTCAGCGTGACACTGGTCAGCAAACTCTCGCCTATACCAGGAATGGTGCATTTTACTTCGAGGCCGGTGCCTGCCAGGCTATCATTGATGGCAGCATCAAAGTAGAGCAAGGATACCCAGTCCGCTTCACCGAAGACCACATTGTGCTAAATGGGGAACGAGAGCAAAAGTATGACCTCGTCATTCTTGCTACCGGCTTCTCGAATACTGTCGAATCGGTACGACAGATCTTTGGGGATGACATTGCTGACCGGTTCAACCCGATCTGGGGGATGGATGAGGAGGGTGAGCTCAACTCGGCGTGGAAGTTGACCGGTGTGCCAGACCTGTGGCTTATGGTTGGTGCGCTTCAACATAGTCGATACCACTCGAAGAAGTTGGCCCTCAGGATTAAGGCGGTTCTTGAAGGTATTGGCCATGAGCCATACTTGGCATAGGTCAATACTTCCCTACCTCTATTCTCATTGCCTCATTTCAGTAGTTCCATAGGGTCCGCTTGGCGATTTGATAGCTGAGCAAATACCTTCTTTACCTCAGCGAATATTGGCCCTTTCTTGTTGTACATTATAGCAAATCTCAAATTAAAGTTGCTTTTTTGCCCAAATGTAAGTGACACTCACCTCAATTATAGGCCATCGGATTCGCTCTTGATGCAATATCCTGCTCAAGGCCTTATCTAAGCACCGCTTCTAATTCCCTTGGACAATCAGCCAAATAAAGAGCTTCATGAAAACCCCCATTCATACGGCACAATGTCCTTCTTGCCAGTCGAGACAGATCTCTATGCTCAGCGCTCACTATACAATGTTAACATCTAATCAATTCTTCTCTAATTTATCTCCAGCCAGTGCCGCCAACTGTTTATCCACACCAATCTGCCCACCACCCTCGACATTGTTGAGCTGCCCCTGTATCGTCGGAGGACCCGCCATTGCCGGCTGAGTCTGCATACTATATTCCCTACGGGCAAAAGGACCAATGCACCACCGTACATTATATATAACTATTTAGTAAAACAAAATAAATTGAAAATTAAACTACCCCCCACCCCCCCGATCTCACTGCGGTGTTTGTGCAAACACTGCACCCCTGCCTTAATCAGGGCAAGTCACCTGCTTTGACAGCTGAGGTTTCAAGGAATGAACACGGGCCAATTGATACTTATACTTATCATCACATGAGACGCCATGACCTGCTAAGAATTGCTATTTCGGGACCAGACGCAAGACAAACCTTGACGCCCGACCACCGTCTCTATGGCTAAAGATAGCCCGAACTGATTTAATCGAAATGGACAAACATCTACTACATGGCAGTAGCAGAGTTATAATATAGCCAACATGCAATTTCTGCCCTATCTAGAAATCGAAAAGCGTCTCACGATTCCTAAAATCAACTTTCATATTGGAACATTGCATTCTTTGTGCAGTCTATTCATCGTCGCCATAGAAAATCTTACCGTGCATCACCGGCGGTAGAAAGCTGCCGTCGCAAACCTTGAAGCGCTGCGGAATAGCATCAATCGCAGCCATCTCGCGGTCAGTCAGGTCCCATCCGTCCACTACCAGGTTGCCCTTGATTCGGTCTGGATTGACGGACTTCGGAATGACTGACCAGCCCTTTTGGAGACCCCATCTGATTAGGACCTGCTGGACAGATCTGCCTTTGGCTTGGGCCAGGTCCAGGAGGGTCTGGTTCTTATATAGAGGGGAGCCAGTGGACCCGAGGCAGGAATACGCGGTGCTGTGGATCCCTTTCAACGTGTTATACGCGACAAGCTTGGGAGATGGCCGGTTAGGGTGCAGCTCAATCTGGTTTACGGCAGGAATCACCTATATATCGTCCATCAGTGCGGATTCATTGGGGCGTTAGATGCGACATGATCTCACCTGACAGGATGAATCGTGGAGCAGGCGTTCCAGATGCATGATGCCAAAGTTGGACACCCCGATGCTCTTCACTTTCTTCGTAGATAGGAGCTTCTGCATCTCAGCCCAGGTCTGGACGTAGTCCCAATCGGGTACTACTTTGGTCAAGTCACCGGGGTCCGTGGCGCAGGGCCAGTGGACGAGATATAGGTCGACATAGTTGGTTCGCAGTTTCTGAAGCGATTGGTCCAGCGCCTCAGACACTCGCATGTGCCACTGATTGTGAAGCTTTGTTGTAAGGAAGATCTCTTCGCGAGGCACTCCCGAAGCACGGATTCCAGCGCCTACTTCGGCTTCGTTGCCGTAGGCTGTGGCGGTGTCGATGTGCCGGTAGCCGCAGCGGAGGGCGGCCTCGACGGCCTTCTCGACCTCTCCTGGTTTCGATTGCCATGTTCCAAGTCCTATGGCGGGGATTGTATATCCAGAATTGAGGCTGAAACCTTTCCTGTTGTTGGGTAGAAGTATGAGTATGTGTCAGTGATCGGGATTTGCTTGCTTACTTGCTTAGGTCGGTAGATGGCATTTTGAACGTGGGCAAGTGACTGACGCTCGTAGAGAAGAGTGAGACAGCCGACTATAGACCATGTACATGTATATGTGTTCCTGAACTTATATACACCTGCTGCAATAAAGTGTGTATCGCCATACTACTGTGGATTATCCACGCCCTGGAAAATCGGAAAATCGGAGATTGCCACGAGCGCCTACCCAAGTATAGATCGACAAGACTTGCATATTGAGATATCGGAAAGCCTTCATTTGCACTGCTCCAAGATCCTCAACTCTAATTTGACGCAACCTACTTCTTTCTGATATAATCGGCGATAGTCGTCAGAGCAAATCCCCCCCGAGACGGAAATTGATTTACGTATTGGGAATGGGTTAACATGTATTAATACGTTTCAATCGATGAATCACGGAAAACAGCCCCTTGGATAAATTGGCGCTGTCTCAATACTGAATAGGACTATTCTTGAAAACCTCAGTATAGTAGACGTACTTTGATTTGGCTCACCGGGGCGCGTTGTAATATCTTCGCTGATGTAGACCTTAGACCTTTGCAATTAAACATACAGCAACAAACCTCGGTGTGTAGACGCATGCCATCCCATCAACGCAACTTCGAGTTGCTGGTTCTTGTGATGTGTCTTTGTCAATAATCTAATATCGCTGAGCAGATATACTTGACCATGAATCAAAGAATGTATATTGAAAGGCATGAAAGACCGGGTCGCCTGGTATCCATTTTCCGAGCGACATAAATTTAGGTAGTCCTATATTGCCTTTCTCAAAGAACAGACGACATTTCGTCGCTGGGAGGCTCAACAGCCAACACTGGCTATCACAAGTGCCCTACGGCACTTGATTGAGACGCCCTTGACCACGTGCTCTGCAGTGTCAAGAGTTGAATCGCTGAAACACGGGGGTTGTGGTGGCACGTCGTGAGAAAAGGTCAGCAGGCAAACATATCATTGACTTGTGCTCTATTCTAATTCAGCTGCAAGTGGGTGCTCAGATCTCCAGCCAACAGCGGAAAATCGGGACTTGTATTTTGCGCAACCATAAGGAAACAGGGTTCCGAAGGAATCAGCGCCCTCATCCATGCGGAGTGCTCCCACGTTCGCCTCCTTGTAGGCCACATTGCAAGAGCTTCTTCATATTCTTTGCCATTGCTAATGATAGGCAGATAGAGCTCTGTTGGGGTCTTATTCCCCGGATGGTTTGCGGCATCGTGTGATCCGTGCCGCGGGGGAACGATGACTATGTTTCCGCAGTGCCGGCGTTGCGCATTCGAGTATAAGATCAAGTTGATGGCTATCGTTCACAGGAGGTTACCATGATCCCCGTCTCCTCAGCCTGTCTTTTGAATCTCTCCGTTCAACGCCATTCATCATGCTCTCTGAGTACCAAGGCCAAGACCAGGTCAGAGCCTACCGCTATCACGGCAACAAGGACATCCGCCTAGAAACCATTCCAGCCCAGGGTGAGCTGAAAGAAGGTGAAATCCGGCTCTCCCCGGCCTGGTGCGGCATCTGCGGTACCGACGTACACGAGTATCTCCATGGCCCCGTCGTGCCGCCGACCAAGGAGAATCCACATCCCCTGACGGGCGACACGATGCCCATCATCCTAGGCCACGAGTTTTCCGGTACCGTGACGGAGGTTCACCCATCCGTGGACCTGAAGGTCGGGTCATTCGTCGCGGTTGAGGGCCTACTTGCTGACGATAGTTGCTATGCATGCGTAATCCGCAAGCGCAACATTTGCGACCAGTCGGCATTTCTGGGCCTCTCCGCCAACCCTGGCGGCCTGTGCGAGAGCATCGTCATCCCCGCCAGTGTCTGTCACGTCCTTCCTGATGGGATGGGCCTGGAGGCCGGAGCTTTGATCGAACCGCTGGCTGTTGCGTGGCACGCGGTGTCCAACGCGGGCATCAAGGCCGGACAGTCGGCAATCGTGTTTGGCGCCGGGCCTATCGGACTAGCGGTCATGCTGTGCCTGCGGGCCAAGGGCGTCAGTCAGATCTTAATGTCCGAGCCATCGACAGCACGGCACGCGCAGGCCATCGAGATGGGGGCCAGGCACGTTTTCGATCCTACGAAAGTGGATGTCTCCGGCAAGGCCAACGAGATCTGTGAGGGGTGAGTCAAGCATCATGATCACGTACACCTGCCCAAAGCTTCTAATGCGTTGTCTCAGACTTGGTCCCGACTTCGCCTTCGACGCCTCGGGCGTCCAGGCCACCATAACAGAGGGCATCAAAGCCATTCGCAAATACGGCATGTACTATAACATCGCTCTGTGGAGTGCACCTGTATGCCGTTCCCTTTCCTTCCCTCCTCGTTTAACAGAACTCGAACAGGACGTATTGACAAAAGAAAACCAGGCAATCATCGACATGCACGACATGCTCTACTACGGCAAAACAATCAAGTCGGATCTATCTTTCTCCAAGGGCGATTTCGAGGCCGTTATCGACGCCATCAATCGCGGATTGATTACGCACGAGAGTCTCAACTCCATGATCACATCGCGGATCGAGCTAGAGGAGCTAGAGGAAAAGGGAATCCAGGAGCTGATTAGGAACAAGGAGAGACACGTCAAGATCCTTATTCGAGTTGATAGGACGCAGCCGATGCCGGTGGGGGTTTGATGTCTCTTAGCGCTTGGCAGCACATTTATGTACGTCTTGATTTGCATTTATGTGAAGCCGCATGACTGCGCCTGAATTATGTGAGTTTTATCATTCAATATACTACGGGTTGTATGCGAGTGGCGATTCCCAAGTTGGTTGAAGTATATAGGAAATCGGAATCAGACCAGTCTGGGAAGTTTCCACCACTATATAATTGAATATAGTGCTCGGAAGAATCGACTTGCTTGACACTCTCCTACAACCCCAGAAGACCGGGGGTCATCGGGGCTAGGCCGATGATGATCTTCATTTCAACGATTATACCTATTTTGGTATACGCTCGACTGGCTGTCCGATTCTTTACTCCTTCAACAGGGCAGTGACGGTGCAAAGTATAGACCGGAAGAGCGGACTTTTTAACCCGGACGATTGGGCTATATCCACGCCGTCGGGAGTCTGCAGCATGCATTGACAGTGGCAAAGCTAAAGTTAATCGCGAGACATGGAGGTGAAGTAGGTATAAGGGCTTATATTAAGTTGCTCCGATGCATCTGGGACTAAGTGACCCTGCAGCAAAACAGCTAGTGGACACGGGGGGGGGGGGGGGGAATGAGACCTAGACGGGTAAGGATCACATTGAGACTGCTCTCAGTTTAAACCATAGGTTTTGCCATAGAACGTATCAAATAAATTACGTTTCTCCACATCTAGACCACTATCATCAAGGCCCATCCCCATCTGTGGTAAGCCACCCTCATAAAACCAATTCACTGGCTCGTCATAGTAGCGCTGGAGATCCGGTGGCAATGCTGCTATTTCAGAGTAGCCACCGGAAGCGATCTCAGTCCGACTCGGATCATCGATGGAACCTGCTTCGGGCAGATACCCGAGATCGATAAGCGGGGGCACTTCAAGGGGCTCATTCCAGTCTTGAGAAGAGCATGCATCTGTCCCATAGAGCCAGAGGCCAGTTTGAGAGTCTTCATGCGTGAATGGCGAGTTTTGGTCTGGATTCTCGGAAGCCAACCATTCATTGGAACCGGTCCGGGTCTTGTTATTTTCTTGCTCCGCATCCCGGCTACCAGTTTTGGTCGGACTGTTTTCACTGGACTCGTCTGCGTCTCCGTCAGCCAGGTCCTCGGCTGAGTCCTCGTCCTGGGGAGCAACGCGCTTGATAAGGGTGGATAGAATGCCCAAGGCTTTCTGGGAGATGGGATAGGAGTCCCCGAGCTCCGATAGCGCTGGAATACACCCACGCAGGAGTTGGCTATGTGGTTCGGCGTTGGTCAGTCGAAAGTTGATCAGGTGAATCGTTGCTGCGATGAATATGATGTGCACCGCGTTCGGTGAGATCTGCCGTATATTGTAATGCTCCCGGTAGTCACACACAAGACGCACAATATTCGCAGCAGCAATTGCACATGTTTTAGTTGATGTGGTGGGCGAGTTTTGGCCTTGGGTAATCTCACGCCGAACCCTGGAGAATTCTAGAAAGGGTCGGTGAAGGAGGATGAGATTGTAATAGAATTGCATACTACCTGACTGATTAGCAAGGGGCGGTTGGGTTGAGACGATGGGAGGCAATCAATACTGTAAGACTAAGACTGAAGGTGAAGCACGAGCCGTGGTCCCACTCGGCGGCCATGACAGGTCCGCTGGGAGGTCGTGCTGCCATTCCCAAAGTTCTCGGTGGATCTCTGATGCGATCCTTTTCAAACCATCATCACGATTGTTATAGTGCCGTTGCGCGTAAAGCCCCAGCAGCGTTTTGCCGCATAGTTTGTTCAGAGATACCGTCCATGGCAGAAGGTGAGGGGACATGTATGGTTTGGCTTGAGGCTGTTCCTGCGGAGAAGCAATTGTGATGTCCCAGTCCATCAGCATCGTCGGTCGCTGGCAATATGCGCTATAAAGCCTGACTCTGTCAGTGGGAGATAGGCCAAGTCGAGGGCGAGCTTGGTTACTTGTCTTCAATGTAGCAACCCCAGAACGTCACCAGCCGACTTTGGGCTGTCTCCTCCGACATGTGGCCCATGGCAACCATTTTCGAACAGTCTAGGTGAAGAGCTAATTTGGTAGCCATGCGAAAGGCCATGCCTAGAATCTGTCAATCTCAAATGCTCCTATACACTGCCATACTGCGTACCACTAAACGTCCAGCCAAGGCAGCTGTCTATGAAGGTGCCATACCGGGCGCCTATCAGAACGGCCGCTTGAACGGTGGTCACCGCCGGGGTCTCCATCTCGATCTCGAACAATATCCGCGCTCGCTGGTTAAATATGTCGCCTGGCACATCTCCCGGTCCTGCTGAGTATCGCTTGACACCCCTGTCCGTGCTGATCATAGAGGCCAACGCCAGGATCGCATAGAGCAGGCAGGGCGTGTAAAAGTTGCGATCACCCAGTCCATCTCCCTCCTGCGCTAGCTTCCGGTGCCGCAGAAATATTTCTCGATCGATGAGGAGGAGATGTGATGCCTGGTACTCCCAGAATAGATCCAGAAGGTGAGAAACGATCGGCTCCGGTTCGGTGAAGTCTTCCAGCGAGGTTGGGGAGAGTCGTGCCCTTTGCATCACATGGTCCGCGACGGCATGGCGTGGTGGCGGGGATTGTCGTTCGCCGTAGGGAAAGATGCTGGAAGCGCCAAAGTAGCGTTGGTTTCTCTCCTCTGCTCCTGGAAGCACGCCCGCCGGTGGTGTGACCTCATCCATGCCGGTGGGAAAACGTTTCGAGTGTATGGGGCGGGATTTCCCCTTGTCCGAAGATCGCATACACCGGGCCGACGATGTGAATGATGCGGCACGGTTGTGCGTGTTGCACGCGTCGAGGGGTTGCGCGGACATCGACGACAAAGCGCTACTCGAAGCAGCCGGGCTGGGAAAGCTTTGCTGCCATTGGGGACCAAGCGGACCGGGAGAATTGGCAGCCGACAGGTCCTTCGGATCTCGAATTCGCGACACATCATCTCGGGATGCGCCAATGCTGAGGTGGTCGCTCGTCGGCCTCTCGTCACCTTCAACCGGTCTCCTCTGCGATGAGATGTTTCTGATCTCATTCTCAAGGCTGGCGATTCTGGCATGAATCTCCACATTGGTATGGCGCTTCCTCTGTCGACGTCGGTCCTCGCCGCGTTGGCGGGAATCGCATGGTTCATTCCGCTGACGGCATGCCGAGCAGGAATCGCCAGGGGCGATCTGTTGGGCGATGTCACACCGTCGCTTGGCCTTCTTGCATCGAGAACAGGCGTAGCTGGCGCGACTGGTGTGCCGTGTTCGGGGTGGTGTGTGTTTATCGGCCATCGCAGTCGTATGTGATGTGAAGTCCGTCGACTGTTCCGCGGTGGCAGCGAACCTATCTGTCTGGAAACAGCAAGATGATACAGCTAGAGGAGAGGGGGGCGCTTGCCCTGGTTACCCCGCGTTCTACGGATAGTATCCGCAGGAGGTGCAGGTGGGGATGAGATGAGACGCAGATCGTGATATAGTTGAAGATGGGAAGGCCATTCAGGAAAGGCGGAAAAGCGGATGTTCGCTTTCCCGGTTTTCCGCTGCCTCCACCATGCTTTTTTTGTGGGCATCATGATCAACCTCTCCTCTCCAGCTACCGCATATTCCACCCCGACCTTAATTATGTCCGGTGGAAATTCCTGTCAACTAGCACAGTTGCCCGTCTCGTTCAATCCATCATGAAGCGAGGCAAGCCCTCCCCTGCCTGGTGCTCGGTCCCAATCAATCAGAGTCCAATGACCCGAACTGACCCCTACCAGTCAAACCTGCCGGGTTAGACACTGTTCATGCGATCGAGCGCAGCCAGTATGCAGCACATGTGTGCAGAAGGGTCGGGAATGTATCCCGTCGTACAATATTCGCTTCCGAAAGAGTCGCGGTACGTTCGGTTTTCGCGATGACCAAGTATGGGTACCATTGCCGCCGGAACGAAAGTCCACTGGCCCCACGCTGTCAATTCTGGCCGTCACTGATTGTCGTCGTCAATAGTGGACTTTGTGAACCAAACCGTGGACCATATTGGGACTTATGCCGACTTCCACTCTCCCCTGGACCTTGACGCCAATTGCCCTCGCTCCATCTCTTCAAAGCTCACGTTGGCCCCAATATTGTCCAGCCCCTCGCTGGTGCCGCCATTGCTGGGAATTCCGGAGGCTCATTTCATCCAGGTCTCCCCCGAACCTCTTCTAGTCTTGCCAGAGATCTTTGTACTGGCAGCAGAACCACCTGCCCTCTATCATGAGGTCGCCTGTGCCCCCGCGGACAGGCGACGCTATGCGACCTTGTTGACTCATTTCCGGCGTCATGTTCGATGTGACCGACTCCGACTTTTCCATCCAGGTTCTCCGCTTTGTCCCCACGTGTCCGATCCTGCTCTTCTCCACCCTAGCCCTTGCTGCGAGGCATTTGCAGCGCTTTGCCGATGACGACGTTGATGAGGCGGAGCATTACCACGAGAAATGTATTGAGCTTCTACTTCCCGCTCTGAATGATCTGAATGACCGGACCGCCACCTGCGATGGGGCGATTCTGGCTGCCTCAGTGTTACTCCGGCTCTACGAAGAGATCAGCGGTACGCACACGTCCAGCACAGTCATTGCCCCAAGGAGGACTAACCAACGAGCTTGATGTGCAGCCCCGATCCACGGCTGTGATGATGCGTCGCACCTGCTGGAGGCTTTGCATTCGTGACAGAGGTGCAGAACGAAAACCGCCCCTGGCAGGAAGGCCTGGGGCGTGGTGCATTCTGGATTCATCAGCGCCAGGACATGATCAACGCAATCCTCAACCAGCGCCCCAACAAGGCCGATCTCACGTTTTGCGGGCTAAACCGGATACCTAACGATCCCAATCCAGAAACCTGGGCCAAACGGAGCACGTGTGCATCCTCCATCGAGCGGTGCGAGGCCCTGAGACATCAGCTAGACTGTTGGGATATGCACAAACCTCCCTGCTACGCGCCCTTCTTCCATGGTGATCTCAGCCACCGGACGGGGGATGCATTTCCCGAAATCACTTTCACCCTGGACGCAGCGAGTGCGTGACACAGCCCCGTCTTTGACCATCCTGCTGATACGTTCAAGTCGTCGGTGTGGCCTACTATCATCTCTCGATGCTGCTCATGGCAATCTACAATCCCCAGCAACTTAAGATAGGGCTCCTGCACGTAAAGAGTCGCCAACAGATTGAAGTAAGCAAGCTTTACCGATCAAGATGGCCAACTGGCTGATCCACCCACAGCGCGAAGTGCAATTCCGTGTTCGAGCACTCTGTGGCAATGCCCTCTCCAATCCCTGCCCGCCCGCCCGTGTGGTGGCTTGTCTAGCAATATTGCAGTGTATGTTAGCACTTGGATCCCACCAACTCCTGGCATAGTATGACCTACTAACCGAGACCAGGTGGTGCGTGGTTCACGGACCCAGGTGAACAGCGCCAACTTGTAGACATCATAAATATGGTCGAGCGAGATGATATGTAGCCGGGGGGTTCGACTATTGCTTCCCTGCCAGAGCAATGGAGTGTTGCACACTGAAGCTCCACTTTCCGGGCATGAAGATTATGACCAGAATGGAGGTTATATCAATATATAATCATAGCCTGCTGTGGTGGAATACGCTATGCAGAGTAACATGTCTAATCCACGAGTGCTCTGTACATAGTATTGTTCATCCTTTCTACAAAGAGATATCGCCTGGTGAAACAATTTTTGTAATTGAAATACGACAGCACTAGAGCCAGAACAAGAATTGTACCCTTGAGGCGAGGATCGCGGGGCAGACCATTGCGATTGCTGAGAGTTCGTGGCAGGCAAGGTTGCGCCACATGTGCAGGATGGGAGAGAATTCGGGGGGACTATAGAGGGGCAAGGCTTTAAGCTCGAATAGACTATCTACCTAACTATTTATTTAGAAGCTAATAGCAGACTTCAATCACAATAAAAGCGACCTGTATAACGATCTCCAAAGCTAAACTATTAGTTTCTCTCTGCAATAGCTAGCAAGTGATCCGCGTTGCCTAATAGCGTTTCATCGTCAACAAACTGCATCACAACATCTACCCAACGCTCGTACACGTCCGGCAATAGATCGCACAGCTTCCCGGCCAATCCTCCCCCGAGAAATCCTTCGCAAGTTACAATCCGGGACAAAGCAAGCCCGATATTATCCTGAGTCCTCAATAGCCCATCAACCGTCCGAAACAATTTCCTTATATGCTCCGCATTCGTATGATACGAAGCCATGGAAGGATTTCGGGTGTACCTCCCTGAAGCAAGATACTCGCGATAAAAACCATCGAACTCCTTCGCAAGACGAGCCGGATCCCGTTGGGCGATATCCCTTAAGTGCGCATATTGGGTGACGAATGCGACCGCGAGAATCCCGTTGCCACGAAGCATAGAAGCACAAGCACGGAGAACGTGTGTACGTTCAGATTCTTCGAGAAGGTGGTACATTGGGCCCTGGCAGAGAATCAAATCATAGGTGGATGTCGTGAAGACGCTTCTTGGATGTTCTTCCTTGGGATACACCTGAATGGTTCGTGCATCGGCTTCGACAATGGCGTCGAGGGTCACACCAGATTCGCCGGCGAAGGTCTTAGCTAGCTCAAGCTCCGATCTGGAGATATCGGCCAGCGTGACTGAGTGGCCTTTTCGTGCCAGCTCGACAGCTAGATAGCCGCATTTTGTCAGTGTAAGCTTTCTTACGGTAGCTTCCCCGCTCTTCACACACATATTGGGCAGAAGCAATGAATGCTTCAAAAAGAATGGTCATGAGCAATAGCATAGGCTTACCGTATCGGCCTGTTCCCCCGCCTAGATCCAAAATTCTCAATGGTTGGTCATGTCGCTGTCGTAGCTGCTCTAGACACTGATTAATTACCCTCAGCGAAACGGAGAATTCGAGGCGGCAAGCATTTAGTCGATTGTGCTCTAGAGCCGCGTTTTGGTTATACCACTCAGCAACTACTTGCGTATCGGTCATTGTATAGTGTATCTTGACCTTTGCGGCACTTGGATGAGGACACCAGGGTAAGGATTTGGCTTTATAGAATGAAGACGTAGGAATAGGCACCTTCTGTCGGCCGCCTCTTCTAAGGTGAACGAGATCTGCATGCACCGAACATGATTTATACCTCTTTCACCACCATTAGCTGACATCTGAGGTCAGCTGTCATCTAACGGGGCGCTTCTCGTATTCGTTACCGGGATCTCCGCCGTGTTAAATGCCTCATAATGTTCGTAGCATGCGTGCCTTGCTACTCCACTCTACATGAGAAGTTGGCTGGGTGTATCCCTCGGACGTTACATTCGATGCTTGACAAAGTAAACCAGGAGTCAGGGAGATCTGGAGGTATTCGCCATGGAGGGAGCCGCACGTCCATACTTGTTGCCGCTGACAACCATTTGTCAGCTAAGTACATAGCTCAAAGCTACCCAGAAGTTCGATTTTGGAAGCATTTCATGCGAAAATATGATAGCCAAATCAGTACATATACCACACCTCAATCGAGCTCGGTTTCTTTCGCCAGCAAAGATTCACGATCAGATAAGATCCCATTGACGGATTTTTTATCTTCCCCAATCGCAAGACCCCTGAAGGACCCGATTGGTACTGCGGATCCACTTAGTAGCCATGGCAGACTCCATAATGTGGCATCGTCGCTTCTTCCCAGCCAATTGACTGAGCTTTGGATATCGCAGCTTCAGCTGACCCCTCATAGAAAGGGCAAAAGCGCAGGTACACCGGGTGGATGAGGAAAAGACGCCAATCTGGAATGTCACAAACTCAATTCGGATATTTTCTTTCACCCTTTTTCCAAAATACTCCCTCGTTTTCCTCCCCCCCCCCCCACGAAACCAAAAACAGTAATATCCTTCGTTTCGCCCTTTATTGTGCATTCCTATCCTGTTCTCACATTACTCCTTGGGGTTACCACACAGCAATGCGATCTCGTCGGCCGAGTGGCGCAAGCGCTTGTGAGCGCCAACCCCTGTGGGCAAGGCCAGATGAACTGGAGGAGAACAATAACAAAGACTTCAACAATAAACGCCACCTGGGTCTATTCTCGACGGCCCTACTCCTGTAGGGAATACATTGTTTCTTTCATCCTGCTGTCGATCTCGGAAACTGAGTGCGATGCAGGACTAACCGCATGATCGGCGCCGCCATCTTCTCCGTACCATCTTCCATCTTTCTCAGCGTCGGCAGTGTGGGTGCAGCACTTTCGCTATGGGTGGTGGGAATCTTCCTGACCTTCTGCGGGTTTTACATCTACCTGGAACTGGGGTGTCTAATGCCGCGCACTGGTGGGGAGAAAGTGTACTTTGATACGGCATATCCTCGCCCTTACCGTCTCGCTAGCACGCTTTACGCGTTCTATGTGCTATTTGGATTCCCGGGTATGGTCCTTGTACTCAACGTCTTCCGGAAAAATCTGGAAACGTACTAATATTCCTTAACCATATAGGCCTGGCCAGTATTGTAGTCGCCGATAACACCCTCCTTGCGTTCAATATCGCTGCCAGTGAGGCTGGGCAGCGACTGGCTGCGGTTGGAATAATGGCCTTGGTCGCAGCATGCCTTTCTATATCCCGCGAATGGAGCGTACGAATTGTCAACTCGTTAAGCTTACTAAAGCTTGCGACCTTCCTGTTGATTCTTGCAACCGCGTTTGCCATCCTTGTGGGAGTGCTTCCAAGAAATGCTGATACCGGTGCCAATTTTCGCCAGCCATTCGCTGGTTCTTCGACCACGGTATATGATTACACTGTCTCGCTTTTCAAAGTACTAGAATCTTTCCTGGGTTGGAACAGTGCAGGCATGGTGTTAGGGGAGGTCAAGAACCCTCGGAGGACCCTCAAGGCGGCCGGTCTGCTCGGGGTCAGCTCAGTTGGCATACTCTATCTGCTAATCAATGTCTCTTATTTTATTGTCGCTACACCGGATGATATTAGCCGGGCCGGTGTGCAGCTGGTCGCCCGACTTCTGGGCAACGTTTTCGGGAGCGCAGCCTCGCGTGTCACCGCGGCTATGGTAGCTCTCTCCACCTTTGGCAGTATGATCTCCACGGCATTCGCAGTCACACGGGTAATCCGGGAACTCGCAGTGGAAGGAATCGTTCCCGCGGCTAGTATTCTGTCCAAGACGTCCAAGTCCGGTAACCCAGCCACAGCGACATCGGTGTTTATGTTCGGGCCTTCGGTAGTGGCAGTCTTACTCTTACCCTTTGGTAGGCTGGTTAAAATCAAGAAGTGAATTGTGCATGTGCTAACATTCGAAACAGGGGATGCTTATGCCTTTCTACTAGATGTGAACCAGTATTTCCTGGTGATGATATACGGTGCTGTCGTGGTAGCTCTTTTCATCATCCGACAACACGTCCCATCTGCCGAGTACCCATTCCGCGTGTGGACTTGGGTACCATATCTCTTTCTCGCTTGTCAAGTTTTCCTACTGCTCTCCCCTCTTGCATCTCCCAGTGGGGCTGGCGACACCAATTTGCCCTTCTGGCTTGCCCCTTCTGTGTCCTTCTTGGTGATCGGACTCGGCGTTATGTACTGGCGACTGAAGTCGTTCGTCGCCCCTGTAGGGGACGAACCATTCTGGAACCGACAGGATAATCCTCAGTCATATGGTTCCGTGGCCGCGTCATAATTTGGCACAGCCACGAGGACTAAGACATACCGGAATACGGTTCACTATCCATCATAGACGAATATACTAGAATAGAGCCGATTTTATCGTACAGGAATGCCCCACTGGTCCTTTCAGGGGCTTATTTGACTTGTAAAATTGGTCTCTGCCTCCCCATCATTCGGCCGTGACCGTCGTAGGTTGGCCCCTTAAATGGAATTTCTCTCTGGCGAAAAGAGTTCCTGAGATCTACTCATCAGGTATGTTTCTTAATTTTCTCGGGTAGTAGATGGAAGCCCTCAGGTAGGGTACCTCATTGGAATGGAGGAATATGTTGATGGCTTCTACCGATTGAGTCATTCGTAGCGCATGGAAGATCATCCCCTGTGCATGCGGTACCATGGGTCTATGTTCAGGAGGACTACTTTAGCTATCACCTTTTCAGGGTGTGCGTTGAGCTAGAAAGCCTACATGTTATGGTTTCATGGAGTAGGGCAATTGAACAACCAGAAGTTGGGTTGTACAGTATGGAAGGCCTAGTACGTTGGACTATTGAAGTAGTTCACATGTGCGCCCCATTGTCTCACCTAGCGGAACCCAGCAATTTATACATTGCTTCATTGGTCAGACACAGCTTGGTATGGCGTAGAAGCTTTGTACAAGCTTTCGATTCTCATCACAGCCTAGCAGTTGAGCCGCCTGTGGGATAATCCAGGTTATTGGCTCCACTTGCCCGAAGTAGTCAAACTTTCGATATCAAATATGGTAGCCTAAATGGTAAGGAATGCTCATACCTGCCGGAACCTGACCTATCTAAGGGTACGTTCCTTTCGTGGAGAGACAGCGGGGGGGAAGACGGCGCAGGGGCTGAACAACTGAGGCAGAGACAAATGCGTGATTATTCTTCCATCATGTAGTGCATATCTATCCATAAAAAGCACCCCTCCCTTGTTGGAGTCCACGAGCGATGATCACTTGCCTATTTTCCTGTCGTTCCTGGCCTCCCACAGTTCTACTTTTATCACTATTGGGCGTTTTTTTGGTGCCTATCCTATGTAAACCTTCGTGATAGAAAGAAAATTGAGACATGATCGTCCTATACATCGCCACTTAATTGCTAGTATTCTTAATATCTTTGACTTTGTTCGGTGGCAGTGCTCAACAATTTTTCCGACGGGATTGACCTCATAGGTACAGCAACAAGAACATTCATGATATCACGGCCCGACGTCGGAACTCGTCCGTACAAACCCATGGTGGATAATCGGGCATACCGAGTCTTCAGCGAGTGCCGAAACGTGGAAGGGCTTCTGGGAAGATAAGAATAGAAACGCCGGATCGGCTAATGATCGACAACCGTTTGATGTCACGTCGGGTCTTCGCCTTCTTTTAGGGAAAAGTTCCGTCTCAGGGCTCGGAAGTTGTGATGCCGTTTGGATCCGATCGATGGAATGTTGTTCTTTCATTGGGCGTTACTCGGAGCTCCCCGCAAGGGTTTTTTTTTCCCCGAGATTTTATTCATTTTGATTCCTGGATTTTTGAAAGAATGTCGGGATCTGACCCACTTCACTTATATTGACACCCTATTAAGACTTGCCATGGATAAAACATGTCTCACTTCTTCTCCACTATCTGGATATTTTAGGAGACTTCGAGATTGAAGTCTTAAACCATCGTAGCTTAAACGTCAGAGATATAGATTAACGACCGTGATATAAAAGGCCACTGGGATTCCTAGCTACAATCTCCTCATCATCAACAAAATCTCTCTAAATTACAAGCCATACCAAGCAGATCCTCTTTTATAACTAAATTTCTACCTCTCAACACATTCAAAATGAAGTTCTCCGTTGCTGCTTTTGCCTCCCTTCTCTCGGTCGTCAGCGCTGCTGCTGTCCCTTCCAACAACACTGCACTCCCCGCGGCCTTCACTCTGGTCGCTGATGGCGGCAGAACCGCTCTGACTGATGGCCGTAAGTCCTCTTTTAATTAAAATCCAAGGTTCCGTGAACAATCACTCATAATTTTTATCTAGAGTACGTCTACGTCGGCGGTGACGCTACAGACGGCAAGGAGATCCTCATCCTGCGCTCCGCCGCCAACGGCATGGTCTCCTTCACCTCCAAGGACGGTGTCCCCACTGCCTTCCAGAACCTCTACATCGTGGAGAAGGACGTGACCCCCGTCTCACTCACTATCCCTCACTCTGGTGCTATTCCCGAGAACGGCAACATGAACGGCTTCGGGCAGAATGCCCAGGGCTACTTCACCAACAATGGTCGCCCCTGGTTCTCTGTTGATGTTGGCGACGCTCCCTCCAAGCAGGTCTACTGGTACGGTGGCCACAATGCTGAGTATTACGGTCTCAACCTGTGGGTCAAGGAGTGCAAAGGCTGCTAAGTGCGGTCTGTCGCATTGTAAATATCGATTCCGTCCTACATATTCTTGTGGATTTCGTTCACGGGGTGTTTTCTTTTGATGTGGCTTTTTAAGGTCTGGAAACCTTTAATCAGTTCTGCTTTGTACTCGATACCCGGGACTTTGTATAAATAGTTAGCATGTTACAAGTTCTGTTTTATCAAATTTACAGTTTTTATTACTATCACCGTTCCTCCATATGGTCTAGTATCTAGCTCAGTTAAACCTCTTCTCAGCAACGCTGAAAGTCCAACCCTCTGAAAACGTGCCACATTGAACATCATCCCGGTCGTGGAAGATATCATCATAGTGGGCGATACGCGTCTCCGGTATTTCTGCCTGTCGGTAATAGTTATGCGCCAGTCTCTGCATAGTGGGGTTGTTCCACATGGTCTCCATCCAGGCCAACGCAGCAGGACTGGCCGTGTCAAGGGGAAGGTTGTAGGTGCGGAAACGCTGCGGGATTCATTCAGCATCAATTTCTAATTCAAACAATACAAATACTGTGAAAGGCAAGGAATATACATACCCATAGAACAGGCCAAAAGAAGGCATCAGCGATACTAAACGAACCAAACAAGAATCCCTCATCCTTCTCGTTCAATTCGGCCAAACGAGCTGTGGTCATACGTCTCGCATTATCCCAGATAACGAGAAGCCGCTCGATCTCCTTCTTTGCCTGCTCGGACACGGGGACATTCCCCGTATACCGGGCAATGAAGTTCGTACCGTAATGATTTCTCAATGTCGAGAACCCCGAGTGCATCTCGGCTGCTGCGCTGCGCGCCAATGCTCTGAGCTGTCGGTCGCGCGGCCAGAGATTGAGTTCGGGATTGGACTCGGCCAGGAACTCGCAGATGGCTAGTGAGTCATTGAGACGGATGTTTTGGCCTAGTGAGCGACATTCTAGTAATGGGACTAGGCCCGTGTGGGAGACCTTTTTGACCTGTTTTTGTTAGTTTCTTCGCTACGAGGAGTGTTGGGGGTATGTCATATACCTCGGATAAGTGGATGATCTGGGCTGTGTAAGGGATGTTAAAATACTCGAGGACTGTTTCTACGCGGGATGTCCAGCCTGTAATATCACATCGTTAGTATATGGTGCGGTAAGAAGGGTGATGTTTCATACTGGAGTATCTCGTATGTGTTCCAATGAGATGGTAGTCAGGCTGCTGCGTTTGTTCGGTCATTGTGAACTGCTGAACGTTACTAATGGAAGAACGGTTGGTTCGATACTTTGTCGTTACATCGAGGAGAGAGATTTATATATAATGGTTTCTCTGCAACGCGCGGAGTGGGGTGATGAGTCATTCCTCGTATTCCAGACTGTCCACTACAAGATAGGTTTCAGATGCTTATAATATCAAGACTATCCATGATTGTCACGTGAAAATATTTGGAAAACGTTACAAGGAGACCATATTCCTTTTATCTCGTCATTGCTCTAGGTCAAAACACAATTCTTGGTGCTGGGGTATATAGTACTAGTTACAAGTGAAGCACTGAAGCTGAATTAGCCACCTTCTATAATAGAGTTACATAGTTATCAGAGACAGGTTCATGAGATAACTGTTATTTATATAACTGCAGACAATAAGCGTTCCTTCTGATCACCCTTGACAGCTGCGATGCACTCAATCTCAACGTCGGTCCCTAGGGGTAGCTCCTTGACACAGACACAGGTCCGGGCCTTCGATATTTTGTCAACACTAGCTGATCTGACAAGCGCCACTATAGAGTAAGGAATCCCAACTAACCGGCATTGGATCTGAAAAGAAGGTCGTATATACTTCATTCATAGGCCCGAAGTCACCCATATTCGTGAGGTAGATGTTACACTTAACAATATTTTCCAAGCTTGACCCTCCAGCCAGGAGGATCGAGTTGATATTTGATAATATTTGCTTCTGTAGCAGTATATTCAGCAAATGTATGGCCATGTTGATTGGTTATGTCTTGAACTCACAGTCCGTTCCTGGACTGGACCTTCTACCAGGAGCCCTGTCTCCGGGTCGCAGCCTATCTGACCTGAGCAAAATATGATATTTTCAAAACGGATTGCCTGGGACAGGAAGGTAGGAGGTGTTGGTGCTTTCGTTGTATGGATAGCCCTTGGAATCGACATTTTGGGAAGACCACGTCTTTCTTTATCTGGGAAGAGAAGAGGGATTTATTTTGGTGGGTGTTCAAAAGCCACTTGGGTGTGTATTTAGAATCTCTCTACAACAAGCCAGGGTATATATCTGTCATATGTCAATGCATGAGTAAGTCTTTTGTTAGTAATGCCATTTATGGTGATGTGGCGTGTGGCTTACTGTTACGGACGCCCAACCTATCCGAGAATATTGTACCCTGGGAAAGTACATTGAATGCCTGGTAAGACCAGGTACATTCCTGTGGGGCATAACTTTAATCAGAAGAATCTCTACACCTCTTCTCCAATGGAATGAGCCATGTGGGTAGCCCCACTCTCACATAACTAATATAACACTGACTAGTTAACTAGTTAACTTAGGTAACCTAACCTCCAAAATAGTTGTGATTGGAGACTATACGATTACCGAGTGACTAATGCTCTGTTGGTTATGAATGACTAGAATCATGAAGTAATGACCTTTCCGAAGAAAAATGGCCAGACTGTGTAGGAACGATAGACGGAGAGCCATCTAAGTGGCGCTCGGAAGTCTTAGAGCCCAAGAGCCTCTGGCTGCTTACAATAGAATGATTTGATATTGAAATATTTGTATAGTCACTAGAAGGATATTGATAAACTCATACACCTTAATGAATTCCTAGTCCACACTTGGCCATCTTTCGACCTCAAGCTTAGGCAGTTATTTTCCACCTAGTTGCTCTTCGCAAGTATGAGTTCTGCCAGAAATGCATTTGTAGGGCAATTAATGCCCAGTTCGGCGCCACGTCTGACGACCCAACCATTAATAAACTGGATCTCAGTTCCTCTGCCCTTCCGAACATCCTCGCGCATACTGCTGGAATTGCTGGCTGTCTTCAAAACGGTATTTACCAGAGCACTCTTTAGTGAACAGAAACTAAATTGTCTCTGCTCTGCAGGGAGGTGTTGAAGTTCCGGCAGATGGTTGAAGACAGCCGAGATCTCTTCCAGAAGACGATGCCATGTGGGTATAAGCATTTTGTTCTCCGTAATCTCGCCGTTGCGTACATCAAGTAATGCCGTTAATGGGTTAATCACACAATTAGCCGCCAATTTCAGCAGTTGGGCTTTCAGTAGATCCGTCCAACCTAGCTCTGCGCATTGAAGTGCAGCAGATCGCAGAAGGGTATCTAAAATAAACCTAGTTCCCGGCGCTGCTTCGTTGCGGTTCTCGCAATCCACTACCCCAACTACAGCTGAACCATCGGTACCAGAAAGTACAGCTTCAAATGGTGACCTCAGATACGCACCGTGGCGCATAATCCCAAGTACATATGTTGGTCTTGTGAGCGGATCGGGGAACAGCTTCTCGTTCAGGGTTTCAACCTGGCCGAGGCCATTTTGGAAAAGACATATAGTTGAATGAGGTCCCAGTCGATGCTTAATCGGTTCAAGGGCAGATAGAGTTCCTGATGCCTTGACTGTCACGATCAGACAGCATATCTGGTCGTTCGAAGTTGAGCACCAATCCCCATCTATTCGTTCCACTTCGAATCCCGAGCTTTTCTCTTGCACACCACCTTCGCCAACTTGAAGCTTTATTTTCCGATCTCTGTATTCAAAATCTTGACACAAACTTTCGCGGTGTAGGAGGAGATTGACAGGGGGTGGTGCAGAAAGGCATCGAAGAGTGTGCGCAATGAATGATCCAATACTCCCAAGGCCAAGAATATATATCGGATAGGGCTGCTCGAAGCCTGTCATATTGAATTGGAGCCGGTATAGACTATGACTCTCATGCTTTTGAGAGTTTGCCGTCCACCTTTAAACGGAGTATCAAGTACTGCCTCGCGCGCACCTGAGGGACCCCCTGGTGAATCATCTTCAGTGCTAGTTCAGTGAGGCCAGAAGCATACTCCGTAGTGGGAACGGAGTTCTCTGCGGAACCAAGGATCCACCATGTTTCTAGTGGGATAAATTAGTACGCATAGATCACCGATCGCTTAGTAGCGGATATTGCCACCGCAGTCACGTGAAATCATTGTTCTCGGATCAACTCATCGGGTCCCACGTAATTATTCCGTCGGAAAAGTGCAAATAATACTCAATGGGTTCTCAGCAGACAAGTCGTCCTGCTCAAGAGGACAGTGCGGTGGCAGACCAGAAGCGGCACGTATCCCGTATCCTCTTACTTCCTAGGTTGCTCTGACAACTCAAAGGTTGCGTAATCGCCTGTCTCAGCAGGCTTATCGGAAGCGACAAACTGCGTACATACATGAGCTGGAGAGGCGACTCGAAAACGCTAGTAAGACAGAAAATGAAAGGATCATACAGCTAGAAGAGGAAAATACTTTTCTCCGCAAGAGGCTCAGCACGTTCATTGGCAAACTAGAAAGTGCCCATGCATCTCTTAGGGCGCTTTCCCAGCAGATGAATGCGGCCTTGGGACCCGATGTATGCTATGTTCAGTCTCCAAAACGGTGGCTTCAGGGAAGCTCATATCTCACAGGCCAACTTATCGGAAGCTGATGCCCCAGCAGTCTCTGGGCTTTCTCAACCCCCGGAACCGCCAGCTCAGAGAACATCATCTGGGCTGTATCATCACTTAGACCCTGCTTCCCCAACTGCACCTTGTCAGTGGTCTTCGTTATTGCCAATTTCCTCAAGTACTGTGGATCAGAACTTGGATGTAGATGTATCTTTTAACAACAATCTGGGGCATGATGCAAGTGAACAGCAATTTGAAGAAGCACCTCTCAATATACCACACACTGAGCCAATTCAATCGAACTTCGATGCCACAGGTATCCAAGGAAATAATTCAGAGCTCAATATCCTATCCAATAATGTCTCAATGTCCAATGTTTCGATCCATGGTGTTCCGGGAGTGTGGTCGTATAACTATCAGATGGGGCCTTCAACATATCGAACAGCAATGTCCAACGTTTCCAGCGTCGGAAAAGTGTTCCATATCTCCAACTCTGCATTTTCAGACCACATAAATATTCTACATCGTTGCGTACAAAGCAAGTCGCGGCTTTTGAATTGTTCTGATTCACAAACCCGGAACCTGTATGTTGAAAATGTTCCAAGCTACATAATTACGCTAACGGATATCAACAGACCTAAGGTCCACCTCTCTGTTTCTCTCATGCTGTCTTTGTTCAACAGTATCTATCGGCCTCTTGCAATGTCATGGTACACACCAACCAAGTTCTACTACCACATCACTAGTCTGACCATGTGGCAACTAAATCCCACTCGCGAGCTCTACATGCAGCTGCCCATGCGATACCGGCCTTCGGCACTGCAGCTTTCAGAGAGTTATCCACCCATCATTGACTGGTGTCCGTTTCCTTCAATCCGAGATCGGCTCATAATGCTGCATGCTGCCAACTCGAACATCGACCAGATCATATGCGACATCGCAACAGCATACGTTATCGAAACCGACATTTCCACCATTATCCAACTTGACCGACCGACATTTGGATATATCCGAGTCTGGGATCTTATTCAAGCGATGGACGAACCTACAGATTGTCTGTCCAGTAATGCCCCCGAAAGCCTTGCTACCACCAACCTGGCAGCCTACCAAGCGGAAATCAGCAGTATAGAGCAAGAGACAGATTTCCAGGAAGTCAGTTTGCCTGCTCCAAGCATGGAAGCTTTATTTCAGACAGACAAGTATGCTCGTCTTGCATTCAAAGAGCTTCGCATGGACGATGGCGTCGCTCGATTCAAGTTAGACCCGTTGTTATTTGAGAAATACCCAGAGTTGTATGAGCCGGGTGATACCATCGTTGCAACAGGGTTAGCTGTCAGACCAGCGCATCTGACTTCTATCCCTACGCCGAGGGCTGTCGAGCAATCTACTTTGAGGATCTATAATAATTTTGCAGATTGGTGCTTTAATATGATTTCTTCCAATAGCATTATGCATAGTTGATGTTGTCCGTTGACCACAGTCTAAATGCAAGATTCTTGTATTTTCCCGATGCTAGTTCTCAATAAATGTGCGATATTTTAGAAAATATCTATACTTTCACCACGAGTTTTAGTCAGCTCTATGGTCTTCTTTTCACAAATGAAAATAATGATAAAAAAAAAAATTTACCCCCTTCGAAGTGTCTCCACCCATGTCCCCACACGAAACTCTAATCACTAAGCCAGGCATTACTAAGATATAATCAATAGTTAGTGAGTTAAGCAATTATCAAAGCAACTTAGTAACAAATGAATGAGTAGAGGACTCCAAAAGTCTCGGGCTATTGCCCGTGGGGAGTGTTGCTTGTGACAAAACCCACCGGCACTAGAAATATCAAAGAGTCTCTCATGATCCCGTCATTGTACATACCTAGAGTATTCCAAAAATGACTGAAAAGATCCTTTCAATCTCTGACCTCGAAGCTGCTGCTTCGAAAGTATTACCAACTTCGGTACGAGGTAAGTTCTTTCTTTTGACCCGTCACCGACTTACTCGGATTATCTGACGAACGGACTTATATTTTTCTCCTGCCAGAGTTCTACAACTCCGGTGCGACAGGACAAGTTACAGTCCGTGACAACTCTTTAGCGTTTCGAAAATATCGCTTGCTACCAAGGGTCCTGAGAGATGTTTCGAGGGTTAGCACCGAAATTCCTCTATGGGGGAGAAACATCGCCTTTCCTCTCTGTGTGTCTCCAGCCGGCATACAAGCGATGGCCCACCCGGACGGGGAACTGGCGACAAGCAGAGCGTGCGCTAAAATGAACGTTAACATGGGCGTTTCGTCCTTCAGCAATCATTCTGTCGAGGACATTGTCGCAGCAGGCATGGCTGTCGGGCCGGTTCATCATGTCATGCAGCTTTATTCCATGAAGGATCGGAAAACGGAAGAAGGCATTATTCGACGCGCTGAAGCAGCTGGCTGCAAGGCGGTTTTTCTCACGGCGGATAGCCCTGTACTAGGATTCCGCTACAATGAATGGAGGAGTGGGTTCCAACCGCCCTCCGGGATAGGATATCCCATGCTGAACAAGTCTCCCGATGATATTGCCCGACAATCCCACGATGATGGATTCAAGTCGTTTAATTCAGACTCTCATTCTTGGACTAAAGAGATTTCATGGTTGCGGAGCGTGACAAATATGGAAATTTGGATCAAGGGAGTGCTCACCCCAGAGGATGTGGAACTGGCAGTTGAATATAACTGTGATGGGGTCATCGTTAGCAATCATGGGGGCCGGCAATTGGATGAGACACCAGCAACTATTGATGTACTCCAAGCTTGTGCCCAAGCAGCGAAAGGGCGAATCCGAATCCACGTTGATGGAGGAATCAGATCTGGTGCTGATATTTTCAAAGCATTGGCTCTGGGAGCAGAATGTTGCTGGGTTGGTCGACCTGCACTCTGGGGGTTGGCGGTAAGTCTTCCCTCCTCTGGTCTCTCACCGTGGGGAACATAATTGACAGATCCTCTTCTTTCTTTTTTGATTAGTATAACGGCGAACAAGGAGTTGAATTAATGCTCAGGATCCTATATGAAGAGTTCAGAAGATGTATGCAGCTGGTAGGATGTACGTCGGTTTCCGAGATCAGTCCAGCTAATCTTGGGGTCATCCGAGGTGAAGGACCGTTGGCAAGGTTGTAAATTCTGGCAGCCCTTTCTCAAACTTGATCTACAACATAGAGTTAGCTCATAAAGATCATTTTCTCTCCTTCTAGAGCCATCAATTATGCGCGTCAAGTACTTATCTGGGCAGATATAATAGATACCTTTGGGCCAGCGTAGATATCAGCTTTCGTTTCCTTGCCTTTTAACCAGATTCTCATAATTCGTATAGTTAACTGCCGAGAATGCAGGATTTAGATGCCCTTCACTACGTGGCTTCTGTTTCAGCAGATGTCTCAAGTATAAGATAGGTCTGGATATGCTCAGTTACTACTCCCTACGACCAGAAGAGGTACCGCATGACTTCGTAGCTAAGAAGGTTACGTGACTGCAGTGCCCAGAAAATCAAATGAAACTATTCAAAATACCAAAGCATCACCATTGGCATAAGAGTGAATTAATTACATTGATTCGGAGAGTCAATATCATACTAGAACAATTAAGTTGAGGATAACTGTTGTTGCGAAGTGGCCGCTCTGGCCCACCGTAGAAAGACATTTATCGGCTACATCGCCGATCAAGTTACAAGATTATAAGCCTTGCAGCGGCCAGAGAGAAAAGGAAAAGAGGAAAACATCCCTTGACCTCCAGAACAAATCTGGGCATACAAGAATTGTAGAATCGAATACCATGGCCTCTCCTCCCGATCCCTTACTCCACGAGCACCGTTCCAGATCTAACCGAGAGCGACAGATATATCTGCCAGAGGAAGAACGACAACTTCCCCTCATCGCACGGTGGCGACGGGCCGCGCGGGACTTCTTATCGTCGCGACGAGGTCATTATCTCATCCTGCTGCTCGTTTCCGTCGATGTCGCTTGTACCTTTGCCGATTTTCTAATCGAGTTACATGTCTGTGAGTTAACGAAAAATGGTTCTTATGTAGCCGCCGGCTGGGGTGTCACTCAAGAGGTACTCGCGATTATCGGCTTGGTATTTTCGTGTCTCTTCATGCTGGAATTGATGATTACTGTATTCAGTTTTGGAAAGGGGTAAGTTTTGTTTTGCAATTTTTCTCCAAAGCACATCTGTACCAGTATATATATCGCTATGCAAGCTGTCAAATTCACACCACAACCCCGGATCTGAAAGCTAACCGAAATCGCCAGCTACTTCTCATCCAAGTTCCACGTCTTCGATGCACTTGTGATTATTGTCGCATTCGGGGTCGACGTTGCTCTTCATGGCATAGAGGAAGAACTGGGGTCTCTGATCGTGGTCCTTCGGTTATGGCGTGTGTTCAAGATCATTGAGGAGCTTGAGTCAGCGAATGAAGACACGCTGGAGGAGTATGAGCACGAAATCGAGAGACTTCGGCAGGAGAATACTTATCTTCGCCAGAGACTTAATGCGTCTTTCGATAATGCTGATCCAATGGATTAGAGTGTTGATCCTAGTGGACACCGTCGATAGTAATACCGCAAACCTGGATTGAAGCTCTCTAAATATAAATGTATACGCAAGTAAGCAAATAAAATAAAATAATATGAAAAACAAGGTACTATCGGATATTGTAATTTGTAACACACATGCAGCCACTTTAATCTCCCTTCAATACCCATTTCCCTCTCACCTTGACGCTTGGAACTTACTTATACGCTGCAACAACTATTGTTCCAACAGGTATCTCCGAAGCTGAGTTTCTAGAACACATAGAATTGGCCATACAACCGTGGATTCCGATCAAATTCCACACCGTGCTATTCTCATGATACAGTCGTCCTTGGAAAGAGAATGCCATCATTTATACAGTAAGATTTTGGAGGACAGGGTGGATCTTATATCCCCTTTCGAAATTTCATGGGTTCTCTAACAGTAGCTAAAATGGTAACCCCGTATATCCGTGAATCTGGAGATAATTCGGCTAAGATCGCCTTTGTATGACGCACATCATGATGGTTTCTTCGGGTTTACGGAAGAAGATTTCCAACGCACGGACACACTCTACACTAGATATATAAAGGCAGCACTTAACTATTAGACCTGACCATATACTATCTATATTTCTACTTAAAATCAAGTAACGATTCTGCATTCATATGCCTCTCGAACTTGGGCCAACTCTAACCCCGCTTAAGCGGCCGGTAAAACTTCCGGAAATATCGGATAGTCGGTATGACGGGCCCGAGACGTGCACAAACATCCTCCCTGAGGGTTACCGAAAAGGCCATGACAGAGCACCATTTCGTACCGCGACTATCTTCGAAAAGGACGTAAAAATAGCTCTGCGGGATGGTACCCAAATCAGGGCAGATGTTTTCCGTCCGTCCAGCACGGTGGACCCGGTCCCTGCACTAATTGCTTGGAGTCCATATGGCAAAAGCGGGAGAGGTCCTGACCCTTTCGTAGCTTGAATTGTGCTATGCTCATTATTCTCTAGGACATTTCCGTCTGGATATTGTGCCAGGTCGTGTAGGGGTGCCGCAAAATAGACTATCAGGGTTCGAGAAATTTGAGGCTCCCGACCCGGCGGAGTGGACTGCACGAGGGTACGCAATCGTGAATGTGGACCCAAGAGGGGTATATGATTCCGACGGTGATATCCGGTACGTCAATATATCTATTCTCCTCATTATGGAGTCTAATACATTGATAACCAGTTGGTTTGGGTCTGCTGATGGCCGAGATGGCTACGACGTTGTCGAGCGAATTGCTGAGATGCCATGGTGCAACGGTAGTGTTGCGCTTGTCGGAAACTCATGGCTTGCCATGGCACAATGGTTTATAGCCGCCGAGTGTCCGCCACACCTGAAGTGCATTGCACCTTTAGAGGGGGCCAGTGATGTCTACCGTGAACTGCTATGCAGAGGTGGTGTTCCTCAGACGGCCTTCTGGAAATTCCTGGCTGATGATTTTATTGGTTAGTCTTTTATCTACCCAATACATTCTTATACTAATATACGGAGAGGTCGTAACCAGCAGGAAGACGTAGTAGCCATGCTCGACCAATATCCTCAAATGAATGAGTATTGGGAGGACAAAAGAGCGCAAGTTGGACGAATTAAAGTACCTGTCTACGCCTTGGCAAGCTATTCCACATTCCTCCACACAATGGGTTCTTTCAGAGGATTTGAAGAAATACAGCACGAGAAAAAATGGTACAGTACTCTCTTACATTGTCCCGCAAGTTTATGGCTAACAATTAGTTGCAGGCTTCGAGTCCATCCTACCCAGGAATGGCATGACCTATATCAACCGAGTACGAATGATGAGCTACAACAATTCTTTGATAGATATACAAAGGGAATTCAAAATGGCTGGGAGGATGTACCAAGAGTCCGAGTTTCCCTTTTACAGTTCAACAAGGTACTAGGATTTACAGATTATCTTACGTTCGACGGTTCTGATTCGTATACAGGATCCGATTATCAATGTCCCCTTTGAAGACTGGCCGGTACCGTCTACGGAATATAAAAGGTTTTTCCTCAGTGACAATGGCTTATTATCGGCAGTCGCACCGCATCAGGAAGACAGTGTTTCATACCAGTCTGATGTTAAAAGCCTCCAAATGGGCTCTGATATCGAGGAACTCTCTTTTAAATACACATTCACTCAACCGACTTATGTCGTAGGATGTGCCAGAGCAGTGCTTTATATGTCCTGCCAAGATCATGATGACATGGACGTGTTTGTGCAGCTGCGAAAGGCGGACAAAGAGGGCCATCTTCTGGAGAATATTAATATCCCGCTTAAAGATTTACAGGTAGACTCATGCGACGTCGAGAAGGTCAATCCCCTTATATACCTGGGACCAAGCGGAGTGCTACGTGCTAGCTACCGCGGCATAGATTGGAAGCTATCCAAACCATACTGGCCTGAGCACTGTTATGATCACAGAACCCCGGTGCCGCGTGGTAAAATTGTGAAGATGGATATTGGAATTTGGCAGACTGGCATTGCTTTCGACGTGGGAGAAAAACTTATTTTGAAGGTGTCAGGTCACAATATGACCATCGCGGAATTTCCTCATTTACGGGGTGCGCTCCCCACCTACAATGTCGGAAGGCATCATATCCATTTCGGAAGCTCGAACCAGAGCCATTTGTTACTCCCACTAGTGGAGGTACCACATGAGGTTAGCATTAGTCCTGTCTGACAAATATATTAAAAAACCGTCAATGTCACATGTGGGATGAACTACAGACATTATGCCTTTAGCCATTAAATCTGCCAGTCGGAACTAGTTTGATTCCGATAAACCACCTTGGCACAGAAAAAGCTCGACGAACCGTAAGGGTGGCTACGTCGTTTGACACTGCTTTTGTGATACATGAACAAGCCAAAGATTGAGTGGGCCGCGGGTTCAGGTTAAAAACCTAAGCTGCAAAGTTTTATTGATACTATAACGCCTACGTGTTTACTTCCCAATAGATACAGTTAAGGGTTTCTTACTGTTGTTTTACATAGAGTGGATATAATCTATGCTGAGGAGCTTTTGTTGTGGTGAATTGTTACTAGTCTTATTATGTTGGCTCTAGCTAGAATCACGTCGTCGCCAGAGCCTTGATGTGTCTTTAGACAATGCAGACCCTATGCATTAAAAGGTATATCACAGTGGACATCATTGACAGTAACCTCATGAAACTGGGTTGAGGTCTTTCAAAGAAACTTGGCCATAGTACATATTAAACTTTATTTCTAGTATTACAAATTTTGGGTTAAACCTATAGCTATCGGGGAATACCCTTGAGCTTCACGCCTGCTTGTGTGATCTCCAGCCAAACCTTCATCTTCTTCGATACATCTTCCATACCGCTGAGACTGGGGTTCCGCTCAAAGGTATGCTGCCCATCCACAGCCAAATCAGAGAATAAAAGTGCCAGGGGCGATGATTTCCAAATGTATTGGTTCCGGGTCTTGATCATGGTCACTATCAAGAAGATAATCGTCATTCCAACGAGAGCAATGGGAAGAGTCATCCATAGCCAGCGAACGCTGACGTAGGACTCCACAGTCCAGGTCATTCCCTTGACCGAGGCTTTGCAGACTTGATTCCGGGCATGGGTTGTAAGTGAAGTAGCGAGAGATGTGAAGACGCTGCTAATATCGGTCATGTTGCCTTGGACGCCATAGAGAGCTTTAGCAGTGTCGGTGGACCAATACGGTCGATTGGACATGAATAATTGTCCTGTCCCGTTCAGAAGCGGTGTAAGGGAGTTAACCATTGCCAGTCGACTGAATGCGTTGACTGTATAGGTGCACTCGCTTTTGTCGTCGCGCTGCGTCCCGTTCACATAACAGATGTCCGGAGTTAGGGCAAAATTCTCCAGGACAGCGTCGGCTGTTAGGTTAGTGGAGGTAGCGGAGGACGTTATTCGCTCGTTGAACTTGCCGTCCTTGACGGTTGCTTCGTATGTGTCAATACAGAAGTACAGGGCACATTCAGTTGCGCTGACTTGGGGTGGCACTCCGTAGCCGGAAGCACTGATAGCGGTGAAATTCATGATAAGTGGCAGGTTTTTCGTCTCTATTTGGAGGAGGGGAAGACCGTTTGTTGAATTCATGAGGTACATCCCCGTTTGTGACGTGCTGAAGCTGAACCCATTGGGTAACTTATAATCATAGGTCTCTAACGTACTAAACCCTAAGGTGGTTTTTTTCAGCGTAAGCTGATCGGTAATGTTGGCGCAGCGACTGCAGAAGCCCAGAGATTGGTAGGGAACGAAGGTGCAATTCCCGGTCGGACAAGTCGTCATCACAGAGGGACTGCTGGCGCTCTGGTCTTGGAAGATTCCCGTGTATATAGACGCCAGGGTAGAGAGTAGCACTTCATTTTGTCCTGGGCCGGCTCCCTCGCCGTAGTCGGTGTACATACTGGTGTTGCAGATTTGAATCGAAGACGAGTTGGAAGAGTGAACTGGCCGCATATTGATTGCAATCACTTGTTGGACGAACGGGGCAATGGCTGCCGCGACGACGAGAACAAGGCATCCCACTGTCACCAAGTATCTGTTTTTTCCCGTTCAGCCCTGGACCTCACTCGGGTGTATTGGAAAGCTGCAATACCTACCGAGGTATAAACCGAAGCAGCACCAGAGCGGCCCCGAAAGGCCCCCGACTCGCAGCATCCAACAATGCCAAGTCACTCAACTTATTTCCTCGACTGAACCACGACCACTTGAGCTGAGACAAGGCCTCAGTGATTGGGAACGCCATGGCGGCCTTCATGAGCGTGGTTAAAAGAGAGATAACTGCGTTCAAGGTGATACCGTACGGCCAATCTGGCATGGATTTCCCATCGTACACGTACAGCACCACGATAATGCCAACAAGCGATGCCACAGCAATCACACAGCTCAGAATCTCCCATATCCAACTTGACCCCAAGGATCCTGACCCTTGGGCAAGGACAACCTGATCGGATGCCGACAACGGTTGACGCTGCGCCTGGTGTTCCGGTGGGTCATCCATTCGGACGTACGAGAGACGGTATTCATCTTTGGCGTGCTCCATGGTGGCTAAGGTCTATACACATTGCTCCTACTCAAGGTGTAAACAAACACTGGAACAATGTTTAAAAGATTAAATTCAAGCCACAATTCAATCCGTAGGAAAACATGCTTGAAAATTTGGCATTGACGTAGCATCGGGTGTGGCGACGATATATTACCGTATTAGGCTAATAAGTGAAACTAGGGCTGCGATCGGCGCCGCGTGGCTTCAGCTGAGACCCATTTAATTTCCCCTTCCAGTATAGATTGGGAACGTTTTAGCCATGATTTTCTGAGTCAGGAGGTGATCGGCGATAGGGATCTTCCTCTAGGTGCCCCTTAGACTCGAGCAGAGGCTTAGAAGAGCAGTCTGGCTGTACAGCCCTTCAACCTACCTTCCTAAAACCGGTAAAAAGAGGTAGGGTTTTAATTAACATCGGCACATCAATGCACTACAGTGTTTGAAAAAGAATACTAGGCAATCTAGCTATGTTTCTCCGCAGACTACTCCGTATCGTGTGAACGTTGCTACAATCAAACAGTGTCGGCAGTTTCGGAGCCATGGAACCGTTCTACCAGTCTTGGTGGGTTAATAGTGGACGGCGTTGCTGATCTTTTCTTAATCTCCGCCGCGATCGCCTCTTGATCTCTTTCTTCCTTTTCTGTTCTTTCCTTTCTTCTATTTTTATGAGCATTTTCGCCAACTACGGAGTACGTCTGGTGGCAAGATAAACTTCGGCAGCTACAATAGACGTCGGGAGTAGCCGACCATGAATTCTGCCATGTCCGAAGTTCAATTAGGGAGATCCAATGGTGTGATTACAGAGCGGTGTTTACAATTGACTGCGATCAATCATTGCATTCTTGGCAATGAGCTAGACCGTGCTTGCGGTTAAATCTACTCTATAGCAGAACTGAAATAAGATTAAGAGTCGGATTGAAATAGCCACCCATATCGGAACTCGGGTACTAACTGTACTAATTGTCAAGCCAAAGCAGATATCATTCCCATAGTGATCCGGCGAGACCAGAAGTAAAGCAATATCAAAACAGTAACGGCGTATCAAAGCACCCATATCCCTTGACAACACTCATCTCATTCACATCTTCATGTTTAGTCTTGAATGACCATCCACCGACCGTATTCTGTAGCATCTCATAATGTTGACCCTCACCTCCCTTCCGCCAAAGACATGTCCCGAATATCCCCAATTCCGAGATAACTCCCCCAGAATCCAACCCAGCAGAAGATAGCAAGACATTAGACGCTGACGGCGACCGAATACGCTCCATCAGAATATACGCGGCCCACCTAGACTCGGGAATAGAGGCAAGGAAATCTGGAATATCCTCCCCGAAGATATTATGTCCTCCACCTTCCAAGGATGGCTTCAAGATATAATCCCGCGAGAGGTCCGGATCAGTCGCAAGACGACGAGCATGGGCTCCAGCCTCAGACTCGTCGAGCGGATACATGGAGACAAACGTTGACCGGATGAGCGCTGCTTTTTCGGGGGATATGAAACGCTCGACTGCTCCTGGTGTTGTGAGAGCACATTGGACTTTTTTGAAGGTGCAAATGTGTGCTAACAGTGTCGGACATTTAATCGCCATAGAAAGCTCTATTCGCAGACGAGCTTCTTTGCCAGTTGCGTCGTACTCGTGTGCCTCGTACCCGGCGCGCATATACGCGACCGAAATCTCGACGCACTTCGACCCTAACCATGGTGGATGGAAGAGGAGTTCTCGCGATTCAGTTAACGTCGTATATTTTAAGAAATCATTGGGGTAGTCGACTCGATATGCAGGAACGGGTGGGTCGCGATCCCATAATGCGTACTCGAGGGGGCGCTCGTCGGCGATGTTGAAATTGTTGGGCTGCACCACGAATAGAACGGCGGTGTTGGTAGCCACGCTGCTCTTTCTGGGTCCATATGCATTTTGAGCAGCGGCGAGACATGCAGAGAGGGATGCGATGTTGTTGTTACGGGGTAGAGCAGCGAGTGAGACGTTGATTGAGTGGTCATCTCCAGTATCATAGGCATTAGTGCGTGCAAAGTAACGATGCATTTCGGCTGCCCTGTTCGCATGGGTTGCCCCAGCGCACGAGAACGTGTTAAGCTCGACTTGCTTTAGAGTACCGTCGAAAGTCTCTCCTGGTCGGAGAGGAAACTCCATCGCCGGTGCGTCCAGCATGTAATCCGATCGGAAAATGCCGACCGACACTTTTTGCGCATATCCAACTTTTTTCACCTCCTCATGAATGCCCCAGAGCGCTGCGGCGAGGGGATCAACTGGAATCAGGTCTCGGATAGCCTGGAAGATCCATTGTCCATCTTCAGCCATGGCGCAATACAGTTCATTGTAGATAGTTTGTAATTCACATGCGCGATCAAATTGCTCTCGGGGGAATAATGTAGGAAAGACCGTGACACCGACAGGATAGCATTGGGAGGGGTCATCGGGGAAATCAGTCCCGGGGTCAATGTGTTTGAGCAATGAGCCATGATTGATCTGCCAGTCTATGATGTCGGATATTAGGGCGAGACCTCTCTCGTCGGGGAAGTCGGGGGGGTATTGTTCATTTAAAGCAGCCATTGTTGGGTTGTTGTAGTCTCGTCCGTTCTGTTCGTTTGTTAGGTGATTAGGGTTTGGGTCGGCATTCAGGTGACTGTGGCTGTGTCTTTAGCCGCAGATCCCAAACGCTACTTAATTGACCTCTGTTTGATCAGATAGTTGGTAGCTACAGTTTATGCAAGTATCGGTGCAGGCATTGGTGCTCCAACATTAAGGCGTGCTTGAATTATATACTAGGGTCTTGATACGTTATAAACAGTGCAAGACAGCAGACTAATTGATCGCCGAGAGTAACGAGTGGACAAATATCACAAGAAAACAACATGAACAAAGCGCAAACCGCATCGTCATTATCTATTCCAGAAAGTCATTGGTAGGCCATTACCCTTGGCTTCATTTGCTGTCGGCCGCGAGCTCTTTGAGGACCTTCTCCCATCCGTTATCACCGGAGAACGGTGTGGTGTCGATCTCACACTTAGTACCCGGGTCAGGCAGGGTGCCGTCCATGAAATAGGCACGAGCGGCCTTCGCCGTACAGAGGGATGCCTGTCCCAAGCTTGCGTGCTAGTCAAAGGATGAACAGTTAGTGGCTGAGCGTTAATGAACCAAAAACCGGTGAAACTTACCCCATAACCACCATGCTCAAGCACAACACTATTAGCAAACCCTGCACTGATATTGCGTGCGGCTGCAAGAGGTGTGACCGGATCAGCAGTGTTGCCAATGATCAGGAGTGGATTCTTCGTCGTCGCCTGGAAATTACCCGTGTATCGCTCTTTTGGCTTGATCTTCCATTCCGCGCATCGGGTAAGAACAAAGTCAGAGACATCTCCTCCAATTCGGCTGAGCTCATGACGTTGCTTGATAAGCGAGAGCACGTCCTCTTCTCTATTATCTGTACGGTACGAGTCGCTGCACTTAATTCCAAACTGGGCTTCAGCGTCCAAGCTAGGTGGGCCAGATGTGATTTTGGTAAGGTATTCTCCTGCCTCCTCGAGCTTGCCAGTCATGAGGTTATCGAGAAAAGCAGAAAAGTCATCCCAGCCGGTTGGAGAATAAAGTACGCTGAAAATCTGAGTCTTAAGGGTAGTGTACTCGAGAAGGGTGGGAGTGCCTGCAACCGGTACGAGGAGAGGATTGAATTTCACATGATCGATCAATTCATAGATGGCCTCCTCGATCTCAGCTGCAGTGCGGTCTCGGGCGAGCGGGCATTTATCGGGGGTGGCGACGCATTCCTCGCAGAACCCAGTAAGCACCTTGTCCGTGTCTACGAGCATCTGCAAATCGCTGCATGGGGTCAGTATGAGTGTCTCCACCAAGCTAGGAAAATAGAATAACACACCGATTCAACTGGTATTCATGTGGATTGGCGACACCATCGAGGACCACTCTGCCTATCCGATCCGGAAACATAGCGGCAATCGTGGCGCCCAATACGGTACCGTATGAGAGGCCTACCAAAAGTCGATGGTCAGCGGGTCGAGTACATGACAACTCGAGCAGTACGGCTTGTCTCACCCCAGTATCGTAAAAGTCCGTCTTCACCCAGGGCGTCAATAACCCGCATGTAGTCCCGCGCTGCAAAGGCTGAAGTCATAAATTGGCCGGTTTCGTTTTGGGCTGCATAACAGGTGTCGGCAAAGACGCCAGACGACACATTGTTGTACCCCAGGGCGACGTCAGATGCGTTACCAGCGAGTTCCGGGTATAAAGTTGAGGCTGCAGCTCGTTCTTCATCGGTAGCATAACAGGAGAATAGAATGGTATTGCCTGTTCCTCTGTGCAGGAACGGATTTAGCTTAACAATGAGAAGAACAACTACGGGGGGGGTGAACACTCGTACCTTGGGGTAAGCACTACAAGATCGTGGTAGCCACCGGTCGCACTATACACATATCATGAGCTTTACACTGCAAAGGTTTCCAATCAAGTGCAAGAAAGGCTTACGCTTGTAGCATCGGCCCGTACGTAGCTAGACTTAGTTTTCCGTTATCACCCGGGCCGCCGAAGTTCAAGAATACGCTTCCTTTTGAAGGGCTGTTCGGAGCGCGAATCCGAATGAGCTCGAGGTTCAGGGTAGCATCAGCGGCTTCATTGGTGTAGTCGAGGGGCACAGGAAACGCAGCGCACTCCGTGGCCAGGGTTCCGTTGGTCTCACAGGGACTCCACTGAATCTGCTGGCTCCGAGCATGAGGCGTCGGCGACCGAATTAGGGGCGTCCCCTGAGCGACTCCTATGAGGAGCGTGCAAAGCACGTTGAAGTTGAGGTACATGCTTGTTCCAGTTGATTGAAGGAAAATTAATCTGTAGTCTGTGAACCAGGTGGAATCATGACCCCATCAGTGGTCTCCTTATATATTCGCAATCGGAAGTTTTTTCCATCGTCATGGATGCCCAAAAATAGCCACGCGGTCGGACATGCCCATGTCCACTGCATTGGACGAACAAAAAAGTTAATGCCATGGCTTGTATATTGACACTACGGGGGCTATCACCAATCGTTCACTATCAGATAATAAGGCTCAGCGGGTGGCGGTCCACTTGGCACCGGGATGACATCTTCGGAGCAGCATGATGAAGCCTCTGGGCGGAAACCCTTGGCCTTTGATGTGCATCCTCTGTATTGGTCGTTCTGTTGGTTGAGCGCCCTATCCCATAGGCTGGGAGCTCGTATTCTGGCTGTCCCAACACTGGCTAGACGGATAATTGGACACCTGGACACCTTGCTATGTAGGAAGCACGTCCCCACTGGAGGGTGGAACTCCAGCTGTCCGTCGATCCTTACTTGGCTTCTGAACGGCGAGTGGAAAGCAACAGTGACAAGAATTGAACTGGAAAGCATAAGATGGATAGCTGGACGCTGAATGGACACTTCGGGAAAACTGACCAGGGCAGTGCCATGGCCCAATCGGGAATAGCGTCCAAGACAAAGTTCCAGCGCTCGATATCGCTGAATCGAGCATAGTCTGGGGTCATGATTCATGAGTATTGGGCTTCGTATCCGCCGCTCATCATCGAGGATCAGCGCACGCGAACTCGCTCGCCATGAAATATTCCCTCTTGAAAAAACTGCCTTGTTAAAGCTAGGATTGTGCCCTTTAGACCAAAACTCCCAAACGGCTCGCCAAACCGGTTAACCGCAATTGTCGTTCGACATGCAAAATCTTTCTCGATATCCGGAAGCGAGGCAGCTTTGAACTGTCCTGCCAAGTCTGCATGCATAAGCGAAGTGATACGTCTACTGCTTGAGAAGGATAAAGGATCTTTCCAAACAATGAACTTCCCGTCGAACTCCTGAAAACCCCTACCACCAAGTTAGACCGGCCAAACCAGCACTGCTTCTGCTGGACCATGCGCCCCACAGATCCTGGGAGTCGCTACATGGGTTTCTGGGCAACAATTACTAGGAAGTCGAAGAGCGCATGCATGGTGTTTGCCATAACCTCCCTCCGAACTGCAGCGTTAAGCACCATCACCTCTTCCTTCCGCCAGCCAAGTATATCCGGAAGGATGGAGGCTGTAAAGGCATCCACGCCCTCGACAAAGTTCACACGGTTGAAGCTACCACATTCCTTCAACCGCTTGTTCTTTGGCCAGCTCCCAAGTGGGAGCTTGAACTTCCGTTCGTCAACGATCGTAAAGCCAGCGTCTTCCACCCAACCATGCATATGCGGAGCCGGATCCATGGTTTGTCCAATCCGCAGACACCCCTCCTTGAGCGCATCCATCATCTTCACCGTGTTACAATCGGGCGGTAAGCTGTCATCCTCCGAATATAGTGTATTGATCGATTCCTGCAGCTCCAGATATCCCCCCGGTTTCAGATTCCCAAAGCATTGCCTAATCAACCGCGGCCAGTCCTTAATAGAACCCGCCATGTAGCGACAGTGGATGAGATCATATTTTTGGCCCTCCTCCACCCAATCCCTCTCAACATCGTCAATGTAGAATTTCACGTTCGGCGGCACCCAGCGCGGCTGGATAGGACTGATATCGTTGCCGACGATCGCTTCGGCGGCCGGGTATTCATCGCCCAAGTGGATGGCCCACACCCCGGTCCCGGTACCAATATCGAGGATCCGCTTTCCCGCCAGATCGATCGGGGCTAAGAATAATCGATTGTGCAACAGTCGGTAGTAAATATGGTGCACCATGTCCAAACGTTCCTGTTCGACTTCATCGTTGGGGAAATGGTAGTTTCCGGCGTGCGTGCTGTGATAGCGCCGACCGTGGCGGAATTCGTATTCGAGCACCGTGGATCGTAGGGACGTACTGGCCTCGGACGAGGTATCGTCGGTCAGATCGGGGGTGGCCACTCCCCAGTCAACCTCAATCGTGTCTTCATAGTCGGCCATCGTAGTTGTGAGGTCGTGGGAATGCTAAAAGACATTTTGGTGGTGAGTGAGTAAGGGTTTCTCTGGCCACGTTTTCTCTTCAAAAGCGGGGAACCTCGTGTTTTCCATTGTTTTATTAGACCGATCGATCGGGACCCTAAATTACATTCTCAAAAAAAAGATACGAGGGCCAGAACATCGTATTTTCGGAAACATCGAGGCTGTCCCATGGATCGTTAGCCACTCCAAACCAAACGGTGAGTCTTGTTCATCGTGTACTTGTTTGTCGCTGACCATCAACGGCTGTGGTGTTTGTGAAAACGGACGATCCGCTACGTCTTGGCAACACCATCAAGAATCTCCCTCCCCCAAAAAACGGAGAGGGTAAAAGATAGAGAGAAAAGTAAGTCGCGGATATTATTATTAAATAATAACATTAAATGGTATCAGTATGCCAATCGCACGTCAGGATATATATATATATGCATGCAGAAGTTCATTTCTCCCTCCATTTATACGGTGGGCCATCCATCAACCCAGTTCAGTCGGTTCCACCCAAACTGATAGCTTTCAACAGTCAAGTCGCCATTCCGAGGCGCATAGTGGTAGTATAGGACTGGTCCCAGTGCCGGGTCGGCCAATACACCCCTGAAATACGTGAGTGACAAGTCTTCCAAACAGATTGCAGAGCTACTTACTGTCCGCCAGGGCCGTAAACATTATCATGGCTTGCGAGCACAGTTGTGCCCCCACTTTCGAGGCAGGACACTCCATTTTTATCGACCTATAGCGATGCGAGTTAGTACCAACATTGAAAATGGAAAAAATAAAATAAAATAAAATAAAAAATAAGGAAGCGAAACCACTTACGAAATCACCTCGGCCACTCGAGGAACGGCACACATTGATGCGGTACTCCTCTCCTTGGGGAGGGAAATTGGTCTCGTATCCATTAGCCCTCCCGGAGGAGAAGAACAGGTAGTAAAAGTCGAGGTAGTGGAAGAGGTAGGGTGCCTCAATGGCATGAGGGGCGGTTGCATTGTAAGCAATGTTGGCCGCGGGTGCGCTGCCGGCCTTCAGTGGGCTATCCATATTAATTTGGTACAAGCCCTGCCAATAAGATCCAAAGGTGAGAAGTCCCTGGTCTCCAATCTTGATCCAATTGGCGTCAATGGTGTTGTACCCCTGAGAGCCGTCGGAGCTTAGACCAGTGCTACCGTGGTCGGTCCAGCTGCCGGGTTCCATGGTTTTGGAGGTTGCAACCCCGATAACCGAGTTTTGAGATCCCAGGGTGGAGACGGCATAGTACATGTAATAGTCGTCGCCCTGTTTGTGCAGATCTGGGGCCTATGAAAATGTTAGTAATTGATTCGAGAGCTTCTCACACAGGAAAAGCAAGACTTACCCAGAGGTTCGTGCTGCCGGGATGGTTGACGGTCGAACCACCGGGCAAGGCCTCGCCCAGTCTCGTCCATGGCCCACTGAGAGACTTTGCAGAGCTGACCTGAATGCCACCGGCGGTGGAAAACAGGAAGTATGTGCCGTCATCTCGTCGCCAGAGACCAGGATCATGGGCCCAGCAGTCACCGTTGCAGGGACTCGGGTTTGCGTAGGCGTTGACCAACGCCAAGGGCAAGGACAGGGCAGCCAGGAGGGAGAGCATGGTGAATGACAATGGAAGTGGACTGCGTGTGCTCATTCATGCAGCAGATTTCAGCGGGCTTCCCGGGGGTTTATGTATGTAACCCCCTTTTGCTCCCTAGGACTCCCCTTTCTTGTCCTGACATCACGACGGAGAATGTTCTGCAGTATTTTGGTGGGACAGGTCACAAGGCGCCGTGCACTGCATCTTTGCACTAGGGTTTTCCGCTAGTGACTTGTGTCAATCCAGAAGCTAGCAGCATGGATTCAAAACAGCCAATTGTGAAAGATGCAGATTGTTAGCCCCGAGTCAGGCTGTGTTTTCCTGCAGTGTATACTTCCGGCGTCTGACAAGATTAGGATTCATACTAATGGTTTAGCTTAAACTTCAAGTTCCCTTGCAGGACAATCTCCACAACCGCCCACATCACGGAGCCACCAGGCGGGTCATTTCTCTCGCAAGGCACAGCAATAATCGGGCAGCAGCACTGATGCCGAGATATTTTCGCTTAAGCGATGGGGGTGATATGAAATACGGCAGTACCTCTTACTCCGAGGACCAGACTGTGACAAGTCACTGGAATGGCGTGCTTAGACACGCTAAAAACGCCACCCAGAAAGAAAGAAGTTACTAAGGGAAATACTAACACATGTTAAAGTATGTACTAGGGCTAGTTATGGGCAAGGGTGTTGGTCTAGTATTCCAAATGACGTAGTCATATGCTTGCATTTTAGTTGGAAAACCTGGGAAAATTTCCCGTGATTCCCGCAGCCCTGAAAGTTTCCCCCCTGAGACTAGACATACATGTTGGCAGATGCAAGGGAAAAAAATCAATAAATGTCCGACTCCCAGGGGTTACAGTTCGAGCAGTGGATAGGTAACAAATCCATGGTCCAGGATCTTTAGTATTATTGGGTATATCCATTTGCCTTAAAGATTGCCTTTCACCGACTTTTACCCATCCCGAGTTTAACTATCGAAAATCTCCTGGCGTCTAGCAACGTCGATCGCATCGTCTCCCCCACACTTGGCTGGGCGATCTTCGACCGCCACAGCAGCCATCGGCAGTGGGTTATATTAATTCCACGGCAGTTGACTTGTTGGTGTAGGCTTGGAAAGCTCATAGAAAAGGAGGACAGCCCACTTAGGGCAGGATCCTTTTTCTGCTATGATGGGTAAATGTCGCAATAAGACACTCGATATGGCAACAGTGGGGGGGGCGCACACTCCTCATCACAAGTACTACTATTACTATTACAATCCTTATTATCCACTTATTTTCCACTTATTTTCCACTTATTTTCCACTTATTTTCCACATTTCCCGCGTCGCATAATAACCCCACTGCGGTCCATGGTAGTCAGACTTGGACCTCACGGATACCAGATGGCAGATGCCCCATGCTAACCCATGCAGACCGATCCTATAACAATTTCAGATAGGCGTATTCTGCACACCCATAGAGATATAGCTCCTGCCTAGTATGATCACCCGAGGTGATCGCCTGAGTGGTTATCTCATGTGTATAACTCCACCGCTTGGGGTCTCATTGGACGGAGGCAAGTGGGTAGACATTGGACGACATTGGACAACCACCACAAGAGAAAGCGCAGAGGGCCAAACCAGGAAAAAACCAAGGGACCAAAAAGCAAACTAAAACTACACTATCACATTTCCGTAGTATTCCGCGCTGCCAAAAACTTCGCACCATCTTCGTATCTTGAGGTTTGTTCCCCTCATGCCCTTGGCAGTAGTGCCTGCAGTCAGCCGTGGCGACGTGGCATGGTCCAAGCAAAAGACAGCGATAGTTGGGCATCTCACACTCTTCCGCGAGGCTCTGTGTTTTCTAGTGTGTGCTCTGTTGTACCCATACAGATTGCGCTCTGAGGACCAACACCGATTTCCAGAATGCGGCTGAAGTTCATGAGTCCAACCGAAGGGCATCGTATCAGGCCCACTACTCCACATCGAATCCTTCCGAGCCCAGACCTGCGTGAGGGGAAAGAAAATAAGCAACTGTGGCTATGGCTCTATTTTCTCGTGTTGTCTATTACTAACACAACCACAACCTTCTTCGAGCCCTTCTTCTTCCCTCTATTCGACCTACTCTTTTTGGTGTCCTGATGTGGGGAAGCCGAGGATGGATCGTTGGTCTTTTTTTCTGTTCACAGGCAAAAGTCTGTGCGAGCCGAACACGGGTTGCCTAATAGTAGGCTGTGCATTTTAACAAGAGAGAGGGAATAACCGACTCTTTGTTGTCTGTTCGGGGTCTATTGTCTAAAAGGGCAGAGCATCCTTTAGCGTTGTTCTCCACTGCTTGGGACTCTCGGCTGCTCCTCCTCCTCCTCCTCCAGATCCAAGAGACCCGGAAATCGGAAGACACAATATTATGAAAACTGAATGTGACGGTCGGCGAAACCCGCCTATTCCCAAGAGCACGGAAGTACTTTGACCTATAGGATGATACGCATTATATATATATAAAAAAAAAAAAAATATCAACCGCAAAGTTTCCGAGCGATTCTAAACCAAAGCAAGCAAATATTCGGGTTTGGCTTCGTGAAAAATACATAACATGTTGTTGTTAACGAAAAGAACTAACGGGGCTGAACTCACAGGCTAGAAATAGAAACATTCTAGTGGGACAGTGGATCTGTGTAATTTCCAGATCCACGGCTATATCGATAGATATGCCATATGGACTTCAAGACCAAATTCACGATTAGTCCAAGATAGGAGTCGGAAACGGTGCTCGGACTGCTCAGCTCAGCCCACTTGCCTCGGTGCGCGGGCCAACACAGGCCCAGTTTTCCGATCGCCGAATACTTCGCTGATACACTCGAAAGAATCGATACTCGACTCTGGGGAAACCCGGAGATCTTGTATCCGAGGTATCTCCGAGTCTCTTCCGAGAATATCTGCCGAGCGGTGCCGCTTCGAATCTCGTTGCGTCCTACTCAATTTCTACCCAAACTTCTTCATAGGAGTTCCAAGTACCTCAATCTACACGCTCGAGCTTGATATCTTGTCATATCCCAGTTCTACAAAGTTTCGCGACGTGAACTAACCCCTTCCGCAGGGGGATCGCCAACAAGCAGGCATTGTTGCCTAGATCGCAAAAAGAACAGGGACGCGTAATGCAAGACCAGGCATCCCTGTGTTCTGACACGGGTTATTAAGATCGCCTTTTCCCCCCCTGAATCTTGCATGCTGTTATAATCCATATTGAAACCTAGAGGTCGGATATTATTATGTTCATGGTTCATGGAAGCATGGCTGGAAAAGGTAGGAGTCGGACGAGGTGAGGCGAGAATAAGTTCGCAGTGGGTGATAGAACATCCCGCTTTTCCTGGGATATTAAGAAATAATTGGGATGCGAAACTGTGGCTCTGACCTCTTCTATAGATAGCACTAAGACATATAAAAAAGCGCCGTCGGTCGTCTAGCGAGATAATGCTTGCACGATCTTCAAATGGATCGGCATTCTTCGGCGACCGTCATGAACGCTAAGCTTCATCGACACGAATCTTATCTATACTGGCTAATTGCTCAAAAATTGGTGGTTTCAAGTATATCCAATTCTCGGTCAAGCTAGCGCTTAGATCAAGCGTTAATATTAACTGTCTCCGATCGTGGGATCGTACATATTATCCTGGAACTTGGAGTCCGCCATTCTTCACATTTGGTGTTTCAATAAGACCTGGATAAGTTAATAAGGGGAAAGGCGATACTTCCCATCTCGAAGCGCTTGCAGAAATCGACTGTGATACTGCGTACTGTGCTTATCGTCGAAGTTAAGCTCGCCTTGTCGGTTGAAGATGTTTCATGGACAAGCGACTTTGGAGGCCGTCAGGACTCGACTCACCTGGACCCAATGCAGTTCAGTCAAGCTAGGCCAACTCTAGTAAAGTTATAGTCGGCCTAAAGAAATACTTACTTGTTGTATTAGGTTATTGGAGCGTTGTAGCTGCTAGAGCTACATGTTTAGATATTTGCATCATGGCGTTAATTTTAAGTCTCGCCGGTTGGCATACACTAATGGTCTATATTGTCTTCTCTGTTGAGCTCTATAACATTAAGGAGTGACTAGACATTAAGGAATGGCTATAAATAAATACATAACAGCATATCAAATCACTATATGCAAGATGTCATTAAGGACCGTAAAAACCTCATTCTTGCTGCATATGAGGTACTAGAAAGCATAACTCTTCAATCGGCGTCTGAAGGAGAACGCCATATACTATATCAGCTTAGTTGCGAACAACACTGTGATGGCCACCATGCCAGGTCTTGGTCTCGGTGGGAGCGGGTTCATTGCCGGTTCCTGTAGGCTTGGTGTGGATGTGGTGGGATCCAGTGCCGGTGGGCTTGTTGGTCTCAGTAGTGGTAGAGGAGGGCACCTCGGTGGTTGTGGTCTGCTCGGTCTCAGTGCCAGTGGGCTCTGGGATAGGAGGGATCACGATGGTAGTAGTGTAGCCCTGGGTGTTGGTATAGGTAATGGTCTCGCAGCGCTCGCAGTGGTGTCCACCCTGACCACCGGGAGCAACGGTGGTGGTAGCACCAGAGCCACCGTTGCCAACTGTGACATACACGGTGACGGTGGAGGCAGGAGGGCAGGTCTCGGAGCCATGACCACCACTGGGAGCAGGGACGACGGCGGTGGTCTCAGCAGGGGCAGTGGAAGCGGCGGTAGGAGTGGAAGTCAGGACGGTGGTGGTGGTGTAGCAGGTGGTAGTCTCATAGGTGGAAGCAGTCACCCAGGAACTATAGTAGGTGGTGCCACCTTCGGTGTGGACTGGGGTTGAGCAGGGCTTGAAGGTCGTCTTGGTAATGGTGTCGGTGATCGTTGAGGTCACTGTGGTTCCGGGAACAGAGCCAGAGCCTCCGGGAGCAGTGGTGGTCTGAGACTCACCACCCTTTCCTGTCTCGGTGGGCTTCTCTCCGCCGCCGCCACCGGTAGGAAGAAGAGTATGAGAGTGGGTGGCACTGTGAGAGGGAGAGGTTGAGTTGAACCCGTGATGGTAAACTCCCGGCAGTGCGAGGGCAGAGCCGGCAAGGGTAGACAGCAAGAGCATAGAACGCATGGTGACTTGAACTGAGTAGATCAGCTACCTAAAAGAAGAAGCGAGGGCGAAGGGCTGCTAAACGAAAGGTAGTATGGATTGAGAAGAAACGACTGTAGTACTTGGTATTGGTGGTATGCTAGCGCTAGAACGTAAGACGTATAGATCTAGAAAAACCTGAAGAAAAAGGTAGATCGCCTCGTCTTTATATAAGTCAGTCACGATATGCTCCCATACGACTTGTACGTAATAGCAGCACACCCACACTTCCCCAAAACAGAATAGAAAATTCTATAGCAGTCACCCCATTGACCGGCAATACCGGAGGGCCACAGTCCCCGTGGCCCTATAGAAGAACCGTTGTAGGGACTATTGAATTTCGGATCCACAAGCGTAGCATTAGACCCTGTGGCGACTCCACTTCGGCTCTTTGCCGACGTCGAGGAGAATTTTCCCGAACGCCGCAAAAGCTGCGAGCTGTCAGTTCTGTCGATCGCGTCATTGGCTGTGCATAAGCATCGCAGGCTTCCTATTCGGCCGTACCGTTAAAGGTCTCAGAAGCTGGTGTAAGAATAGGGCATTGAACCAACCCTCGGGATCTCAGGGTCTTCAGGGTGATCCATGGTTTGCTCGTCAACAGCCGCTAAGCGAGTGTGGCGCACTGCCGCCAATCCAAGTCTGAGACCATCGCGAAGAGCCGACAGAGACTGACAGATTCGACGTCATGGAGTATGGAGCTCAACATTCGACGGTCTCCCTTACTAGTCCAAAAATTGCCCCTAACCGAGACATAGCATGCGAGCCAGATCTTCGACACTGCAATCTCGATCACCCCTGGCAGCCCCCTAGTAGGTCGTCTAAGGTGATAGTTGGGAAACACCAGCATCTATAATGGGAGCTCAAGAAGACTATGCACATGATCAATGACTTCACTTGTTCAATGAAGCCAGCATTTGCGAGAAACGGCAAGTGTGGCTGAGACATCAGTGCGGGTGTCGTTCAAATGTGCGGTATGATTAGTGGAGTTCCGGATATTCTTAACTGACTTTTCGTATCCAAGAACGTCAAGAACAATTGTTTCCTTCGACCCACCCCATGGGCTCACTCTTCTGTTGCCTTGACCACGGCGATAGTCGACTCGGGGACAGAGTGTGTCTTCCGCGACAAATTAAGATCGTGGCTAAGGAATCCGATCGGTCTAGCCTCTGTAACATGCTTCTGCAACCGTCGTATAGCGACCTTGTCCTGGTTACAGATGGCTGTATGACTCGCACTTGGACGTAATGACGAGTGAAAGGCCTAAAAGTCTGGAGAGGATGGTGTTGTTGGCCTGGAGAAGATACCGCGGCTCACATTTCGGGAACGGTTTGGATGGCGATAAGTGGAAATCTTTGCCGTTGCCCAAGTAATAGTAGGGTTTGCTCCACCAGAGATAGTCTGTCTGGTCCGTGCTCATTTATTCGCGAGTTTCGATGCTGCGGAATAATGGTCCAGCTGTTTTGCTGCGGCGACCTTCCATTTTTCCTCATTCCTTGTTGGCAGAGTTAGAGTAGGCCTTAGCGCAATAGCACGGCACGCGTAGCTTGCTAAGCTGACCAGAACGGCTGTGATATAACCTCCTGCTGTTCGGCACCTTTCGCATACTTTCACTGACAGTAGTGTGTGATGTCTTGCTCATGGTCTTGTCCCCTTGTCATCTGCCGTTGACAACGTGAAATCCACGAGAATTCGTCCGATGCTCTTCATCACCTCTATGTGAATCGGATATGTCTTTGCCGATCTCCATCAACTGCGGCTTGGACTGATAGCTGGTCTCGAACCTGAAGAGCACCTCGATCGTATTAACCCTGCCTGGCTTGTATTCGGCTCGGTAAGGATGGTGGCAACGCGTCGAAAACGATAAAGCCGAACATCATATCAGCAATAGATGTCGCCCTTGGGCAGACAAGCATAGTCCAGCAGCGATCGCGGCAAGTATCATTTCTTGTCTATATGAGGTCAACCCGACATTATTCGTGACACCAGCATAGAAGATTGAATTCTTATATGACGCGATCGGGAAAAAGCCAACATGACATTGCTCTTAGTGCGTTACTTGGTTATGATGATATAAAGCCTATCCTTCCATCATGGCGAATGACAAGGATTGTAAGGGTCCAAAGTCCTTACACATTGAGGACATAAGGGCTAGGACCGGTCGCGTGATACATCCTGCTGGAGTGCGTAGGAGTGCATTTCAGGTAAGGAGAGCAGGACGGAGGGAACTTATAGGCAGCCGTCAGGCGATACGAATGAGATCCGAAACATAATGCCCACATTGAAGGAACGATCGACGTATTTTCTCTCCATGTCATTGGCCTTATCCCCTGTCCTATGCAATGCCCCCGTTGATCGTCGCTTGGCACCGGAGGCCCGGAGGGGTTCCGCTTCAGGCCGACTGCACATCAAACTGCCTACGTTTTGCGCCTGAACGACAAATTCAATGCATAGGGTCTTTAAGAGCCGTGAATTCGTCTTGTTGCGCGGCGGAGTGAAGCGAAGCTAGCATTATTTTATGGTTATCTGTTAACCGCTAAATGGGACACGGTAGGTAACAGTCGGCGACTATAACTAATTCAGAATACAGATATATATATTCGCATTTGCAACCTCGGCATGTTTTCCGTACGTATTCCTAGTTACCTACGTTGGAGCAAAGAGCTAGAGATTCGTTATTTTTGCGAAGCGGACGATTCGATGGGGTTTATTGTTCAGCCTTAACAAAGCTAATCACGATAGCATTGTTATAGCTCTAGAAAAACGCGACCCAATCAATCCATGCATCTTTACTTTCCATGCACAAACAGCCTCTGGTCCACAGGATCAAAAGTCTTTTCGCGAGGGCCACCGATCGGTTTTCCAAAGACCAACTGCGCCTTCAGACTCCAATCCGTGGGAATGTTCCATTGCTCGGCGACATCGGCATCAAACATTGGGTTATAGTGCTGGAGACTACATCCAAGCCCTTCTGCTTCCAGAAGCGTCCAAACTAAGGTATTGATCAGCACTATACTCAAAGCCTTGTTAGACTTCAACTCACGCGCATATTGATTCATGGCACTGGCATGCTCGGACCCTATAAAAAATTAGCCAACAGGAATTTTCAAGGATGAGTGTATACTTCAATCTAAAGACATACACTGCGGAAACTTGTCTTTCAGCATCGGCCACTTTTCTTCTAGGGGCCGGATCGGTGCAGGGTCCTCGTAAAACAGCACCTGTTGAAAGTGAGTTGACATTCTATATTTTATTCCAACAGGATCACGGCGATACTCACGGTCCCATATCCCCCGCGAAACATGGCGATCCGTGGCTTGTAGACTTTGTCAAACACTTCTGGAGGAGCGATGGAGCTTGCAACTTCATATGCGATATCCCATAATTTCTGGTGCTCATCTTTGAGGAGCACGACCAGCCGCGAGGTCTGGCTATTGAAGGGACTTGGAGTGTGCAGAACAACGTTGGAAAGCAATTCCTCCAGTCGATCATCGGAGATAGTCGATTCATTAGTCAGGGCATAGATGGTCCGACGGTCTCTGAAGCTATCGCTGATGCTCTTTGCCATTTTGTACACTAACAGGTGCTGATGCAAGGCCACTGTGAGAAAGTTGGATCTTGTAAGAGACTGACAGGGACACAGGAGGAATATTTGAGGGAGAAATAGTCGTGATGAGCATCACCCAAGATCCTAGCCATGGGGGCCGGATTTGGGGGCTGAGCAGACCTCTTCGAAATGCGCGTATCAGATGCTCTGATGGAACCAAGCTATTTTAGTGTAGAGGCTATATTTTCTTAATATTACGGTAGAGTCAATCAAGTATAGGTTTGAGGATATAGATAGCAGGCAGTAAGCCCTAAATCCCGGTTGCACTCTGATTGCGCCAGTGTCGTCGCAGAAAGGCAAGGATCAACCCCACCAGGCAATTTGACGCGGGACAAGAAAGATGTCTACATTCCATACCCCCAAGACCAGGGGTTCAGAAGGATATAATCGAACTGTGCAAAAGTGTATAAGTCGGTAAATGGGGGCTGTGTTTCAATTGTGTACTAAGAAAGCGATGCTCGTCATCCTCGAATTGCGCCCCTTGAAACGGATTTAGTATATAGATGAACTGGAAGATAGCCCATACAATCTACTATGGGCATAAAAAGGGATGGCACAAAACGCAACACACCGAGTCCAGAAGCAAACTTGTCTCGGCAAAATGTCAATCAACTAAAAACAAAAAAAGTAGATGGTCACGGAGAGGCTCGAACTCTCGACTTCTGAGTTATTAGCTCAGCACTCTAACCGACTGAGTTACGCGACCAATTGTTGAGGAACGGCTGAAGTAATTAGCATTATTAAACAATTTTCACGGAGCAGCATTCCATGCTTCTTACATCGGGTTTCCCACTTTTTCCTTCTTTTCTTTTTTTTGTTAGAGTCGTAAATGAAGTGTGAAGCTCTATGTTCGTGAAATCAATCTCTACAGTCTTTTTTCCGTTTTCCCCCCTTCTTTCCCAATATTACAGGGCTGTGTTCAACTTGGTGCTCCTTAAGTTTGTGTTTGTTGCATATTCACATTTATATATAATTTTTGCTATGAATGCAAACTTTTAGAATTGCCAGTCCGATAAACGCAGTTATTCAAGAGCACTACCAAAAGCTCTACTACTACGTACCCTTAGGGAATAACAAGGGCCTATAAAATAAAATTTAGCAAAGTTGGGAAACCTTTCCCCAAATGGTGTCCCCTTAAAAGCCGTTCCTCAAGGATCAAGATATCACCGAGCACCAAGAAACATTACAGACAAGCCATAGAACCCCAAACTCTCGAATCTAAATAAATTGCGATTAAATATAATATTGTACGTAAGTTCTCTCTGTGTCAGCTTTATTGCTTTGGCCAGAAACTGCCTCAATTGAAATGACGTCCTCCCTTCGTTATAGCAAAGTGATTAGCATCTACAACCACCTCATTCTACAATATGAGCCGCCCATGCTTCCGGATGCAGGATGAAATCATTAGTGGACGCGATAATCTGTAAGAGCATTGTGTTTCGTATATGACTGGCCATGCAGAAGATATGCTCTGTCTGGTATCAAAAGCCTTCCCTAGTTCCGCAGAAGGCTCCTATTTCGATGCTTTCTTCTCCCCCGTCAACGTATCATACATCGACCCAAACTCCGCATACCACTTATCCACAACATCCTGACTCATCCCGGGAGCAATCATACTATCCCCACGTTCCAAAGCAGAAGTGAAGAACTCCATAAACTCCTCCACAGAAAGTGCATTAGGATTCTTATCCTTCTTATTATCATCTGGATCCTCCCGATCCCGATGCAAGTCTGTTCCCACCGACGGCGGCGCAATCTCAATCACTTTGATCCGCTCATACCCACCACGCGCAAGCTGAGTACGAAGCGTCATGCTCCAGAAATGCAGCCAGGCCTTGGTCCCATTATATACAGGGTTAATGACCGAGAAAGGCACAAACCCTAGAATAGAAGAAACATTCATGATTGTAGCGCCGTCGGGTTTGCTTTTGAAATGTTCCAAAAGGCCAAGAGTAAGATGCATTGGTCCGCGGATATTGATATCGATTTCTTGGTCTGCCTTTGATAGGAAGTCCGTTGGATCGTCTTTGAGAACTTCTAGTGGGCGCTGGACGCCGGCGTTGTTGATTAGGCAGTCGAGGTCGGGGTATTCTGCCGTAACCGTTTTGATAAACGTTGGGATTTGTGAGACCACACCCGTGTCCAAGGTGAAATAGTCAGTTGCTCCGATCTCTTGGGCTGTCTCTCGTAGTGTACTCTCCGTGCGGCCGGCGATGATGACCTTTTTGCCTTTGCTTAGGAGGTATGCGGCTATGGCCTTGCCCAGGCCACCCCCTCCGCCGGTGACGAGAGCACAGGAAAATGGTAGATCAGACATGACAGTATAATTATGGCACGAAGAGCTAGTTCTTCTGTATCAATTAACCGGTAGAGGAAAGATTATGTGTGATACAAGACCAAAATTTATAATCTCGGAAGCGGGCTCTCTCGGAAACAGCCCGAAATTCTTCCGGTTGACTCGGAGCTGTGCGCTCGAGTGGGTCTTCCCATTCCAATGACGCACTTTCTATGCCATAATAACTAGGAAGTTTGAAAATTTGAAGAATTCTGGCATAACGCCATGGATGTTTTTCATATGTTTCCATACGAAGTGCTGAGCACTTGTAAATGGACAAACTAGGTATGCGCCGAACCATGCAACACCCATTACTACTAATACATTAAACACCAAAATCAAAACATCTTATCCGCAACACTCTCTCCGCGATCCAATGCGTCGGCTTCCTTGCGCAGTACGTCGGCCCGGAATCGCCGGAAAGCGGTCTCAATCCTCTTCTTCTGTTCCGGGTCGGCAGTGATAGTGCGACTGCCACTAGCTGCTCCGCCCAAGAAGCCTATAGCAACGAATTTAGTTAGTACTCTGTAAATAGTCCTATATATTGCACCACTTCAGTCATTCTAGGGTTCAGGGTTAGGTCTTACCTAGCTCTCCGCCCAGAAAGAGTCCACCAGCAGAAGCAAAGAAATACGTTGCGAAATCACCAAGTGTGGTTGGCTTCAGTAACGGGGTAATATCCGGAATAGACTCTGTTCGTATCTTTATTAGTGTCTCCCCATAAATAGCAGCGATAAACATAGGGTCACATACCTGTCCGACCATCAGCGAAGACCACTTGTGTAGGTCTCTCCTGCGCGCGGAAAACATCGAAGAAAGCCTTGCGCGAGCTTCGTAGTCGGAAGGCAACATATAGACCCAGCCCAATTCCTACTGCAGAGCCAATTCCGGTCCAAAGGGAGACTTTCGAAGCTGCAGACTTCAAAGTATCGCGGTCTTCCTGTCGCAAGTCGTGCTGAAGGTGTTCATCGGCCAGACGGGACAATTCGTCGCTGCGACGATTGCGGAGGGTGGCGAATGATTCGGGCATGTTGCAGGAATTATATTATAAATTATTAAGGTCAATTGATAGTTTAAAGGAATAATCGAGGACTTGTAAGGGTATAAGTTGAAAGCTCTCGTGGGCGAGTTGAAAAGAGGATTATATATGTCCATGACGTCATCGACACAACACAATCACATGTGCCGGTGCCTGGAGATTATCATTGTTGCCTGATGGCCTGATGGCCTCCAGGCACTGATTTTTTCTTACCTGGAATTCTGGCCCCAACCTGTCCTAAGACGCGTGTTTATCCCCTCGACAATCAGACAAGTTACAGAGACAATGGCATTTCCTCCCGCCTCTGCTGGTCCCAATGCAGTTAGAGCCTATATCTCTGATATTCTCGTCTCTAAGCATGATGCAACAGTAGACTTTGCCAAAGAAGTAGCTAGTCGCTGGCAATTAGGTCGACCAAACGACCTGCGCCATGCATCTACCTGGACATTCGAACACGTTTTCGGCAAAGAGATTGGGCATTTTCTATACCGAACAGTTCAGGAGGATATCAGGGAACAATGGTATAGCTCTACCGCTGGGGTATTGAATTCCTGTATGTACAGTATTGCTGGCCATGACTGGAAGCGAGGATATTAATATCAGTTTAGGGCTGTTAGTATTCTCCATAGTATCTTCCGCGTTCTTTCTCGTTCGGGCAACACGAGCAAATTCATCTTCCACGAGTGCTGGTAAGCCCAATATCTCTTGTTAACGCGAACATAAAGACCCAGCACCAGCTGATTGTTATAGCCTCGTTGCGCTACGCCGGCTCAGCCTTTGGGCCGCCGATGGTCTTCTGTGGAATTCAGGACCAGTACAGTCAGTGGCAATTTCCTCGACTTTTCCTTGGTGGCATTGTAACCTTCTTGACTGTTCTCGCGTTTCTGGTGGCTTCCACGGACCGGAGTGTGGAGAAGCAGAAAATAGAGACAGAAGACAGAAAGAAGGGCGAAACGAAACAGAAATAGTAGTGCAGTTGTGGCGTGTTTATCTAGCGAGGCTATATACGGGCGACAGCTCAGCATGCTCTGACAAATGCTGGTTGTATATCAGGAAATCATTAGATTCCCTGGGTGTAGGGAGAAGCTACCCTCCGGACCTTGGCAGATCACAGACCTTATCATGCGAGATAATTCCGGAGACATACTGTCCCATCTATTGAGACATGGAAAATCTCTGGGTTAGCTTCCTGTGGAACATTATGTCATGGATCACTATCGAGGGTCACTGTAGGATAGAGTGAATTAGTAATGTGGAACTGGCCGATATGTATATAACTGGCTAGTGAAGAAACAAGAAGTAATTCACCTCTGTTTGATATTAAACACCTAGCATAATGTCATTGAAGTGATTAGGTAGACTCACCCTACACCCACAGGCCGAGCAATAAGTCTTCCCCCACGGCCCCACTTTTCCCAGCGGCGGCCTCGCGGGGTCATCGCAAATCCAACAGAAATAGCTTTGTGCATGACAGCACTAGCAACATCAAGCAATATGCCGGACTTCAAATACCCAAAACCCGTGATTCTCTCACGACACACCCTGGTACGTATTGCATTTTTGCCAAGGTAGCGAGTGCCATCTAACAGTGAAGCACAGGACACCAAAGAAGCCGAATGGAAGAGATTAGTCAAGACGACCTATCGCGATCCTAATGGGGTGCAGAGAATCTGGGAGTCTGCCGAAATGCAGGTAACATTTCTCTTTCGCCATGCGACCAGGATCCTAATGGAGAGGAGTAGCTGATTTAGTCGCACAGACTCGACCGGCGGATAGTGACTTCGATGGAGTCAGTATCGTGGCTACCTTGAACAAGTCAACGGGTCCGGAACTTGTTTTATTAAAACAGTACCGACCTGCTCTGGATAAGGTGGTCATCGAGATCCCCGGAGGCCTAATTGAACCCGGAGAGACCGCAGAGCAATGCGCCTTGAGGGAGCTCAAGGAGGAAACTGGTTTTGTGGGAGAGGCGGAAAGAACCAGTAGAACTCTGTTCAATTGTGAGTATATTACCTGGCGGATCTCGCCATGGGAGTTGCATCTGTTTCACTAGAAAGAAAAACTGATGTCTTGATAGCTCCCGGGTTCTGCAACAATAATTTTAAGCTCGTTTATGTGAATGTGGACCTGTCCTTGCCGGAGAATCAGAACCCCAGCCCAGAGTTGGAGGAAGAAGAGTTTATCGAGGTCTTCACGCTCCCTATGAAGTCACTCTTTTTGGAAATCAAGAGGCTCGAGAAAGAAGGATTCGCCATTGAGACTCGGGTTGTTGCGCTCGCGGAAGGCCTTGAGCTGGCCAGGAAGTGGAATTTGTGAGTAGTTGGATAGCTAGCATTTGTAGGGTAGAAGATTTGCTTTGCGTCGAGAGAAAAGACATAGATACCCATTCAAGGCTACAAGCCAGCTGGACTAAGGTAGACTATTGATATTTAGATGTTCTATGCCCATAGCTCATAGACTCTTCCACTTAAGCCCCACGTAAGTGACGTAACGAAGCCTTGCAAATATGGTGGTATTTAGAGACTCACATCTATGAGGTAAGGATTTAGTACAAGAAATACACCGAAAGCCTTATAATGTTATACTTTGACACATTGTACTTTATTGTTTTGATTAATATTTTTTTTTAGATTATTTTACTCGGTGGCATTTGTTGCTGGAAATCGGACAAATACATCTGACTGCAGGAAATCAATTCCGGTGGAATTGATTACCAAATATAGTAACCATTCCGGTTGAAAGAGCAAAAGTCCTCCGGTGGAACCCTATCCATCATTGCAATATAAGTAGGTTCTTAACAGCCGCATAAATGGATAGCTTATCAGTCTCAGATTATTATTCTATAGATTATTTGCTATCGCGGGATAACAATCGTTCATTCAATAATCTATCAAGATGTCTTCCAACACGATTACCGTGACCTTCCAAGAACTCGCAAAAATGATCGACCACTCCCTCCTGCACCCAACCATGACCGATGAAGACATTGTTGCTGGTCTGCACATCGCCCGTGCGAACAATGTTGCAACCGCCTGCGTGAAACCATACCTTATTCCACTTGCCAAGAAAGAGCTCGCCGGCAGCGACGTCCTCGTTTGTCCGGTGATCGGGTTCCCTCATGGTAACAGCACAACGGGGATCAAAGTGATCGAGGCGACAGCAGCAGCCAAGGCAGGTGGTAACGAGATCGACATGGTCGTCAACGTGGGTAAAGTCCTTGGTGGCGATTGGGACTATGTGAAGGAAGAGATCCGTCAGATCAATGAAGTGGTTGTGGCTAATGGTGCCATTCTCAAGGTTATTTTTGAGAATGATTATCTCCACTCTCAGCACATTGCTAGATTGTGCGAGATCTGCACAGAATTGAAAGTTGCCTTCGTCAAGACCTCCACCGGGTATGGATTTGTTAAGCAGAAAGATGGATCATACAACTATCGTGGAGCGACGGTTAAGGATCTCAAGCTCATGAGAGAAAAGTCAGGGAAGGATATCCAGATCAAGGCAGCCGGGGGTGTGAGAACGTTGGACGATCTACTGCATGTCATGAGCTTGGGTGTGACTCGAATTGGCGCCACGGCGACTGTGGCAATGTTGGAGGAAGCCAAAAAGCGTGGAATTGGCAGCGAGCCGGTGGAAGTTTCCTTCAAGCCCATGGCTGAGGATAGCACGGGTGGGTATTGAGTTATGTCCAGTGATTAATGTAGATGACCACTTGAGCTTTTTTGTATGTAACAAATAACACAGATCACACAGATCAGGATTCCTCACGCCAGGCAGACCTGTAAGCCATGTAGATACTAAGCCTAACGATATCTAAGACCTGTTCTGAGAGAACCTGGGCCGATATTACCTCACTTTAAGGGCATCGTTGTCAAAGAACGTTTCGTCGATTGAATGTACGCAAGCTAATGTGAATTTGTTCTACCCCGTCCGATGGGGTGTTGTATCTAGGGTGGAATATTCTCCAAACTCCAAATCCATGTTTGCTCCAGCATTGGGAAGCCTTCGTCAGTAGGGGGTCGGAGAAGCGAAGAGTTATACGACTCCTCGGGATCCACTGATAATCGGGGGGCGTATGTAGAGAGGGCTATTCGAACGAAGCATTAGTGACCGGGGCCAAGAAGAAGAGCTGTCTTTCGTACCTTGATCAAAATCATAGATGGCCTCGGATAAAGCCGGGTCTTCCATATACTGCAGGGCGTTCTCGTTAGTCATGTTGAACGGGTACGTAGAATCAGCTGTCGGAATCTCTGATTGTTGGCCAGGAACGGGGCAAGTTGTGTCGCTAGATCGCTGAGTATATGTTGCAGAAACGGGAGCATCTGATGCAGAGTTGGCCGCTTCAAGAGGTCGAGGATGGTCGATCCATCCACCGGCTGCATTGCCACCTCCACTATCTCTGGGTTCCGAGAGCTCAATAGGCTTGGACACATCAAGCATCACGTTCAGTTCTTTCTCCATCACGAGCCTCGCTAGGCGCTGAAGAACCTCGAGACCCTGTGCAGCAAGGACTGAGCGATGCTTGAGTTTCTCCTGAATACCCATGAGACGATGCATTCCAATCTTTGTGTCGCGCGATTGTGGTCCTAGGGGTTCGATACTGCTGAGGATTCCTAAGGTTACACCAGCTGTGAATGTGTGGATGCTGACAAAGGCTGCGGCATAGGTTTCTGATATGAGATCAACAATTGGGTTCGAAGCAATTTCGGCCATGCTCATCGCTGCAGCTCGGCAAGTCTGTAGTGAAGACCGAAAGGGGCTCATGGAGCTTGGAGTTGACTCTATGTAGTCCCTGGGTGCAGAGTTAGAGGATTGGGAAACGACCTTATACGACAGCAGCGGACGATGAACCAAGATCTTAGCATTTTCATAAGCAAGTTTGAGGGTTAGTGCCTGAAGCTGATAGATATGATTCTCGAAGACAGGCCCGGATGCACCAATATCCCGATCAACTGCCTGTGGTGATGAGTAGCTAACATCCGCTTGAGTTATGTTATCCCATCCTAGCCTGGAGGGAACCTCTGCATGCCACTGCCGTAGCTTCATATCAATTGTGCGTACTCGGTCAATAACATAGGACGGGTCCAAGGTTGAGTGATGTAACCGTGAGCCTTCAGCGGAATCAAGACGAACGTTATACAATTCAGATAATGCATCCTTCGTAATAATAGATAATTTCGACATGAAATATTTATAGGACAGTAAGGTTGCCTCACTTGTGACCGGCTCCTCAAATGAAGAGGGCGATTGCCCAATCGGTGAGTTGAATGTCGGATCTAGCGGCTCAACATCGCAGTCAGAGTCTTTGATACTCAGAGGGTAACCATATGCCATCGAACAAAAAGTTTCAATTTCATATATGGCCCACCACCCTCGCTTTCTTGCTTCATTTTGCTTTCGCGCAGCAGTACTCATTGGTAATGAGTGTTGGGGACTCGATGACCTTTTGCGATGAAGGCCTAGGGCCTGAGCGATGCGCAGCCCACAGCCACATACCGGCCATGCCAGCCGAGGTGCACCATGGTACAAATAATATGTTCCGAGTAACACACACATCTCTACGACCTCTAGGGAGCCGACAGAAACTATGTCCAATAGTCGTGTTCTCACGGCAGAGAAAATTCGTTCTTTGAGTTTATCCGGGTCAATGCCATAGGTGGCCAAGAGCTGCCGGCGATGGTCCCCAATGTACTGGAGGCCAATAGCGATAACCATCAGAAACGTGCTAATAAATCCTAGGTTTTGGGAAGACTTCGAGGTCCGCGAGTTCGGTAGTCTGTACAGCTTCGGCCATCGTCGCCGGAAATCATCTTGGTGAAAAATGAGCATGAACCAGTGTACTCGGTCAAAGTAGGTATCTACGAGCAAAGCTGCTGCTTGGTAGTCAGGTAAAAGTGATACCAGCTCTGCCACAGCTGATTGGGAGGAATAGGCCAATGATCTGTTCATTGGAGGCATGCGGCTTGTTGCTGGCGAGGCACGGCCATTATTGGGATTCCTCGTCGGTGTTTCTTCTTCCCCTGACGCGTCGGACACAAGATCACCGAGCCCGGCTCCAGGAATAGCATTTGTTGCGGCTGACTCAGGTGTAGCTGCGTTGTGAAGATGGAATGCCTACAGAAGGGTCAGCCACCATCACAGCGCAACAAAACGAATTGTGGTAATACCCCATCCACCAAGGCCATCGTAGAGCTAGAATTCCAGGATTGATGGTTGCCCGAGGCTGGCCGTTGATCGATTGTCTCCCGTGTATCCCCCTGAGCCACATGGCTCGGGAAAACAGTAAGAGACTGGAGATGGGAATCGCTACGCGATGATGATATAGACCCCGCAGGTTCAACCACGCGGATCCGTTTAGTCGAGCGCTCCGATTCCGGGGGCTGATCTTTTTGATAAACCCTCCACTGGGCAGGAGTGACCGGCTGACAGTCAACACCCGCCCTTCTACACAACGTGCATGGGCGGATTATATCACACTGTTCCAGGACGTTACTCAATGCTGACTCAACGGTTATCAGGGGGAAGCTGACCTTTAGTTTTTGGCGTCGACATCTTTGACAAGCACTCGAGACTTTCTTTTTGGTACTACCAGCCATGATTACCAAGCAGTACCTTCGTGCCTCGCATATGAAAGAGCTACGGAACTTTATTATAGATGCTCAACCTGATTGGCGCTGAGAGTGCCCATATTCGACGTGATAGAACAAACCAAATATATGGTGGATCGAAACGCCGTGGTGTAGTTATCTCGGAACCGGAAGAATGTATTGATCCCAGTATATGCCAGATATATCAGGCGACATTTTATTGATGCCTTAGCTATGACCGATAGTTGCTTTTGGAGATCGTGAAGTTAAGTATATGTCTCTCGGGTTATTGATGCTTGTTAATCTACTCTGATATGAGAAAGTACTTGAGGAGATAAAAGAGAGTCCATTCCACCAGCAGTAGTAATAGCGTTCACACAGTTGTACCTGAATATAACAATCTCGACGCACAAGCCAACAATTAGACCAACATAAACAACAAGAACAGGAGGAACAATTTGATTAATAGAGTAAATAAAGACGACCAACTTGTTATAGGAGATTGTATCAATTAAAAGTGCATACAATAAGACCTGTCGTTGATAATCAGATAAAAGCATTCTTCGAAATTGGTTGGAGCCTGAGAACCCAATGGAAAATAGTACAATCTATGCAAGCATGAAATATCATGCCTCCAGGACTGACGTATTCACCCGCTGGCATTTCTCCGGCTGGATACACGAGTATCGCCTCCTAGCATGCGAGCATTTATCTCGGTATAGTATAGGATGAGAATCAGAAAGCTCTGCACAAGGAGCCATTGGTTTGTTCGACCCATGCCTCGCTGCCCACACATTGATGGCACCAGAGAAGGTGATCCGGATCATACTTCTGTTTGATCGCATAAAGACGGGGATAATTGGGCCCAAAAAAAGACCATTGCCAGTTCGGCTCGTAGCGGTTTGCCTGTCAAGCATATTGTATGTGAATATAGGAACTGAAGCTTGGAATAGAATTATAGAGATTGAACAAGAAGTTCAATTAAATAAAATACACACCTCATTGAAGTAAGCTCCTGTGCCAGGAGCTAGTTGGCGTAACGCATATCCCTTGATATAAGTTACGTCTGCGATGGTCTGGTGGGCAATAGACTGAGGTAAGGAGTCGTCCCAGCTCTGAGAGCTAATAAGATGAACGACAGTATCACGCCAAGCTGGATTCAGTGCATTATCTACAGGGACCTTGCTACCAGTCATAGTCCCAGAAATGGAAGGGTTAGAGACTCCATTCTGTGAAAGATTGATTTAGCCGACACGGTTGCAATCAGGCGAGAAGAAATGGCTGATAAAGGGCATACCTTTGGAGCGGTAAGCTTCGGACCGATAGTCTCCAGAACTTTGGCAAATGCCTCTGTATCTTCAATGGCTTTCTGAGGCAACAGACGAGAGGTAGTGGCGCTGCGTGTGGTGCCCACATGTTCAACGACGGGCATATGTTTGATCAGGTCGTACCAAGCCGGTACCCAGGAGGTAGAGATTGTGCTTTCGATCGAATTATTTGCTCTTTCAAGGAAGCCTTCGAGAGGTCTGAGGAGATTATTCGCACTTTCAGTTCCGTTGCTATTATAAAGCAGCATGGTATCATGGAACATTAGAGGCGGCCCCGACAGAGTGTAGTAACTATTCATGCCAGCATCTTGCAGACGTGAAAGCTCCTTATGAAGTTCTGCAATAAGTAACCAGAATGTCTGAGGAGATGTACCATTACGAGCCGTGATATCAAGGTCTACCACGGCTGTGGATGGCATAGGGTAAGCTTTTACAGTGACGCTGAGGATAACACCAAAGGTGCCCCCACCTCCACCTCGAATGGCCCAGAATATATCTTCGTTTTGACAGGAGTTGGCTGTGAGGACCTTACCACTGGTTGTCACAATAACAGCCTCAATGATGCTATCTGCACCCATACCGTAAGTTCCAGTTGCGAGGCCATGTCCCCCTCCTGTGGCCCATCCGACAACGCCAACGTCCTAATCAAAGACATCAGCCCAGAGACTTTGAACTTGTGCTCCTCGTAAAGACCCTACCTCGTTTGTTCCGCCCACTGCAATAGCATTGTGCTGCGCCATCAACTTGAAGAGCTCACCATCCTGAACGCCGGCCCCGAGGGTCGCGGCCATATGGGTCGCGTTCTGAGGGCATGACTGAGGGCGAAAGGACTTGTGAAATTCAAATTGCTTTATATTGTGTGTCCAAATCCTAGACAATGAGCATTATTGTGAGAGATAGGAAAGGGAAATAGCCCATGGGAGGTTAACAGGGTAGACAGAAAGGCAGCGGGATAACCTACGACAGACTTCCATGGGCGGAGCTATACTTTAGTTAGTATTTATAGCATAGAATCAGCAGGTAATGTTCGGACACTCACCTCTGCACGGCGTTGTGACCAGTGTTCTTTATGTTTAAGCGGAGATTCTTTTTGCGCGCAAACTCCAGAGTCTCCTGAACATGGCGCGCCTCGGTCGCATTAACAACATAGGGTGAAATATTACCAAGCGTACAGCCATTCTCTCTAGCAAAAGCGTCGCCCGTGACACTAGTCCCATTGGCATAAATTGGGCTGCACCCACCGCCTAAAGCATTAGGAGACATGATGCTGGACGGGTCTGAAGAGTGAAAGGCCGATGAGGTCCAGTTAGATCGCACTTTCGCGCACGCCTGGGCGTTATAGCTAGGCTCCGAGGGGTAGCAGACGGAGGCCAGAGGCACGCTGCGAATGAGGCGCCCAGAAAGAGTTTCATTGAGGGATGCCCATTCGGACAAGGAGGGCCAGCATGGGTCCGAAGGTGACTGGCCAACGATAGTCAGTCAAAAATTGAAGTAGGGCCATGCGAGCATCGGCTGAATACGGTGATTGTAATGGTTACTCACGCATTTGCACTGCGACGCTTCCGCTACGCCGAGCGCTAAGGAAAGAAGAGGAAGGAGTGAGAGCGATCGCATAATAGCTGGCTGTACAGTTGTGTACTGCGATGAGATTGAGAAGGGACTAAAGACCCCTTTATACGAATCCAAAGGAGATCTGGAATTGAAGAACAATGGGGGCAAAGGTTAGGTTCGATCCTATGCCTGTCGTACTCGTTTAGGGCTTATAACCTCGTAGTCGTTTGAATAACCAAAAGCAGAAGCTGATCCACCAGTTGCTTCCCGTCCGCTACGTCAACTCCAGCCTTTAGGCAAGAGTATGCTAGCTAGACTTCAGTGATCGTTCAGAATACGGTTGCCTTATGATAATTTAGAGCGTTCAAGGCAGTAGGTGCTGGCAACAGTCTGAATATAGAATTATTTGTGTCGAAATACTGAGTGGTGACTACTCTTAATCTACAATGAGTAGCTGTTTTCAAGATCCCAGCTATAAGTGGACTAAACATCGAGGATAGAAGAGCTTTAAATGAATGGCATCCGTTTCTTTGTTAATCTTTCTATTGAAGTTTTATATGTACGAAGAACATTGATCTCACAGCTGATGAGGACAAGCGCACGTAGTACTTCCTAAATCACATTTAAATGGACTATTGCGATGAAGAAGAAATTATTGGGGTAGCATTTTATTCTAAATGGAGAGGAACCGGATGGTTGTGATCTGTTTGGTATCCTATATTTTTTCATAAAGTCAAATTCAAAGCTCGATTACAAACTGCACTTTCCACAATCCGGCGCTGTGCTCGAATGATCCACCAAGGTCGATCGATTCATGTTCTGGTTCGAGCGAGGAACATCATTGGAAGGATTCAGTTCGAAGAAGCTAGTCGGCTTCAAAGACACTGACATCTTCTCAACTGGCATAACCGGGAAGTCTATTCACGATCGTGATTAGCTAAATGTCTAACATATACTTTGATAAATGGAAAGAGGAAGCTTACCTTCAGGTCGAGTAACATGAGTGACGCCAAAAGTGTGCCAGAGAACGACATCTGCATTCTCGACATTCTCACTACGACGAGCCCATACACCCAAGCCAGTGTCCTCTCGGCTTTGGTTGGTGAACTCACCAGCAGCCCAGAACTCATCATCCTGGTAGGACGTCACCCAGATGGGCTTGGAAGAGAAATGGCCGCGTTTGTAGTTGAAAGTCTCTGGCCCCATCATGAGCATTTGACTGGGTAGCGCGTGTAGCTTGTAGCCGACCGGCTTGCCCGAAACAGGGTTGATTTGAGATGTGTTAATGATTTTATAAGTTCGAGACTGGCTTGTATCGAGATCATAACCGCCAGGTTGGGTGATGGGCGTGGTGTGGACACGGAACGCTACACCGAAGGGATCGAGCTGCGGGTTGTTCACGACCGGCTTAATGTCATCATAGGTAATTGTATTCTTCAATCCATCAAGGGCTGGGTCGATACGCAAGCAGAAGAGATGCTGGTGGTTAACAGCAAGGACACCGGGCGCAACCACTGTTCCCCATGGAGAAAGAGCCTTCTGGCGGATGGGCATGGTAGACACAATGCCCGTGGCTTTGACATCGATGTGGATGTTACCTGCCTGGTCGAGAATGTAAGCGAGAATGTATTCATAGTTGAGTACAGTGGCCGTGCACTGAATTACCAGCTGGCGGTTTCGAACCATGGAGGCCTGCCCATTGCGAATGTTCGTGTGCTTCCATCCGACTCCGTCGTCCACTTCATGCATGCAAATGACGTTCTTCATGACTACTGGCTCTCCAGATCCTGAGGTCCGGATACCATCGAAGTAAGCAATAAGACCTAGGCAATCACAGCCCAGGGTCAATGTGTTGGAGGTGATACCGAATCCAGAGTCTCCCAGGTCGAACGCCTGCTTGCGGTGATAAGGGGAGCGAGGGTCACCGTAAGGGACAGTCATCTCGCTCATTGAGATTCGATGGAATAGGGACCGACCGTCATAGAAGACATTATTGAGAATGGGACCTTCACGAACATTCCAGCCCATGTGGAAGGACCATTTCTGCCAGGAAACATGACGACCATCGATGCGGAAGGATGGACCTTCAGGCTGAACCACGTGCAAAGGCTTTACATCTTTTCTGAAGTAGTCATTGCCCAGAACCCTTGCGCTGTATTCCACCGCCTTGACGGGTTCCCATGGCAGAGTGTCGGATTCTAATTCGGCTCCGACACCTACTGGGAGTCTCTCAATTTCCAACAATTCAAGCGTGTGGGCGTCAAAAATAGGGGCAAACGTGGTCGGGATGGAGTAGTGGTTTGCTTCTGGGTCATCGTTGAGGGCAATGTACATGTAGCATTGGTAGAGGCGTCGACGCTCATTTGCATCATCTGTGCCATAGAGCCAAGGATCATTGATTATCGTTGCCCTGTAGTGAAAGTCAGCTAAAAGCTATGATTGCTTATTCTGCACAATAGTTGCTCACGCACCCCTTCGGAAGCTTGAGCTTTTCAACCTCAGCCTGTACTGCTGGATGTTCGGCACAGGTTTGAATAATGCGATCAATCTCGTCCATATCGGCTGGCCCTTGTATTTCTGGGTATTCCTCATCCACTTCCACGACTCCCTTGCTGAGATTTATTTTTGCTTTGCGTAGCGTCGTACTGCCATGCTTGTGATAGTATGTGTAAGCCTTGCGAGGAAGTGGTTGAACTCGAACAGTCTGGTCTTGCAGGTACGCAAGCTGGCTCGCTTTCGGGGGTTCGAGGAGGTCGATAACCTTGAACCGGACAGCAGTCGGGGCATGGTAGGCTCGCAGTGTCTGCGAAGCTTTGCGCAGCTCTGCTGGAGAGAGAGGGTCAAGAGGATGGAACATTGTGAGGCGTAATTCGTTGTACTCCAGGGAGTGTGTTTAAGAGTAAGGGATTTGATGAGTGGGAGAACTTGATCGGCGTGGTGGTTGAACCGCTATTTATCCTGCTGAGACCCCGGGGAAAAGCCCTTAACGTAGCCATATAAACCCCACAGCCGCCGTTGAGGTATATTCCTCCTTTGGATATTCTTACGCGCTCAAATGATATTACAAACTTATCTCCAGGGGGATCTCAGTATCGCCGCAGTGGAGCGGTCCTCATGCGAGTTAAGAGTTGACATGGTTTCCCGATAGGGTAATACTCCCAGCTGACCCACTTAACCCTAGTGTTGGCCATTCGTCGTCCCCAGACCCCGCCTTTTTGCTGATTTATTGCGAGTATACGTATGATGTTTATTACCAGATATAGCGGTAGTCTGAACTTATTTGACCCAGGGCGTGATTCTTTCCGACTACGGAAAGTGTTCCAATTGCTGTTGCGTCTGGTGTGCTTAGCTGTAGCAAGAGGAAGTGTCTAGTGTTGAAACTCGTGAATATCTCAAGACGCCAGAGCTCAGGTTAAGACCGAAATTTTAGATTTAGGTTAGTAGAAGTGGGCAATCTTTGAACTGCTTATTTGTGACCTTCGCCTAAACTATCGTCCAACCTTCACGTTTAATATTCGCATCGCAGTCGAGGTCGAAATATACAATTTAGAGAAACAGCTATGTCAGTTGAACAGCAACACGAAATGTGAGCGCGGCTATTGCCCGAATGGATGAGGCGACAAGTGGCCCGAATCCCAGAATCCCGGGGGTGGTTAGCATCGCAGTGGCCAGAGATGGAAATCCAATCCTGTCGCACGCATCAGGTAATTTGAAGCTTGGTGGCGAATCACGCTTGAAATTGGATTCGGTGTTCTGGATAGCTTCATGTACAAAGCTCCTCACAGGCATAGCATGCATGCAACTCGTGGAACAAGGGAAGCTCGCACTCGACGATGCCGTTGAGCTTGGCCATCTCGCTCCAGAGCTGAAGGAACTGAAAGTGTTGACGAGAGGCTCCAATGGATCTTACACACTGGTGCCGCAAGAGCGGCAAATTACGCTCAGAATGCTTATGACCCATACGTGTAAGTTATACCAGTCATTATCTTGACCGATTTTTAACTCGTAAGAAGCCGGTTTCGGGTATGCCTTTGACAATGTTAAGCTCTGCGACTGGGCAAGGCCTACCGGTATCGACGATTTCTCAGGACGGAGAGAAGATATTCTTTTGCGACCGCTAGTATTCCAACCAGGAACGGGGTTCCAATACGGTGTGAGCATCGATTGGGTCGGAATCATTATAGAACGAGCCACGAAAATGAACCTTCAGGAATATTTTCAAAAGTATATCTTTGCGCCGCTAAGTATAAAGGATCTGGCGTTCTACCCAACGCGAGACATGAAGCAACGCCTTGCCTACATGCACCAGCGCGCAGCTGACGGCTCATTGAGTGTAACCGACCAACTTGTTCGACATGCGCTTGTCGAATCCGTGTATGCAACAAACGAAAGCTTCTGTATGGGTGGTTGTGGGTGCTTCGGGACACCCAGGGAGTATTCAAGTGCGTCATTATTTCACCCATTTCATGAAATATGGGAACTAAGTGAACAGAAATCCTGGCTATGCTACTCAACAACGGAACCTGCCCAAAGACCAACGCTCAGATATTAAAGTCAGAAACAATACAGCGTAAGTCGTCACTACGCCTTATGTTTTTCAATCAGTTTATATTAATCCTCTGCCGTGAAAAGAAATGTTCACCGACCAGATCCCACAGTATCCGCTCTACCACAATGAATATTGCCAGTCAGCAAAACCCACGCTCGCCAACAATTGTCCCATTATCCTCAAACCTGGAAATCCGACCGATGGATGGGGCCTTACATTCATGTTGAGCCATGAGAGTAGCGGATCTGGGAGAGCAGCTGGTTCGGCATCATGGGAGGGCCTGGCAAATTTATACTGGTTTGCCGATCGTGTCAACGGCATTGCTATGATCTTCGCTACCCAAATTCTTCCATACGGAGGTGAGTTCTGGACTCTACTTTTCCCACTATCGATTCCTGACTATGTACATAGATCTCGACGCTGTTAAGCTTTTCCAGGAGATTGAGAAGGATGTGTATGCAAATTGTGGCTTGATAACTGAGTAGGTTCTCGTGGTCTAGCGATCACTGCAACGCGGCTGATGGTTTTTATCAGTCCCTTGAAGGGTAACCTTTAATTACAATTTTAATAGACAAAGTGAAGGGAACTCTTTTCGGATTTGACTGGTTTATAAGATGTATTCAAGGCACTGGTGGAAATGAATGATTTCCTGATGAATGACTTGTAACCGAAGATAACTGATACATATCATGAATCGTGAGTGCAATAATAAGGAAGGTGGAAAGCGCAATTGACAAACATCAGTCAGCTTTGGAGCGTACAAGGCTCCACTCAATATGTGGCCCTTCAAAACTTCTCCTTCCGATGAACAGCCAAAGAACGTTTATAAGAGTAAAGACGCCAACAAGAATTACACACACATAGTTCATGGACTGCAGGCTAACAGGTAGATTTGGCGGCATGCAAATGAGAACACCAAGTACTACAATCCAGAGGACTGAGAACGCGTTGCAGAAGTATCCAACCCAGCCAAGTTTCAAATACCTTTCTGGGAGACACGTGCGGCCTTGCATGAGGAGGATTCCCTGGGGTATAGTGTAGGTGATGTTCAAAAACAGGACTGCTGAGGTAATGATAGAATTAAATGCGGTCGTGGAGGCCAGATATAGAAGGCCGTAAAGACAGCTGAATAGGAAGGTAACCACTGTCGTGCGAACAGGGAAGTTGAGCTTCTCGTTAACCACGGAGAAGTATTCTGGGAAAGGGGTTCCTTTCTTGACAACAGTTAGCTAGCACGTACCCCATACAGAGTATATTGAAACCTACATCGCGAGCAAATGCCCATGCAATTCGACCAGCACTGACCCATTGTGATGGAAGGGAAACTATATGTTTTGTTAGCTATATATTTCAAGGGGTCTTTTCACCAGACGACTTACAGGCATAAACGACCCATAATAGAATAAATAACCCTAGAGTAACACTTCGGCTTCCGGTTCTGGGTCATGGTGTTAGTCTTAGATATTTATAAGCCGTGTGTAATGTGTGACACTAACATCTGGTATACCAGCTCAAGACTAGGGAGAGGTGCCTCCCGTATTGCTTCCATGTCAATGGTGAAATACATAAAGACAATAAATAACGGAAGACATGTAATGAGACCTATCGCCATCGTTATCGTCATGATCTGCGGTACTCGCTTTCCCGGTTTGGGTATTTCTTCACAGATGTGAATGACTATTCAGCGTTAGTGCACCGTGCCTTGATAAGCAACACAGCCCTGAAGTAACACAAACTGACCTCCATCCACACCACCAAATGCATACATAGCATTGCTTATAGACAGTAACCAAGCAGTGCCTTCGTTCCACCCACTGTTTCCTTTCCCCGACTCCAATAGAAAAGACTGTGGCTGCATTTGCCGGTGCATGACAACGGAAACGACGAGGAAGATGACGAATCCCGACAACGACAGATAAAGTGCTATTTGGGTTACGAGTGATATTCTGTTGGATGCGACAAATACTGGGATGACTAGATGGGGAAAGCAATTAGTCTATTGGTTCCGTTTATAAAGCACACCCATGGGTTTCTGCCGTCCACGATACTTACTCGTAACAAATGACACGCCAACATAGGTAAGATATGTCTGCCACTGATTGGCAACGTATCCTGGGGAGCAAAAATTGACAATACCATTCAGAACGACGGTAGCAAGGGATATACCAGAGCAGCTGTAGAAAAAGAAGCCAAGTATTAGAGCGGAGATGATATATAACAAGTAGACTTCGGATGGCACATACGTGACAATCCACCATGCCAACACCGAAAGCCAGCCAACAATATACGCACTGTATCTCCTCGTAGTTTCGGGGCTCAGGATATAGCAGAAATGGTACTGCCCACCGCTAGACTGTTTGTCTGCAGTGTCAGTGGCTTGCTTGTATGTGTCTGTGTGTCCGTTTGTGTGTTAGGAACTGGCTAGTCTTACAGGAAAGGCAGACCCTAGCTCAGCGAGTCCCAAGGTCACAATAAATTGAACGATGAAAGCTACGACCAGACTGAATATGCAGGCTTGAGCACCACCATATGTCAGGTTCTGGCCGAAGCAGCTCTACCACGTTCACAATTGTCAGCAGGGTATCTTCTGGAACAGAAGACGATCATACCAGATAGCCAACCCAGGAGTTGGTGATTGAAAAGCCCAGTCCAAGAGCAGAGAGCCAGTTGAACTGGCGAGGCATGGCCGTCTGATGGCCATTTGCCTGAAGGATTGCATCGTCGTCGTCTGCATCCTTCGCAATATCGTTCACTGTTCCAGGGATGATGCTCTGGTCATCAGCCGCGGGGGGCTCACCCTTGATGGGCTTTTCCAATGCAAATGCCATGGTAAGATATACAGTTTCTTAAAAAAAAAAAAAAGGAATACCACAATGAGTATGAAACTGTAAAAATGAATGAGAGAAGTATGGTTAAACACTTTATTCGCCTCAGGATCTGCGACATTTTATATACACTACATTCCAGATGTCTTAAACATATCAAGGGATACTACAACGAGGCAGATAACGTTGTGACTGCAAGGGAGTGGCCTCCATCCTCTGGTCGTGGTTATCGGGCATACAATGCCCTAGTATAACTTCCCCGCAAACTTAAATGCCGATGGCCGATAAGCAAGCCTTCTGTTCCTATCTTAGTGCGGAATACAGAAGAAGAAAGCTCAACGGGGGTAATGGCAAATCGAAAAAAAGGGAAATAAAAAAGAGAAATGCTGGAAAGGAAGATAAGGTCGAGAATGGATCCGACTGCAACTCCTTGTTGATCAGGGCTCGTAAGGGCCCGTGCGCCCCCAACCACCTTAGCTGGATAACTTACTCTTTTGAGTAATATATCCAACCTCTCGGCTTCCCCACACGGATCCCCAGAAACAATTGCCACGCATGTCAGACGACAAGAGACAAGGAACATATACGAAGACATCTTGTGACGACACCGGTTATTCTCTAAGATATAAGATATGCATCTATCGCTTCCATACCCCAGAGCAGTACTTGTTACCATTCGTATAGGTAGTACTAAGTTATCCATCCAATTGCAGATTATCCAACATGTCCGACTCCTTTGATACATCCAAGTACAGTGACGAGGTCCAGAAGGTGTCCAAGGATACCCCGCTGGAGGAAATTCTGTACCTTCTCAAGCGTGATGGCGGGGTATTTGTGAAGAATTTAATCCCCGAAGAAGATGTCGATAAGGCATACAGTGAGGTAAAAGATCGTATGGATAACGACGTGGAATGGGACGGCGCGTTCTTCCCAGGTAAGTACGAAATAAAATACTTCAACATACGCATACATTATTTAGGGCTAACGTCATGTGTAAGCGCAAACTCAACGGGCTCCCTCACTAATTGCGCGGAGCCCTACCTACACTAAGACGCAATTGATGAACCCTCTTTTCCGCAAGGTCTGTGAGCACTTTCTGACTACACGGAGCTGGTTTTGGTGGGGAGATGAAAAGAAAGAGTCCGTATCAATGCCCTATGTGCATTCCTGCACAGCGATGAGAATTGGTCCCAGGGGTAAGGCCCAACCATTGCACCGTGATGACTATATCGCCCATCGCTATCATACTGAGATCGACAAATGGGATGATGCCCGTGACATGGACCGCGAGTCAGCCGTTGGATTGTTTGTGGCTGGCTGCAGAATTACGAAGGAGAACGGGGGTACCCAGTTCATTCCCCGAAGCCACCTTTGGTACGTTCGAACGAGACATCCCCACCATTCTCGAGACGGTCCATCTGACACGTTACAGGGGCACCGATCGCACTACTCCACCCCGCGTTGATCAGTGTATTTTCGCAGACATGGAAAAGGGTGATGGCTTCATTATGTTGGCGTCTGCCTTCCATGGTGGAGGTTCAAATGTCACCGAAGATGAGTATCGCCTAGCTTTCGCTACGTTCATCACGCGTGGATTTTTACGGCAGGAGGAGAACCAATTTTTAGCCGTACCGCAGGATGTGGCGCGGACTTACGATCGTGACATTCAAGAGTACATCGGATATTACATGAGCGATCCCGCGTGTGGCTACTATGAACAGATGGATCCGATATACCATCTTCGGCCTGAGCTCCTGAAGGACGCCAGACCCACCGACTTCTGAGGGGCATACTGCGATATTAGGAAGTTTTGATATCGTGTGTTGAGACTTAGGGATGTGACGTTTTTTGTATGGTAATTAAGTAGCGCATTATGAAATGAATAGCCATATCAAGTTCTTGATAGTCACCTGTCCTCTATTTCGAGTATTCCCAATTTTCAACATGTAGATGGCAGAACCGACTCTAGACTTTAGTCTACTAAAACTAGGTCATCCGTCTTAGAGGTTCTTTGATTACAAACACCTGGTACAATGTGCAGGTGTTCTGCACTCCCCGTCCCTAAATTGTTTCTCCACAGCGACGATCTCTTGGCAGTGCGTTGATCACAGGAACCCCAAGGGTGTATGAAGAAGTAAAGAATATCGACATTCCGTACTCCGCACGAGAGAAGTGTATTATGACGTCTGCCGGAACGCGGAAGCCTATGGCTATGCATGTTTCGCGTCTTGAGGAAGGTCGGTTCAAGGGAATAAACAACGATAATACTCTAGTTCTAAGCCTGAAACCATGGAACTTCGCCACTGCAACTGGGCTGGGTTACTTACCCTATCCGGTAACGCGCCCAACCAGTCTACCAAAACATGAGATTGAACGAACAGAGGGGATTGGCGTCTTCTCTTACCTCCGCATGATAGCTCCCAAAATAAAAGACGCTCATTTCGCTGCAGCTATATTCCCCCCAGCAATATCATTCTATAATTGTTCCTTGATACCCCCCCCCCGAAGCCTTGTAACTCTGAACATTTCCTTTTGTTTTCATATATTGACAGTCGATAACATGCACACCAACGGTCAGAACAGTCGGCAGTTACCGAGTCTGTCCTCAAACCTGATCGGTAAAACAGCCATTGTAACGGGCTCCTCCCGGTATGTTGGTTATCTATCTTGAGCGTTGAAGACATCGCACGGCTAATGAGCCCCAGGGGCATCGGTGCTGGCATTGCGCTCGACCTTGGTCGCAGAGGTGCTGCGGTTGTTATAACATACACCAGCGAAAAGTCACTTCCATCAGCAACCTCGGTGTCTCGCGCGATCGAAGAGACAGGGTCAGGGGGGAAGGGCATTCTAGTACAGGCCGATATCACCTCCGCGACAGATCGACAGAGGCTCATCGATGCAGCCGTGGAAGCGAGTCCGAACAAATCGATCGATATACTAGTCCATAATGCGGGTAATGGAGATGACTGCTATCTCAAAGATATTTCAGAGCAATTTTTCGAAACTCTAGTGAATGTGAATTTGAAAGGTATGTGGAGCAGACCATGAGAAGACTTCAATCAACAAGGCTGATAGTTGGGCTCCTTGATGGCCCTGTCATCGCATAGCTCCCGTGTTCCTTACTCAAGTCGCCGTACCTTACATGCCTCGAGGCGGAAGAATTGTACTTATCACATCTGCTGCAGCTCGCATGGGCGTTGCGGAAACCACAGTGTATGCGGCCAACAAGGCCGGTCTAGAAGCGTTTGCGAGGGTTTGGGCTACTGAGCTTGGTCAATCTCATGGAATCACCGTCAATTGCGTGAGTCCAGGCCCAATTGCCACCGAACAATTTCACAACAGTTCGCCGGAGTTCAAGCGAGCATTGCAACCGATGATCGAAAGTACACCTGCTGAGGCACGGATGGGAGAAGTGGAGGATATTGTACCTCTTGTGAGGTAGGAGACTGTTACTAAATTCTCTTATCATGGAGATGCCTGAAACTGACATGTTAATAGCTTCCTTTGCTCCGAAGAATCGCGCTGGGTAACTGGCAGTGTCCTTAGTGGAACAGGTGGACTGCTGCTCTTCTAGGGCGTGGCAATAACAGTGTGGCAACGCGTCGATTTAGCGAAGGCAAACAGTATCCTCACTGGTATAAATTGCGACAAAACCATGCTAAAATCCAGATAATCCAAGAATAGCAGAAAAAACAAGACAAGCAAAAAAAAGGAAAACCAAAATTGTTGTAGAGGTCTATCTTATCGTACCAACCGTAGGACAATTCTGTCTTCAATTTTTGGAGCTGAACCAAGGAATAATCGTAGAGCATGCCAGCTTCTCCACAAGGATCAGGGAGCCCGTTTCTCACGTGGGCTGGGACAGTATTTATTGGCGTTGATCGCTCCTTTCTCCACTTACCTTGTGCTGACGTCCACGTCAAGCCTTCGTTATACAGCATTTTTGCAATTTTTAGCCATGAGATCTCGGAGTAGTACGTGAAATTCGACTGCATTAACCGACATAGTATCTTCTAAACCTGTTAATCATCCAACTAGATCCTGCCTGTGGTACTTGCCGGAAGAAGTGCCGCAAATGTGACCGCGCTCGTCCGATTTGCAACAGATGTCGGGTGAAAGGTCTCCACTGCGAGGGCTATCCGCCGCGGTTTCTTTTTTTCGAAGATATGTTTAATTCAAAAAGGCAACAGCAGAATGATTCCATACCTTCATCAAGCGAACCATCTCCAAGTAGTAAGACACTCTGTGCGCGGTATACTGCCACTACTGACGATGAAAGCCCAGGCCAAGAAACGCGGCCAGACTACACGACGGCTACCAATGGCGAATCTAAAACTACTAACAACGAAAAGAAAGGAACACGTCGATCGAGCCTGCCGCAGCGGAAGCGAAGCAATGCCTCCCATGTAACTACAGAAACCAACAATGCGATAGGCTCCACTAAAACCTCGCTCGCAGCCACAATGGATGATATTTTGACACTGCCTGAGACCGAGAATCTCCTCAGTTACTGTGAGTCCTGAGAATATTGACTTAGGATGCGTTTCTGACTCTCATTGGACGCAGTTGATACGACTTTATGCAGGGCATTAATAATCGATACCGACGATCTGCGCAATCCATTTCGAGGATATATCCTTCCGCTTGCATATCGTGACCTTGGAATTTTACATGCTGTGCTGGGCCTCACCATGTGCCACATAATCTCGTCTGGCAAGCAGGAGACCGAGAATGCGAGTGTTGCTAGAATGATAGAGCATCAACTATCCGCATTGCAGTCCCTCAGCTCGCTCTTGATGAAAGAAGAAATGTACGGCCTCACAGATGATGAACAGGACATATTACTGGCAGTTGTGATTCTACTAGTTCTCTATGATGTAAGGATTAAATCCTATTTCCATACTTTGAAACGTAGCGGGATAGTTCAGAGACTTATGTGACAACAGATCTGTGAGACTGGAGTGTCGTCTCATGGAGTGCACCTTACCGGAGCTGGCTACATATGCGGAAAACTCGCACAGCAGACCAAGGTCATCACATCTCCACGAACAACATTCCTTCTAACCGCCTTAACTTGGTAAGTATCGTCACCCATGGATCGTATCATACCTACCTTAACCATCAGACAAGGCTAGACGTACTTCGAGCATTCAGCGGCGCTGAAAAGTTGGCCTACAGTGACAATGTCCGTAGGTGCATTTTAGAAGCCGAGCATTTCAACCTGGAGACTCTAGTGGGATGTCCGGTGGAATTGTTTTACGAGATAGGATGCGTTCTCACGGCAGGAAAGCAGTATATGGACAGGGAGCTATCCCATGATAATTTTCGGGACCTACTAGACGGTGCAGAACAATTCTTTCGGGTCTGGGACCCTAAAAGTGCCGCGTTTCCGAGTGGAGATCCGGAGTGGATACAGCTCGCAGAGGCCTACCGCCATGTCTGTATCATTCGGGTACTGCGGTTCCCAGATACATGGGCTATTCCCTGTGAGGATCACCGAATTCAGTCGTCTGTTCGTGCCATCCTTGATGCTTCAGCTGAAATTTCGATCGACTCAGCCTGGTTCAAAAGGTTGTTGTTCCCTCTGTTCATAGCAAGTGCAGAAACATCTATACCTCACCAAAAACGATATGTCGAGTTTTGTATGCGTGAGATAAAGAAGTCAACCGGATTTCCTCACCCTGCCATGAATGAGCTGCTCACCAGAGTTTGGGGTGAAAGACAACGACAGGCAGACAAATCAGGGAATATTCCGTGGATGGAATTCGTAAGCAAAATCCACCTTCCATGATACTGCCCAAGCTAACTCTGCAAAGACCTGCTCTAAGGATCTGGTTCGCCAGCATGACTACCTGATGTTTTGATGCCAACTATCCTAAGCAAGAGATTAGTTTTGCGCAGCCTTGGTATTTCAACCGCTCTTGAGCTTCTCCGAGTGGGCACAGTGTACCGCTTCTAATTAGATAATCTATTGCATGCTCTGATGAAGACAGAAACAACCTAGATCACGCAGGCTGTATCATTATACCTAGTCCAAAGAGCAACCCCCAATCATTATTCGTGCGAATCACGATCGGCGAGTTGTGCATATTTAACTGAGGGGAGATAATCAAGAAATCTGAAAAGAAATCAACGTCTCTTTGTTCCGATTACCACCACCAAAGTAGAATTGTTGTTGCGAGATGTCCTTTAGCATAATATCTCAATTTCGAGAACAAAAACATATCCCCGTTTCACCTTCGGCTGAGTCCATTCAAAACTAGCGCCCAATGACGTCAAACAAAATGGCAGTGCCTTTTTTCAAATCAACTTGTCTGGTTGGTCGTTCGCCAAGGATCTATCCGAACGTAACCCCAAGGAACATGGCAACGCTGAATGGCCCTATCCCATCTGCCGGGCAATCGAGTCACGCTAATATGTTTGTCTTTTCGTGCCAATAATATGTCTCGATTATGCTTACTGTGGGAAACCGCTGCCATGTCACATGGAGATAGAATAGGTATATAAACTAGTCCTGACCCTAATTTCACTAAGACGAGTTTGTGCTTTGTTAAACCCTACATATGTTTACCGCGCACTATTACTGATTGATTATTTTATGCTTGTCTAAACTACTATCTCTCCTACTATCTACCAACATGGTCTTCGGCTCTTCCAAGAAAAAGTCCAAGGAGGAAAAGCCGCTTGCTCATCCATCCGCAAAATGGGGAATCACACCCTCCGAAGAAACCATGAACAAAGAAGTGGGAAAGGACCACCCCGTTCATAAGATTCCGCTCGATAAGCAGGAGAAAATGAGAGCGAAGGGTATAGACCCCGTCTCCAAGGCCGAAATGGATGAGGTTCTCAAGGGACAGGGCGGGTTCTGGGCGAAGCTGGGGATGACTGCTTTGGGTGGAGTGATTAAATAATTCATCGACAGGGATGATTCCCAGGGTACATTTGGCATTGGCATTGATATTGTTAGAAAATATCTTCTGAGTGTACTGTTATCGAGGCCAAATTTTTAAAAGACAATATCATGGTCTCTCGTCGCGTGATCTTTGTGCTCTTTCCTTGTCGACTTTCTCCTTGGATGGCCTTCATTGACAGCAAATTAATATGTTGTTGGTTGAGCTCAGACACACGCTTTGTTATCCACTTTATGGCTACTGAGATACATTCTTGATGAAAATTAGTGACTTGACTACTCTGGTTTCCATCAGGTTCTGGCGGTAAAATCGCCTGGTTCCTTCGGGCGAGTAATAAATTAATTATACAAACGCTTTATACATATGAAAACGCTATGATGAATGTAAAGCCAGAGGAAAGAAAAAGCGATAGCTTATACGGTATCCTCACAGAGCCACGTTCTCCCCAAAGACTTCACTGATAGGCCAAGTAATATATGGTCTCCACGTGGAATCTAGTAGATGATAAATCTCCCGAAGCACGCGGCTGCCCCAGGACTGAAGGAAGCAATTTTCTCGCGCTATATGGAGGAAGGTGCAATAATGAGCATGAGTAACTAGAGCGAAAGGCTCCTGCCGCTGCACGTGTTGAAGATACTCAGGGGTCGCCCTGATGGCCCAGCCAACAGCCAGCATCATGGAAGTCGGTTGGGCAAACGTGTGAACAGACAGCCCTCTTAGCTCCTGAATGGCACGTGTATATGCAGCAGTATCATGTTCCCCGTCCGTCCCATACGCGGTATTAAGCTGTTCGAGGCGATCAAGGGATTCTTTGGCACGGCCAGGGTAAGCCACCTGTGGTGGGGTGGGATCGAAGAGAGGAGCAAAGTTACTGTGTCGTAAAGTAGAAGCCACGTTGATGATCTGCTGAACGCCACGAGAAAGGACAAATATGTTATGAAGAGTATCTAAACAAGGCTGGTCGGCGTCAGAAACCCCAGTCAACGCAGAGCCGAAGGCAAACGCCACTACCAGCCCAGAGAGGCCCATCATTGCCTTTGCATTGGCTGCATCGACACTGTGTAGATTTTCCAGAAATTGTGGTAGTGCTTGGCTTTTATGCGCTGTGGCCAATCCAAGCCAGAAGGACTTTTGTGGTTCAGCCTCCGATAAGGAGAGGTGCAACGCGGACACAGCTAGGATGCCGTGCATTAAGAAAGGCGTATTTAAAGCTTCTTCAACAAGTAACACACCCCATATATGCTTCGTTTCTTCATTTCGCGAGAAGAATCGGTGAGTATCCCTTTGCCACTGGACTATGAGCTTCAGCTGATTCATTTCCAGGCCCGGAGTAGGGCTGGCCGTTGTGCCATTTGTTCCGAACCTGTCTAACAGGTCGAAAGAGGCATCTGCTGATGGTAGCACTGGATCCTCACTATTGGAAGATGTTTTCCCCCGGCTTCGCGCTCGCCGCCGAGGGGTACTTTCCTCGGTAGCCCAGATATAAGGGGTGTCTGTGCCATAGTCACAGTCTTCTTGCCGTTGTTTGCAATTAGAACAGGTTGGCCGTACTTCATCGCACTTAAAAACACAGGTTAGGAGACGAGTCCTTCAAGATTTTAATAGTGAGCACGACCATTGGCAATACTAAAGGTGAAGACCTAAAGCTCCTGTCTATCTACATCATGCCAAGCACCAACGGGAGTGGAAGGATAGAAGCTTACTTTCACTCTTCGTCGTTTACAGGCTTTGCAGCCATGTCTGGATTTCCGGTGGGGTCGACGAATGGGCATTTCGCGAACTCCTACAAAGGCACGAGTGGCTCATCATCCCAATGATAGACAGCCTGGATTACTGGTGAAGTCATTTGCCTCAAAGTTTCCGGTGCTTCGAGAAAACGCCACACTCGAGGACTCCGCTTTCCCACCGCCTGCCTCATCTGTTAGTGATTCTGCCACCTTTCAAACGCGCCACATCCGACGGCAGTTCAACTCTATATAGCAATCGATACGAGTACGACTACAAGACCCACCGGATCCACTAGCGATGCAAAGGGGCTCGTCATCTCTCGGCCAGGACACCAAGCAGTCGGTCATGGTCAGGTCGCACCAGTGAAACATGATTTTTGTCTCCAAACGAGCACCATGACTCCAATTGTGGCTTGTCCGGTCTGTGCATGGCCAGATCCATAAACTTGCCATGGCTAAGCTCATATATATATTCCACCGCGGGTTAAGTCGGTCTCGATAAGATCTTCAACCCTCATTTCGGTCTATTTACTACTCTTCGCGCGCTGGTATCGAGTCTTGTCCCACTTCCTAGAAGCTCTTACGTTGAGTGTTACTCATCTCTGCGCCATATGTCTTTTGCGTCAGCACTTACATTCGTTGTTGCTATCTGGTGCATCTACGTGGGTTGGCCATGGTATCGCAACTGGAAGCAGGCAAAGGAGCTGCATATTCCTGTTATCCTAAGTCCTGTCTCTACCAGCGGTGTCGCATTAGGTTTACTGAGATATATACTGGACCTCAATGTCTTACCAGCTTATATCACTCGATTTCCGTTTATTAGACTTCTCCGCAGAAATTCGAGATTCCAGGAGAAGTTCGCAGTCCATGCCGAGTATGGAAAGCTATTAATCTTAGTTACGCCGGCGACATGTGAGCTCTACATAGCAGATGTGGATGCCGCAAAGCAAGTCCTTACACGGTGGAGAGATTTTCCAAAACCCAGTAGCCTTCTAGGTATGATCTTCCTCAAAAGGAACACAGGCTAGTTGCTAACAGAATCAAGAAAAAATGAATGTCTTCGGCAAAAACCTAGCTACGGTATAGATGACCCGATACCATCCTCTCTTTTCGTTTCGACTTTCACAACGACATCTTATCATAGCGGACTGACAGGCTTCAGGTAGAAGGGGTCGATTGGCAGCGTCACCGAAAATTGACCGCGCGTGCATTCCATGAGAAACTGCACGAGGCAGTTTGGGTCGAATCGACGAGAAATGCGTTAAAGGTTTTGAAGAAATGGATCAACACCAAGTCCGTCTACAGTACGCGGTCCGATATGATGGCGCTGAGCCTGGGTGTGCTTTTTAAAGCATGTCTTAATATTGATGGGGTGGATAAAGATGATACTAGGATGTTAGCGGGTGACGTTGCCGCCTGCCAATGGCATCTGGATGTGGTCCTAAACGGAATATCGAACCCTATAGGTCTAGAAGTTGGAGGAATCAAAAAGCTCAAGACGAGCTATAAAGCCTTGGGCGAGCTATTGACCGAGTTTGTGGAAGCTCGAACGGCACGATCAAAACATACGACGCACGCAGATCTCTTGTCATCAATCCTCGCTCCAACAGACCATCGTGCTCTATCAACCGATGAAGTCACGGGCAATCTGTTTCTCTTCATGTTCGCCGGTCACGAGACCACTGCGAATGCCTTGATCTATATTATCCTTCTTATGGCGATATTCCCAGCCTGGCAGGACTGGGCGCTAGCAGAGGTTGACCAATTATTATACAATCAAGCTAATGGAGAAGAAGTTCCGTCCTATAGGCAAATTCTGCCACAAATACAACGACTGCGAGCAATTTTGGTAAGTTTCATGCCTTGTGGTACAGTTCGTTCACTTTTCTAATGGCACGTATAGTATGAGACTCTTCGGCTCTACGGTCCCGTGCCGACTATAGTGCGACAGACAAATTCCATGGCTCAGACCCTAGTGTTATCCGAACGAGAGACCATAATCCCTAAGGATACGCCTGTAAATGTCAATACCATAGCCTTACATACAGATCCCAAGCAATGGGGTCCAGACCCTCTAGCCTGGAGACCCGATCGGTGGATATCGCAGGAGTCCGACTCATCTCTGCAAATGGTTTCAAATGAACTGTTTAGGTGCCTCTTCGCCTGGGGAGATGGGCCGCGGTTGTGTCCGGGACAGAAGTTCTCGCAGATCGAGATCTTCGCAGTTCTTCTCTGCCTTTTTAAAAGCCACCGTGTGGAGTTAGTGGCTTCTCCTGACCAAACTATGGACCAGGCAAGATCTCATGCACTTTCCTTGATCCAGAATAGTATGGTGGGCCTTACGTTGCAGATGCCACATGCCGAGTCAGTAGGCCTGCAATGGGTGGGGCGATAACTTTAAGCATAATTAATCGAATTGTTAATATTGTCTGCTTCTTATATTATACGTCTTGCACATTTGGAACATCGAACCGTTGGAAGGCCTCCCAAAGCCTAGGTTGTGGGCTACCGCGAACCGCCATCCTATGAAGTAGAAGCCAATTATCACTGCTATATCCCATGATTGGCGTCGGGATCCTGTCCTGTTTTGTTCTGTGTCATGACAACTTTTATGATTATCAACCCCAGTTACCTTGGTTTGTCTCCAGCAGTTATATCATCAACCGATCATAGTCTAAATGGAATGTCCATAATTGGTGACAAATCTTTCAAAGATTATGTGTCCGACATACCATGTAACCAAAGGGATAACATAGATGGTTATCTTGGCTTTATGTTCGCGATCCGTCGTGGAATATACTGCCCCTCCAGAATGTTGCGCATACTGGCTTACAGCACCCGGCGAAATACATATTGCTCATAATGGCCAATGACAGATATGATCTCAAGAGCGTTCCACGAGCTTGCCAAGCAAAAAGCGACTAGATCATCATTCAAACTGATGCTCAGCCTCCCTAACGACTTCGCCATAATTAGTAATCCCAGCCCAATCTTTTCCAAAGATACTGTGTAGATCCGTAGTAATGGGTCTCGCAAGACGCTTTACGACTTCTATGCTCTGAGTGACTAAAATCTCTGACTATTTCGAGCAAGTGGGTCTTTGTAGCCTTTTAGGGTTAACGATACGAATGCGAGAAATTTGCTGGGAAACGGAATTGGACCGAGCTTTTTCATGTTGCCTATTTGCGTCCCCCAATGGCTGACCCGGTATCAGAGTGAATGGTTCTTTGGTACGGAAGTTGTAAATTGAAGTTATTCCAGAAGGTTACGCAGCTTATCGCCTTGGCGATGTTCTATACGAGTACGATATGCGACTTACCATGCATAGGCACAGTAAACAAGAAGATATATATATATCTCAGAGGAGTAGTAAGTGGACGAAAGTGAACAAAAACCACTACAACTATTGTCTTTCTGCGTTCTTACTCATATTATTGAACCTGATAAATTTGTCACCTTTCTTCTCATAGTGCTTAGAGGATATTAGCCAGACTCTCCTCCCCACAGAAAGACACAACCAAAATGAACCTCTCAATCGAGAATAGCCCCAAAATCAAGTTCCGATTGCATATCATCGTCGGCTCCTTGCTCTTATTAACCTTTGTCCTTGTCATCGCACGAGTGACTGACAAGGGTACGCCGTCAAGCCGGACTAACACATGGGGTATTGCGGTGGTGAGTGATTGACACTATGAGGAACCATTCTCCCTGCGCTTAAACTAATTGAAACTGGTTCATATATATAGTGCCTAAAGTCAGCAGTTTTTATGACATATCAAGTCGTCACCGCTCACGCCGCGCGATTCAAACGCTGGGCAAGTAGCAAAGCCAATATGATCTTGAACATTATTGATACCATCTTCTGGTTCGCCCTATTCATCATATCCATCATGGGTACTTCGGGTTCCCACAGCACTAGTAGTCGTGCACTGGGTGTTATTATAATCATTTTGGCTCTTGTTCTATGGTATGTGTTTTTATTTGCGATATGATGTTGCCTTCCATAGAGAAAAAGCTGACTCTAACTGTTTTGATTTGCTATAGCGGTCTCGCTGGCTTCCTATCGTTCATCTGTATCCGCGACCGACGATATTATAAGCAACATGGCTCACTCCCTGGGGTAGACAACTCCAAGTCCCCCTGTTGAAAAAGGAGGCCACGAAGTTTAGGCGCCGTATGCTTAGTCCTTATGATAGTATATCACTTTATGTTACTGCAAGCATCAGATGAGATATCCTTTGTTACGCTGCCATATACTTTCCAGTGATCCAGTACAAACCGTGGTGTATATATCGATAAAAAGATGAAAGGCAATCACTAGACACATTTTCTTCAGCTACTCCTAAGCCTGACATGATATCAGTAAAGACCCATTCAGCAGCATATGTAGCAGACACGCTCCTTCCCCATCGGGGTCCTTCCACGTGTTGAAGGCAAAACCTTTTTGTTGAGCACAGAGAGCTAGATTAGAAGAATGCAATCATCTCTGACCTTTTTCTTTTTTGCCCTTCCTTTTGTCGTAGCTGACAACTTAGCTAGTAAGCTGATGGTCTCCCAAAACGGGATGGAAATCTTTCTTACTTTTGGCAAGATGGACGACGGGTATCGGGACTACTTAGTGAACAAGGACTCTGCTGCAAATTGTGGATCGTTAATGAGGATGCAGACTTATGGTCCCTGGAACGTATTGCTTCCTCCCCACATGAAACAGTTGGGCGTTATCGTTACATGTATTATGTTGGCGGTTAACCACCAAGCCAGCTCTTAGTGCAATAGTATTCTATATTTGAATCCTCTTCTGATATTTGGCCATGTATTTCAAAGAATTGCAGACTTTCACAGCTCATTGCACAGTTAACGCTTCATGGATTGAGACAGGGCATTATATTCACTTGTTTTACAAGCTTATGAGGCCTTTGAGGACCACTCCAGATAGTGTTTACTTAACGCTATTCCATTCGACTACCTAAAAATATCCAGACACCTTAGGGTGCTTTATCGTGCCATCTCCTGCTTGACAGATAGTCTAGGGAGTAGTTGAGTCTTGACTATCACTAACTTACGGGCGGCAACTTTACTTTGCCACGTAGTTTAGGCAACATCTGAGTAAATCAAATTTCTTCAATACTGGAAACAATAGCTGCGTCCGTACTACTCAAGTCCTAGCCTATGCCTTCCAGCTGTAAACCACTGTTGACTCCTGGTACTCCGTTGTCCCCGGCACTAATCGACAAACATGGATGTATCCGCCGTTGGGTTGGCATCACTTCCGAGGTATCTTGCAAAGAAGTCCCAAGAGGCTCGATCCTTTGAGCTACACAGCATAAGATCGGACATTTTGATGCGAAGTCCTTTGCTATCGTAATGTGCAATGATGACCCTCCCATGCGCGGGAGCCATGAAAGAGATAAGCATAACCTCAAAGAGAATAAAAGTCAGCAACGAGGATACGAAAAGCCGTAGTGAGATCGCATTACTTGGGAAAGATTTGCCTACAGGAATGATAAGATGTTTTTCGAGCCATTTATCCATAAGACGGGTAGCGATTGCAGCAATTATGGTGAGAATCTCAGAGCAGAGTAAAAGCTTTGGATCCCCTTGACTAGTATTGTACACGGCTATCTTGGTATGTGGTATGCCGCTCTTAACCCAACAATTAGCTGGCTCACTGTAGGGGGAGTCGTAGGTATGGAGGTAAGGCTCGAATCTCGCTGCAAAGGCAAATCTAAGTAAGTCGTGATTAGTCCTGCGCATTGATATATCTAATCATCACGTTAGCTCACCCAGGGGACTTCCAGCCCGTAACTACCCTCAGGGGTCTCGAGTTTCCTTCAGTCCCCATTCTGGGGACAACGTCCGCTTCCCACATGAGTCTATAAGCTAAATAGTCCAGGTGCTCTTGCTTAGTCCAGCATCCCAACTCCATGAGTACGGGACAATTGCCATCAGTCAATTGGTTAACATGGGAGAAACGTTCGCTAATCTCGGGGGCCTCCAGGTTCATTTTGTATTTGGATGAGATGCTTTCGTGGGAAAGAGGAAGAAAGAAGTTTAACTCAGTTTGTACCGTAACACAGGGAGTCTCCTCGATAGTGACATCATTTAATGGCAGAACCTTCATATCAATGCTTACAGGCAGGGATTGAAAATCTCCGGGTTGAATATAAACACTGGACATATTCTTCAACAGTGTAAACATGCCACACAGTACGCCAAAGGCTTTTTCTCTCTGGGCCTCTCGGTCATCTCGTAGGCGAAGGTGAGCCAGACTACCTGTCAAGCGTGACAGAGATCGAAACATCTTGGACTTGGATAGGGAGGACAAGAGAGAGAGAGAGAGAGAGAGAGAGAGAGAGAGAGAGAAATGGAGAAAGAAATGGAAAGAGAGAAAGAGGGCGGGAAGGAAAAGAGTAACACGTCAAGGTTGCGTGTCTCGGTCCAGTGGATGTTATCATTATTATCATTGCTACACCCCGCTCTATAATAACTAAGGATTCATTCACTCTAATCAAACCCTACACAAATGTTTAAAAGAAAGCCGAGAAATAGATCCTGTCAACTGTGATAGTGCACCTCGCTCACTTCTCATCCTCAGGCCCCATGGGCCTTCTTCCTGCTTGTTCTACATTCTTTCTCTTCCCCTCCGGTGATATACTCGGATCACTGTGTACCTGCTCTGTCGTCGTGGACGGTTCCTCGCCCTCATGCCTTTCGCTCGTAGGGCCAAGTTGGTTTGAAATGGGAGACTGTACAGATTTCGTATCCGGCGTGTCGTCATGAGGCGACTCCTTGCCCCGCGACGTATTGATTGCTTGCGACTCAGGGTTGCTGGAACGAGGATTTGCAACATTCTTAAACTAGTAGTAGATGAGATTCCTGCTTCCCAATTGATTTGAGGTAAATAAAGAAAAAGCTTGTCCAAGGGGCGGGTAACTGAAGAATTACGAAATGAGACACCGCTTGTTGCCACAGTACTACTTCATGACGTCCACAGATGGGGTGTTTATTTTGTTGCAGCCTCAATTCTTTCTGGAGTATAGGGTACAATGAAAATTCACGACATTATAGGTCATCTAATAGTATTTTTAGACAAGTAGTCAGGGCTGCGTGTTATATATTTAGTCATTATATGCAGTCAAAGTCAAATAAACAAAGTTTGAGTATCTACATCGAGTGATAATATATTTACCAGTCGTTATCACGAGTTAGAAATATCTTCTCTTTTCTTCTTCCTTGCTTTCTTGTTTCTTTTTTTTCCCATTTCCTCCTTGACAATCAAACATAAACGTTCTAATAGTACTATAGGATATATCTAAATGATTACGGATAATATACTAGCCGAGTAATACGATAGAATCGGTATGATCTTGGTTAGAATTCTACTAAAATGTGGATTACCGCTCAAGCACAGCTAGATTGTCTTGCTGACTGACAAGATTAGTTATGTAGAGTTGTTCAACCCTGGACTCACGATAACTATACTGTGTATCTAACAATACAATCAGCAAGAACCTAAGATTCTCCTAAGTCTCGAATTTATTGGATGTCATTTCAGTTGAAAAGTTCTCCCGCTGAACCAAAACCAATCAGTAACGCCCATACTGAGTGTTATCATAGTGAGTGTTATTCAACATCTCCAGATCACCGCCGCTCTCAGCCTTCTTTCTGGCAGAAACGACCTTGCTAGGGTGCCACCAATTGAGAATGATGCAACAGACGAACATCAATGCCGCATCAAACACATAGATGAAAGCCTCCTTACTCTGTAGATATCCACTACTTCCTTGAACGTACTCGGCAACACGATAGATAGATCGGATCATAATCAGAACACTGACGGTATAGAGGACCTTCATATACCGGTTCCATGGGACTTCAGTGACCACCATGTGGTGCATAGGCGTGGACAGCATGCGACGGTGGAAGACGATCGAGACGACGATGAAGAATCCGAAGAAGATGATCTGGATAAACAGGCCACCAATGATCATATTCTCGCCCATCTTTACTGAATCTTGTGTCTTAGCTTGAGCCAGCATGCCTCCACCTGTACCCCGTAATGTTAGCGGGCTTCCTCTAATCGCCGGGAGCAACGACCATACCTCCACTCTGCACCAAGAAGGATAACACGTCGCCGGTCACGAAGATCTTGGTCAACCATGATGGGCGGATTAGGGATATAGAACCGGCATTCAGCATTCGAATAATGCGTCCGAGAATCATGTACACGGATGCGGCGAAAAGGGCTGGCGCTAAGAGCAATAGTAGACTCTGTCCAATGTATGGTTTCATCGTCCAGTTTGGTGTTTCGGTCGCACTGATATACCTGCATAGGTAGCCGATAGCCTCAACTAAAGTGAGATACATGTGTCAGCAGACTCTCTTAAGGTATAGCCGGTTGACATGGGGGGCACAAAACGTACATATGCCACCAATGACAAATGGTGTCAAGTACCATGTCCTTGCCCGAATCATCTGCCAAATGTGTATGACCGTCGTTAGGCCAAAGACAGCAGCAAAGCTAATCGCCGCGCCTGCTGACGGATTATAATGGTAATATTGGTATCCCATGATGCTGCTTGGATAAGAGTAAACAATTGGTAGATTTCGGGCCGGCAATTCGTAGTTGGTGGAAGAGAAAGACGTTGCTCAATGGCAAGTTAGGATCGAAGTTTGCTAGGTAGGACTTTGAAAAGAATATATGAGCAGACACTGAAAATACCAAGGCTTCCGCATTGTTTCAAGCTCCTGGTCCATTTTGTTTACTCTAAATTTGGGTATTCATGGAACCATCAACATGGCCGAGAAAAATGGGTCTTTAACTGGCGGGAGACGTTAGTTTAGCCCTAGGCTACCCGAACCGGTGATCAATACGAAGTACGACAAGCTTGTCGCCCTCTCCACTTTTCCTTGCTAGTACCATATATTTATATTTGGCAGGGATCCAATAAGATGGTCGGGATCTTTTGGCGTCTGTGGCACTGCCTCTTGATCTCGATTTAACCTTCCTCCGCCAAGCCACATGAATTTTCTTGTTCTTTACGGAGTATGCTGCTTGGATCCGTAACGGGCGACCCACGTGTAGATTTGCCGATGAGAGGACTTTAACAACTTGATACTATTGTTGGATCCCTATAGATAGTGGCTGGTACTATGGCTCACTATGGACAGCCATCAATCCGGGTCCATTAACGAAGTGCCATGAGGATATCTGATTACCCGCACTGGGGATTTTCGGTAAGACATATCGACCTGTTATAGTTACTCTGCAGTTAGCAATTATGTTACTGCATAAATTGGATGGCTGGGGAAATAGCATGTAAAGCAAATGCTATACTGGAGTACCTTTTTACTTGGTGGCAATTTAAGGGGACGGCGCAGAACTTCCGTCTGATGGAGTGCTGCAAATGGCAAAGAATACGAGAACGAGGCCAAAGTGGGCCACGTATAGAAAATCAAGCCCACTAGGTTATCTGGTCCGCGCAATACACTATAGGGGTAGCCACCATGTTTTTGTCCCCGTCACTTTATTACAACGAAGATCCGATGCCTTCTGGGTTCTACTTAAGGTGTCCCTTCCCCCCTTCTGGGTGCTGGGACATTGCCAGACAGAAAGTGTGCCGCCAAAGACCACCACGCTACTGGTCTATTTGAATCTTTCGTGCTGTGAGATAATATACCTCGAAAATGGAGTTCACATTTTACTACTATACACCGTCTGGTGCCGCTGGCGGCATCTTCGTCGCACTCTTCGCCCTCAGCACCCTTCTTCACCTTTATCAGCTACTCCGCACACGGACATGGTTCATGATCCCTTTTGCCATTGGTGGAATCCGTAAGTCGTGACCCCAAGCTGCAGGCAGAGCTTTACTAAATGATCCCTAGTTGAAACAATTGGATATGTCGGCCGTGTATTGTCAACGAACGAAGCTCCCCACTACACCAAGGGCCCCTATATCATGCAGAGCGCCCTTATCCTGATCGCACCAGCTTTTCTCGCCGCTAGTATCTACATGACCCTGGGACGCATCATTACGATGCTTCAGGCAGAGCAATATTCAGTCATTCCTCTCCGCTGGTTGACAAAGATCTTCGTGGCTGGTGATGTGCTATCCTTCTTGATGCAAGCGTCTGGTACGTTGACACCGGGACCGTCCCTCGGCCGTATATAAACATTGCCTCGCCCCGTTTAGAACTAAAGCTAATGACATACAGGTGCCGGTCTTATGGTCTCAGCAGATAATCCTAGTACTGGTGAGCACGTCATCATCGGTGGTTTATTCGTGCAGATTATCTTCTTCGGCTTTTTCGTGATCACGGCTATCGTCTTTGAGCTGCGCATGGCGAAGAAACACATTGGCGCATCTCCTGAAGCAGGCCGCATCTGGCGCCGACACATGATTGCACTCTATGTGACCAGTGTTTTGATCTTGGTGCGGTCGGTGGTACGTGTCGTGGAGTATCTGGATGGCTATGATGGCTTCCTTATGAAACATGAAGTCTTCATCTACGTCTTCGACGCTTTACTGATGTTTGCTGCTATGGTGGTCCTCAACTACGTTCACCCCAGTCAAATCAACTGTCTTTTGGATCGGGGCGAGCGGTATTTTGAGAACTTCGTTGTGACTCGCAAATATGGGCCTAGTGCCATCCACGAAATGGAGGTCGACAGCCAGGCGTAAGGAATAGAGGATCCTGTATTTGTTTAATGATGCATATCGTTTTAGCATTTTTTTATGTTATGATTTAGTTTTTGTATATAGTTGATATCAAAGTGGAATCTCAGCCTCAATCTCAGCCTCAGCTACGTTGCACCCGTGCGGGGTCGATTTATGATCGGCCAACGAGCCCCATGTCGACTGATAAGCAGGGAAACAATTGGATTTTGACGGCTGCGACAAAGGGAAGGCGGATTTTTCGAACCACCGAACTTTTACTTCAATTCTATCTTTCTGGGTCAGCTGGATCCGATCACAATGACTCTATGTGAACTATGTCAAAGTATCCCTGTAGAAGACCTTCCCGCGTTCCCTAGCTTAGACGACCTTTTCAACACTGGGCGATATGTATTCATAAGGCTAGGCAAGGACGACGAACGACGGCCACCGGATACCCTGGGCTTCGCTCACCATCCGAATATAGACAGTCTGAGACGGTCATCAGCAGGGGGGTGTGAGCTGTGCCATATTTTGGAGGTCCAGGTGGATGAAGCAATTCTAGAAATAGAGGTATATGAGAAGAAAAAGGGCATATCAGTATCAAGCCGCTTTGGTTTGTGGTTGACCAGGCGCATGCACGGCGGGGATGGCTTTGTCGTGCTCACCCCAACTGATACGACCCGGGGGAGCTACGTCCTGATGTTAGCTGCGATGGTCTTTTGTTGTGACGAAGGTGTAGCCAAGCTCCATATACGAAACTTGGCGGTTTCGCTAATGTGGCCTAGGCGATCCTCTTGCCAGCGTGTTCCGGGGCCGCCTGCCCAAGGATACTTTGGATACCGCAGCTTGTGATCGTTTCGCCGCGTGGGTCGTTGACTGCAACAACCAACATAGTTCGTGTGCTGCACCTCTAAGGTCCCTTCCAACTAGGCTCATAGACGTGGGGTCTGAGGTCTCGGGAAACTTGGTCAAGCTCGTCGAGGTGGGGGAAGAGAGTCACGGATATTATGTGACACTTAGCTACTGTTGGGGTGGGGACAGGGCTTTCGCAACAACACGCTCAAACGTCGAGTCCCAGAAGAAAGGAATATGCCTCCATGACCTCCCACGGACATATCAAGATGCGATACGAATGACTCGAGCTCTCCAAGTTCAATACCTGTGGATCGACCGCCTCTGCATTTATCAAGACGACTCCCAAGACTGGGAGAGAGAATCTACCAACATGGGGTCAATCTACGCGAATGCCTACCTATGCATATCAGCAACCTCGGCCACGAGCAGCACAGAGGGACTTGTGCCCCTGAGGACGTCCAGGCCCAGCGTACGTCTTCCCCACATGAACAACAACTGCCGAGGGTACATAGATGCCTGCTTACTTCCAAGTCAATTTGAATTTTATAAAAGGGACTTCTTAAACCTTGATAATGAGCCCCTCTCTAGAAGGGCATGGGCTTTTCAGGAACGCCTATTCTCTCGCCGGAGTTTGCTGTTTGCGAGCGACAAGGTGTATTTTGTGTGTGAAAGGGGGTTCATCTCAGAAGATGGCATCGAGTTGATCGACGAACACCGAGACAATTATAGGGACAGGCATCCCTATAGATCGATCACGGACTTGGGTAAATATGGTCCGCTAACGCCCGATACTGCGCGCTTTCTCTGGTACGACCTAGTAAGGCTGTATAGTCGACGCAGCATGACATATCCTTCTGACAAATTACCCGCCATGTCCGGCATCGCAAAAGAGTACGCCAAGGTTCTCGGCAACGCTTATGTAGCTGGGCTTTGGCGGGAGTTCTTGGTGGACGAACTAGCCTGGCTTCCTTGGGAACAGTGTACGGCGGCCAGCGAGTACCGCGCGCCATCCTGGTCATGGGCGTCTGTTGATGGCCCTGTCGGTAGGCCTTTTGATGCAATCGAGCCTATAGCGTCAGTACTCGATGTCAAAATTGAGGTAAATGGTGAAAACCCCTATGGACGAGTAAGAAGCGGTTGGGTCAAAGTTGAGGCGCCTCTTCTTCCTCTCGTCCTAGCGGATAACAATTCCGGGAGCTTACAGCTTAAGACAGTACACGGAGCGAACGAAGGTTTTCCAGTGCGGTTTGACACTATGGGCACCAAGAGCCCTGATTTGGTCCTGATGATTAAGACCAGGAGACTTTTTAGCTTGGTTCTTAACATCTACGTTAAGAATTTGGGGGAATGTCGGTACTTCTCTCTCATTGTAACCCCTGCAAGTGATGTCAATGAGACATGGAAGAGAATTGGCGCCTTTTTCGCAAAGGGGTCCCAAATTGGGCCTCGTGATACTCTGACGCGGAAGTCGACAATAACGTTGATTTGATTTAAATCTGTCCCCGTCAAGGGTCTAGGGTTGCTTTTAGTAACCAGCAATATGAGATTCAAAAGAGCTCCGATGACGTCCTACCTACTTAATATACCAACCATTTTAGGACGCTAGCAATGTATATACGACCGGTGTGTTGGGAAAGGAGGGCTCCCTGCAGGCAAAGTTGCACACCTCTCTCATCTTGCTCATTAATCCGTATACTCGGTTTCCTTTGCGTGTTCCCCTTTGTTCATGTCTTTCTTTGCTTCATGATAATTTTCCCTTATATTGATGAGGCCATCGTTGAAAGACGAATTCGAATAAAGCCAACGAACATTAATAATTACACAGATTTTAAAGAGAGATGCAGGGCTGCACTTGCTCACTTACGGTGGAATGCCACCGTTAATATACTACGTCAATCAATCTTTACCCTAAGAACCCAGCTCTATATCCTCGGATTCCGCGGATTGCTTCGCCATATCACCTTTGAAGAGTTCCAACAGATCATTTCATCACTCAGAATCAGTTCCAGACCACATCTAACAGCCACAGTGATGAACAAACGCCGTAGTGGCAAGCTATCTCGGTTGAATGTCAGAGCTCAAAGCAAACCGACCAATCGCGTCGAATTGCGCCAACGTCTCCACCTTAGCCCTCGATTACCCGCCGCGCCAAGTTGGTTCGTTCGGCTGGACTTGCTATACCAGGCATAGCACAACGGAGGTGCTTTTACTTAATCGTTAGAGAATGTCCACATGGCACGATCATTGTGGATCATTCCGGCTCCGAATTGCGGGGGGTCTTTTGGGAATGGTTGCCTTCGTGCATTGTGCCTACGTCCACAGCCGCCCTTTTCGGGTCCTGCAGGAACCAGGATTTTGTGCTTATATACCTACAAATGATACATAGGAAGTAGCAAAGTATGGATAATAAGTTGCCTGCGATACGGAGTAGGGGTATAACAGAGGGCAGTTGTTCAAAGATAAGGCTAGAGCAAATGCGCCAAGATTTAGCCAGTCTCCTCGAGCTTCTCCTAAGGAGCATTGATCAACAAAAGAATGCATGCCCCACAAAATAAAATCCAGGATGCCATGGGCATCTCTAGCCAAGAAGTTAGACCTTCCCTATCCAGGGTTTCTATCATTCGGCTTCCGGTATGTGGATTGGGAAATCCACCATGATTGGTCGCCGCACAAGGCACAGCCTAGAATTCTAAACGTAACACTAGAGGATGCTTAATGAACTTCGACTAGAATTCGGTAGCCGCCGGTGCCACCATGCCGATATTAGTCACTGGGCCTACCTTGTTCAGTCATTGGGACTTGAACTTCCGTATAGGGAAGCTTCGCGCGATTGAAGGAACGTCTCCCTTGGCTTTTGAAGCTATATAAAGGCCTTTTGCCCGCTGTCCCACAAAATTCCTTTAGTATGGCCATCGCAGTCAATTACTACCACCTTGTTCATCCAAACTAGCTACACCATGGCTCCAGACACAACATCAATTCCAGGTTACACGATCTTTCGTGAGGGAGATTACGACAGTGCTGCAGCCGCCGCAGTGACACCACAAGGAATTCCTCACCCTCTTGGTAAGCTTATCATGGGACACCAGAATAGGAAATGGGTATTAATTGTATCATAGATCAGCTTTCGATTGCCGAGATCCCAGTGGCGGCAGCATTGTTCCGCGAATATGCCAGTCCGAAGCAACTGAAGTTCAACTGCATCACTCTTCGTGAGCCTAAGAAGCAAGAGTATACCGCATTCAAACAAGGTAAAGCGCCACGTCCCGACCGTCGCGCATTCGCTATTATCATTGACCGGAGGTCCGGCAAGATCGCCGAGGCCGTCGCCAACTTGACCAAGTCGAAGGTAGAAGAGTGGAAGGACGTCGACGATGTCATGCCAACTCTCACCCTTGAAGACCTGGATATCCTGGAGGGCCTTGCGCGCAAAGACTCTCGTGTCATCAAAGCATGCCAGGACATCGGAATCACCGACATGTCGAAGGTGTACATCGACGCCTGGGCGATCGGAATTGACGAGCGATGGGGCTTTGAGCGTCGTCTCCAGCAAGGTCTGGCATACTACCGGAACTCCGAGTTTGATAACCAGTACGCCCATCCTCTGGACTTCTCGATTGTGGCCGATACCGAGCGAGAGGAGATCCTCAGTGTGGATATCCGCTATGTGAATGGAGAGCGCACCGCTATGCCCGTTACCGAGCACAACTACCTGCCCCAGTTTATTGGCGACAAGTACAACCATGACCGACTGAAACCTATCGATATCACCCAACCGCAAGGAGTCTCGTTCCAGATGAAGGGTAATGAGCTTTCCTGGGCCGGCTACAAGATGCACATCGGGTTCAACTACCGAGAGGGTATCGTCATCTCAGACGTCCGCGCACATGATCCTTACCAAGACCGCGAGCGTACTTTGTTTAACCGGATCAGTGTGGTCGAAATGGTGGTGCCGTATGGTTGCCCCGAGAAGCCACACCACAAGAAGCATGCGTTTGATGTGGGTGAATACGGAAGTGGTTTCATGAGCAACTCATTGAAGCTTGGCTGTGATTGCAAGGGTGCGATTCACTACCTGGACGGAGTGATGGCCCTTGCAAGTGGTGAGGCAGCAGTGGTCAAGAATGCCATCTGTATTCATGAGGAGGATAATGGCCTTCTGTATAAACACACAGACTTTCGAGACGGCACAGTGATCTCCGCCCGCGATCGAAAACTCATTATCTCGCAAATCATCACTGCCGCCAACTATGACTACGGATTCTACCATATCTTCTCTCTTGACGGTACCTACAAGCTGGAACTCAAGCTGACCGGCATGTTGAACACCTATCCCTTGCACTCCACCGAACAGGCTGCACCGTACGGAACCGAGGTGGCTCCTCAAATTACTGCTCATAACCATCAGCACCTTTTCTCTCTGCGTATTGATCCCGAGGTAGACGGCCAAAACAACTCCGTTGTTCAAAATGACGCTGTTGCATCAGACTTCCCAGTGGGCTCACCAGAGAACTTCTACGGTAATGCATTCTACAGCAAGAAAACACCATTGCGCACATCCCTGGAAGGTGCTGCTGAGTACTGCTACGAAACCAACCGAACCTGGGATATCATCAATCCGAACTCCATTAACCCATCTTCTAAGAAGCCTGTTGGATTCAAGATCATCAACACGTCATGCCCTCCCATGTTAGCGAAACCGGGCGGTGTCGTCCACACACGCGCAGCATTCGCACGAAAACCTCTATGGGTACTTCCCTACAAGGATTACGAATTATTCCCTGCCGGGAACTACGTCTGCCAGTCGACCGGCCAGGAAAACCACCCTCATAACGAGACCATTCTCGACTGGTCGAACCGGAATGAGTCTATCGAGAACACAGATATTGTCTGTTACCTCCAATTTGGCCTGACCCATTTCCCGCGGACTGAGGATTTCCCCATCATGCCAGCCGAGCCTGTCAGCATCATGCTCCGCGCTTCGAATTTCTTCGTAAAGAATCCAGGTCTTTGGGTCCCTCCTTCTTCAGTATGCGTCGATACCATGTCACGCAACGCCTTCTCTACTTCATGCTGTGCGGGCAGCAAGCCAGGAGATTCTTCGCGGTTGTAGGTTGCCGAGGCTCATGTTACGCACGATGTAGTATACCAGCGAGAATGATGTGTAAAAGCAATTATGATATCTAATCTTACATGAGCATCAATGATATTATTTTTTTCTACTAAACTTTATCTTTAATTTTCATGCTTTGCTCTCTGTATCCGATGTAGTCCGCCTTGGTAGTAGAGGAGCGTACATGACATAAGCATAAACAGCTCTAAACAACAAATTCGCCATAGGAGTGACCTACTTCTCATTAATTGGCTGGGTCCGCTGATTATCTCATTTTGATTAGGGTTTGGAATGTAAGGCTGGTGAAATGATAGGAAACAATTTTTTTGTGTATTTTTTTTTTAAGTTTTATATAACACCAACTCCGTATTAAACATTAACGACAGTAGACCCAAACGCAAACAAGAACTTCCCTCCACAAGCATTACATTTTTTCTTTTGTTATTCTTTTTTCCCTTTTGTTTTCGCTTTTCTTCTTCTTCTTCTTCTTTTTTTTTTTTTTTTTTCCCTCGCTTTGTGACTCGTCCCCCTCGCGTTTCGGTTCACAACTTCATACAAGCATTCCCACAAACCAGACTATCAGCCAGAAGAAAATCGATCAGACTGGTGTCCAGTTATGGGTCTTCTTGACAGGGCGTTCCGGATCATCAATCCACTTCAACTCATAGACATTATAATTGATCAACATGACCTCAATCTTCCCTTTCTCCTCATTAATCAAGAAAGTATCAACACCATCCAGCACCTGCAGATAATTCTCATAATCATGATACTCCCAACGCTCGGTGACCCACTGACCCTTAGGAGCAATATGGGTACCAGTGATATTGTACTGAGTGGTAGGCAAGACACTATTTAGCAATCTAGCAGATTCCTCGATACCCGGATGACCCTGCAAGGTTCGATCGAAGGTTCCACAGAACGCCATCTTCAGTTTCTTGGAGTAATTCCGTTGAATATCCTTCGGGATGTCACCGATATACCGAAGGAGGATATGCTCCCAGTACACCTCTGAAACGGTCCGATCAGTATCCGGTTTCAGGTTTCCCGAGAGAAGCTGCTCCAACACCGACTGGGGAGGCTTGCTGGCCTCATCCTCGATGTTATTCGACATCTTCGCGAACTGAGCCTTCAGCCATTCCGCTCCCTTGGGCAGACGGGGGTCAGTGATGATCATGTCCGGGTAGGCATCGACAAGCCAATTGGCGATATCCATATGCCCTTTATCAAGGGTAAGCTTGATAATAGTGTAGCTGTTACTGTCCCGGAGGTTGACATTTGCGCCTCGCTCGCACAGCAACTGTACAGCTTCGAGTTTGCCAGAGACGGCGGCCACGATCACCGGAGTATACTTGTCATGTTTCTCGCATTGCTCG